CGTGTCGTCCGCGAACCAGACTACTAAAAGTAGTGGATGCTGCTCCGCTAGCTCCTCGTACAGCGTTGAAATGTATAATATAAACAGTATCGGGGATAGCGGTGACCCCTGGGGGACGCCAGCTCGTAGGGGGATTGGCTCTGACTCCTTGCCATCGAACCGGAGGCGTACCGTTCTATCCTCCACGAAGCTGCGTACCCACTCCTGAACCCACTCCGGGTAGCCTTTCCGGGCTAATATGGAAATCAGCCGTCTGTAATTGACCGTATCGAATGCCCCCTTGATGTCTAGCTGTAGCAGCGAGGCGATGCCCCCGCGTCTCCACGCCGTATAGACCACGTCCTCAACTATACGTATTGCCAGTTCGGTGGACCTCCCAGCGCGGTTACCCATTTGGCCGTTTGGTAGTAGGCCGGCCGCCTCAGCTACTTTGGTGATACGCTGGCTCATCGCCGTCTCTATTACCTTCCCTACCGTGCTAAGCAGGGCAATGGGGCGCCAGCCGCCAGGGGTCTGCTTCTGAGCTGTCGTTTTATTAGGCTTAGGGATAATAACCACCCTCGCTGAGCGGAAGCGCTCCGGGTAGTACCCCAGCCTAAAGCTAGCTGTTGCCAGATCCGCTAGGATCTCCCATAGGGGTTCACCGCAGGCCTTTAGCAGGCCAGTGGGGATCAGGTCGTCGCCGGGAGCCTTCCGAGCAGCCGTTCCTTTGATGATAGACTCGATATCCATTGTGGTCACCTCCCTAGGGACGTTCAGCTCTGGTCTCGTCTGTAATAGGCCGCGATCGAGGTCCGATAGATCTATATACGGGTCTGGGAAGAACCTCTCAGCTAGTAATTTTGCCTTCTCATCATGTGTACGTGCTGTAAGCGTGTCGCCGGCGTCCCTCCGGAGATCTGGCAAGCCGTGGGCCTCAGGGGGGGCCCAGCTCCGTAGCCTAGCCCACCTCTGCAGTGCCCACAGGCTTTTGTGATCCTTCGCCGTTGTAATATATATTAAACTTAAATGTAGGCTTTTTTTTTAAAAAAAAATGAACGATGGAAAAATTTAACGTATATTCGGATAATTACGAGTCCGTGTATCGGTCTTCTATTATGTAACGAAACCTCTAATAGTCTAGCTGCGTAAACTACTAAAGAGTCTGTAAGGGTTTGTGCTAGTAAGTAACTCCTGCTGCGGAGTCCTCAAGCAATAATATCGGGGTTTGACGTATGGAGTAGAGTTGATGCGAGTGCATATGGGGTGTGAATTGTTGTATTGGGAAAGGATGGCCAGGTCAGCTATTCTGGCCTGGCAGAGCTCTTTTATAGCTCTTATCTTATCTATCTTATCTATCGCTATAGGGTAACCCCCAATGGGGTCACGTATCAAGAGTGCTTTGGGTAACTGAAGTATTCAAGTAGGGTAATCGGGAATAGAGTCGTTGAGGCAGTTTGCCTCACCAATGGGTTAGATTGATGCTTAGATTGATCACTGAAGTAGAGACTATCTATCTATGAAATGCCTGGGAGTTCTGTCCCTTAGATATCCATCTCTCCTTCACTGATCCCCACTTGGATATGTTGGCTGTCCAACATATCCAACATATCCACCCCTGTAGGTCAGGTGACCTGTCGGTCCTTTCCTTCCTCCCATACGGGTCCCCGTGATCCTAGCGTCTGTATCCACCTGGCCTGCCGACGGGCCTGTAATGTTGGTTCAGGGCCAACGGTTCGTAACACCGGAATATGTGATTTCACAGCTGGATATTAAGCTACATACGCCTACACCTCCTGGGAGCTCGTCTGGCTCCCCTTAATCTGGGAATGAAAGACTCCAAATAACCTAACCGAGGCGCAATCCCAATCTGAATACGTTGAAACAGAATCGTACAGCATCAGAATAGCTCCCCGACGACAATACTTACGGCTATTGACCAATTTTCACGTGGTGCGACGGCTGTTATGCATCGGTTAGTTTTACTTGAGCATGAGGTTACTACACTTCGGAAGGCCAATCAAGAGCTAAGCCGTCGTCGAAGGACTAAAAATCGACAGCTACAAGATGGAGGATCTCTTAGTTTACGAGACTGATACGTGACCCCATGGGGGGTTGCCCTATAGCTAGAGATAAGATAGATAAGAGCTATAAAAGAGCTCTGCCAGGCCAGAATAGCTGACCTGGCCATCCTTTCCCAATACAACAATTCACACCCCATATGCACTCGCATCAGAGACGCTCAGGACTTACAGTCTCAACGGGATATTGAACAGCAGCTACAGGATGGTATACGTGTAAGTCGTCGTACGAGACCGGCCGAACCACGCCGACGGCGCTGTAGGATCTGCGGAGAGCCCGGACATAATGCTCGTACTTGTGAGAATGATAAAGATACGTACGAGGAAGAGGATTCCGATTAGTTTGAATTGTTATTTTTTTGATTAGTTAAGTTATTGAAGTTATTCATACGGTGCCAAGAAAAAGTGGCCAACTTGCTTGTGGGGTACGTTATCTAATATATATAGAATATAACGTGATCCACAAGTCAGTGACTCACTTTCAACCATCAATTCAATATTAATCAAGATAACTTCACCACAACACATCAGATCAATTCAACTAAGCAGAATCTTATTCATTAGATGTTTCTAATTCGACTTGACAAGTCCGCGCATTATGCCCAGTCCCCCGCAGACACCACAACGTCTTGCACTGGTTACGATCCTTTTCCTTGGACCATTACTTTTGTCTTCCTCACCCTCTACTGCCTCGATATCATCCTTGGCTTCCCGTAGCTCTTGTGAATCAGCTACAGTAATTGTACCTCCATGCTGTATTTGCTTATTTTTGGTTCTGCGACGTTTGCTTAATAGGTGGTTGGTCTCATGGAGCTCCTTGTTCTCTTGTCGCAGAAGGGCAACCTCATGCATTACTAGGTGAGTAGCCTTCGCAATTGAGTCTACAGAGCTCAAAATATGGGTTGGGGAGCTATTTTGATGCCTCTGGACACTAGTCTTAATAAGAGTTGATTGATAAGTAGCCTCCAGGGTGGTAGTAGGAGTCTTGGAAGTCCAAGTAGCAGCCGGCAATTGAGGGTCGGGCGACGGTGTACGGGCTTTTATAGCAACATCTAACGAGGAAATGACCCTTTCTGGATCCAATGGGACAAGTCCAGCCGCTTCGAAGCCAGACCGAATATTAGATTCGGTCATTGCCTTGTTAGATGCCTCTAGAAACCCAGATAGAAAATCCTCCTTCGCAACGTGGGTTTGGTGCTTTCACATTCGCTCCTCAATATAGCCACTATATGCGCGTTTTAACACACTAAAAGGTACTATATCGAGAGGCTGGAGACGATGTGATGAATGGGCAGGCATACAAAGAGGAACAATTCCCAGTTTTTTGCAGGATTCCTCGAAATCCATCGAGTGATGGCTTTCGTGGCCGTCGAGAATCAAAAGACGTTTCGTACCCTTTGTACGGCTCCAGGTATGTAGATCAAAATGATTTACCCACTCTACACCCAATTCATTGGTTGTCCAACCATTACTGGATAGAGAAACCTTCCAGTCGCGGAGCAAGGCAGCGTCGCGGTACCAGGAGGCAAGGTGAATTTTCCCCGCGAAGATGATAAATGGAGGTACTGCCCGGCCTTGAGAATTGATGGCTTGGATAACGGTAACCTATTCCCTATCACCCTGCTGGGCTTGTCTAGGCCTGCCCTTTCGTTTGGCACTTGTAACAACTATTCCAGTTATGATTATACCTATTAAAAACCCTGTCTCGTTAAAGTTATATATATCTTCCCGCGTGATCCCGTATTTCGCTATTGTGTCGGTAACAAGCTTAAACCACGCGCGATATGCGATAGGATCTTCGTTAAATGCCCTCTGGTAGTCAATTCGACGATTTAAACGCGTTCGGAGGAGTGGTTGTCGGTTAACGAAATTTGAAACCTAATTCTTGCCCACGGGTGGCGCGTCGTGTGTGTGAAGGTCAACCCTCGCAGACTCACTACAACCAGGTGACTTACAGCTGGAACACCTGCCATGGCAGTGTCAGATGGGAAGCCAATCATAACCCTTGTAGGAGCCCCGCCAAGCGTGGATGACTTAGTCGCGCTCCCTCAAACCTAAGTTGTCATCTTCTTTCCTTCGCTCCTTAGAGTAGAATCTTCGTCGATAGCACCTAATCGAGGTCTCTACCAATGCGATGCAACCCAGGTCGTGACAGTGTGAAGGTCAACCCTCGCAGACTCACTACAACCAGGTGACTTACAGCTGGAACACCTGCCATGGCAGTGCCAGATGGGAAGCCAATCATAACCCCTGCAGGAGCCCCGCCAAGCGTGGACGACTTAGTCGCGCTCCCTCAAACCTAAGTTTGTGATCTTCTTTCCTTCGCTCCTTAGAGTAGAATCTTCGTCGATAGCACCTAATCGAGGTCTCTTCCAATGCGATGCAACCCAGGTCGTGACACGTCGCGTGCGCGTCGGAGTATATTGGCCATATCGGTCACGTTTTGAAAGCGGGGAGGAAATGCTCGCGAATCTAGCTCAAGTATACGTCGAACAATCGTCTCTTCTTCCATCGTAGTCAAATTACGCTTCGTAGCGTTAGCAATGTGCTGTAGTTGAATTCCGTTGTATCTTTGTTTGATAGTACTAGCGGCAGCTTTGTAGATCAATTCGAGCTAGTTCTAGCTTAATTCTGGGTTTCGACGTTTAGCCTGGATAGCCAACTGAATATTAGCTTCGTTTGAGATACGTAGCATTTTGAATCGTGGAAAGTTGTATAAGTCAAGTTGGAGGTTGAAATGTCGCGAAAACTGAGTCACTGACTTGGGTGGGTCACTGACTTGTGGATCGCGTTATGATAATCTATTAATTAAAGATATAGTTACCGTTATCTTACCCGCTATCGGTGGTAACAAAAGGCTACGTAAGTAGAAAATTTTCGTACCGCTATCGGATAGGTTCAATATATATTAAACCTCGGAGCGCGTTATGTGTTAAGTACCTGCTGAACTTTTGCCAAGACCTTAGGTTTTGTACCTGGTCAGAGCGTTCTTGTACCTGGTCGAGAAAAACCTCTTCTCTTTTCTGCGCTTTTTGGGTTGTGTCTCCAGTACGGCTATTTCCGCCAATCTTGAACCGCCAGGGCGGGCCGCGTCGTTAAATTATGAAAGCCAAGAATGCTAGTTGACCACAGTCAGTCAGTCCAGTTTGTTTCGATTGCTCTACGGTTCAAGTCATTCTATCATTGATTTACACACGAATACGTTGTTCTACGACAGCTTCTACGCTGAAGCGCAGTGCCCACCATCAACCCGCAAGTCAGCCCCCGTCATAAATTTGCTTCCATCTGCGAGCAGGAATATCGCCGGAGCCTTGAAGTCGTCGGGCACGCCAAGCCGCTGCAGCAAGGCACCTGCCATCCATATCTTCTCTACCCCTGGCTTAGCTGCTAGCAATTCGTCGGTCATGGCGGTTCTGATGTACTGCGTCTTGGGTTAGCGTCGGTCAAGCCGCCACGGAACGCGAATGGATGACTCACTCCTGGTGACAGGGTGTTGATCCTGATGCCGTACTGCCCCCATTCCTGCGCCAACGAGCGGCACATTTGCTGCACTGCTGCCTTGCTAGTGTTGTACGCCGAACAGGTAAGACCTCTGTTGGCGATTTGCCCACTCATGCTCCCAATGAGCACGATACTTCCCTTGACTCCTCTTTCTACCATGATGTTCGCTGTGTGCTTCGCAGTGAGGAAGACCCCTGTCACATTCACCCTCAATATGCGATCGAAGTCGGCGGCAGGGTACTCTAGCGCTGGTACCTCTTGCTGGATGCCGGCGCAGGCCACTACCCCCGACAGCTCAGCATGATTTTCGGCTGCCGTCTTCGCTATCGAGTCGAGCACTGCCTTGAGTTCAGTTTCACTCGTTACGTCGCATCGGTGGTATGTCGCTGTGAGGTTTTCAGATTTCGCGGCCCTCAACAACTTGGTCCATTCGTCTGCGACTGGTTCGGGTGCGATATCGAGGCATGCCACGTGACCACCGGCGTCAATAACGGCCGAGGCCAATGTCAGACCAAGACCTCGTCCTCCGCCTGTAATCACAATAGTCCGTCCGGACAAGGAGAAAAGCTGCAAGTGTGTGGAGGGGGCTGCATCCAATTTTCCCACCTCTGTAGTCATTTCTGGCGACATTATGCTTGACTGAAAGGAATGAGTCGGTGAATATGAAAGAATTCACAACAATGATGCGTTGATGAATTGTGAGACGGTCCAGTCTATGGCAACTCTACTACGACAATAACGGCCTTCGCAGCCAACCTACGCAAGAGTCTTCCTAGCGTTTTGTAGCCTTCGGCATCACTATCGTGAGTCCATTTGTTGTCCTCATGCTTCAACAATGCGATGGGAGTATAGGCCAAACCGGAACTTATTACCGCTAGCGGCACCTGCCCCCTGGCCTCGGGAGCACCTTTGGGCAGCGTGCACTCACACACCACAAAGATCAGCCGGTTTTACCCCCAAATCAGACACGCTAGCGCCTGTAATTTCCACAAGAGTCGATTTGCGGTTGCGCAAGCGCACTTGGCTGCTCGCTTCTATGCAGAATGTCACAATGCAACCCAACCCCTGTGTCACAAATTCCAGTTACAAATTATTTAAATAATGACAGACTCAGGCCAATTCACTGCCCATGAATGGTTCACCCTTGATGCGGGCTCTCCACCATACAGTGCATGACTCACTGAACCACTCTGCGAAGATCAAGTTCGGATACCAGGGGAACAAGCTCCAGTTGAAATACCTGTCCTTGCGAAGGGTCATCATCTTCGGCTAAATCATTTCATCCACCAACGTAGGTTTACCTCGCACTGGTCCGAGATCATGCGAATCCCCCAGCAGATACGACAGCTTCTTGACTTACAAGAATGTGTATGTTGTTGTGGTGTGTTCAATTAGATCACTTCTGCCCCAACTCCTCTAGTATATTACTAATGCTGTAAATGCCAAGGGTTCGACCTCGTCTACTCCAGTTTTGCTTGGTTCTCCTGCCCCTGTTGTCAACGTGTGGCTTTTTGGGAAGCCTCTGGATCGGGGGATTGTCGCCACAGCCGGTGCTTCTCTATAAGTCTATCAACCGCTATTTTTGCTAGTTTTTACTGATGATATGTCACATTGGGATATGATCAAGGAGTGATGAGCGGTCTCCTTCCCTGAGTTGCTTTCACCAAGACCTTTCCGGAGATAGACGCAATAGACGGCGGTGGTGGTAGTTCTTCACTTCAAGCATTGTATAGGTTCATTTCGTGTTACACGGGCGAGAGATTGATTGTCAACAATAAACTCAAGCGTTGCCATCTACAGGATCGATAGAGACTTCTTCAATGGAACTAAGTGACGAGGCTTGCTTATTCCTAGTATCAAGGCTGCTTCTTTGGTGCTATTGAAGTCTTGCTATTTGGGAAAAAGCTCAGTCGACGATGGTGTGTGAGATTGGATGTGTTATTCTGGCAATCGATGGGGCCCTGCAAGCATCAGCGAGCTCGATACTTTCTATAACTGGTAAGTGCTATGCATCTCTTCAATCATGTCATCGACTCATTGTGGGAAATTGGTCGGATTGTCGCCGGTCTCGGAAACGGCATGAAAATAAATATAATCCCCGTCTGGCATTCAGGTTTGATGAAAGCAAAGAGTCGTAGCAAAAGTCTCTGTATCGAGCTGGCCGTCAACATATTTAGAGTTATTACTGCGTATTGGGTTGATTACGGCACTTCCTTCTTACGTCAACAAAGAGTCACAGTTCCGGTTTCCCTTTGCCCTGCAATGCGCATTAACAAGATCCAACATGCGATATTCCGAGACGAGCATGCGTCATCATAAGGAATGGGCTTCAAAGCGCTGTTTAATAATGGTGGCCAGAGGTTCTTCTATCGCCATGCTTGGCGTTGGGGGTTAATTCATATAACAGCTCATGTTGTAACAAGATTCCTGAGCTGTTGCATCAAAATTCCATGAGTCCAAGTGGCTACCGGAACCGGACTCACCACCATATGAGGTCAAAGGCGTTGGTACGTCTAATCAACAGCTCATTAACCATCTAGAACTCAGTTGATACACCGCACAACACTGCGTTGCTCGTCGCGGGATTTAACAGTGTTTCTTTTTCCTTGCCGCACTCGCCCCCATCTGGATCATCGACTGACTCAGACGATGTAAGTTTATGCTGTTTGCCGCTGCAGATCAGTGCATGGCTATGGAAACCCTGGCGGGAACGGTGTCTCTCAAAGTTAACAAGGTAGCCGGATTAGTGGCTACTGTGATGCTTTTCCTGTTCAACTTCTTCTTTGCTGGTCAGATGCGAAGGCACTGTACTCGTCATGACTACCGGACTTTTTACGAGCTATAACAAAGCATATGATTGGATGTGTCTCTGTCCTTCCGAGTCCGAAGAGCAAAGATAAATATGCTCTCGGCTGCCTACACTAGAAAAAGTGAATAAACTTTAAAAAGCTGGTGCGGTCCGACAAACGACTATCCATCAGGCAGGGATGCTTCGCGGAGTGATTATACGCCGCCACATGTCAATCTTTGGCTAGTTTAATGGGGTCCTAGCAGGGGTATGAGGCAGGGGACATGGGATGGTATCCAAAACTCAAATCAAACCAGTGTCAGTCCCTATCTCTCTTCCTGTCACTTTTATTGACATCCACCCCCCAGTATGCGTTTCCATCGAGCGCTAGCGGCCATATCCGTGCTTGGCCAATTGAGTCGGGTATTGGCGTCTCCAATCTTGGACACTGACGACGCCCAGAAGCCGCTCCTGCAGGCTGCTGGCGACGCTAAGTTCACGCTCTATGAGCAGAGTGAGGATATCTGCGATGCTGGTAGTCGTCAATGGACTGGATGGGTCAATGTTTCTGATGAGAAGAAACTATTTTTCTGTAAGACGGCCTGCGACACCCCAACTCCGCACCATAATGACAGGGCATGAGGGTTCTTCGAGAGTCGTGACAAGCCCACGGAAGACCCGATTGTAGTTTGGCTAAATGGGTGAAATATGTCCCACCTCTCCGGCGCTGCATGGAGTACAGGACTCTAACATCTGCATCATGTAGTGGCCCTGGAGGATCGAGTCTCATGGGTTTGTTCACCGAGATTGGACCATGTCTGACCAATGAAGGAAACAATGACACCTTTCGCAACGAGCATAGCTGGACTAACTTCGCCAACATGCTATTCATTGAGTAAAACGAGTCCCATGCCTGAACTGTGAGCCAGACATTGACTCCGTGGTAGCCAACCCGCTGGCGTGGGATTTTCCTCTATCAACAACGGCACCGCCGGGGGACCCAACACCATCAAGGAAGCAGTCGTCGACTTTGACAAATTCCTCTCCGTCTTCTTCACCGAGGTATTTCCCCAGTTCTCCCACCTCTCTTTCCACGTAGCCGGGGAGTCCTTTGCAGGGACCTACCTTCCCGCCTTCGTCAGCTACATCAGCCGACGGCAACAGCTCGGCGTGCCCGATGTGTCTCAGGTGCCCATCCAATCCATCACGCTAGTCGATGCCGTCATTGACGTCGTCGGATCCGGCGCCCTGGGTTCGTATGACCACATGTGCCGCTTCGACGAGCACGGAAAGAACAAAATACCGCACGGATACAACGCCACGGTATGCCGTGCTATCGAGAAGGCCGTGCCGGAATGCGAGCGCCTTAATCGCCATTGCATAGAAACTTACGACAGAGAGATATGCATGGCTGCGGCTGCTTACTGCCAGGAACACATCGAGAAGTATTTGGAGGTTGGTGTCGGGGCACACAATCCGTATGATGATCGATACATGTGCAATGGGACGACGCCTCTTTGCGGCATCGATACGTATTTTGGTCGGTATCTCAACCAACCCAAAGTCCAGGAGGCTTTGGGCTTTGGGTTACACCGAGAGTGGAATTACACGCCGATTAATTACGAGATGAATGACCGGTGGCACGAGAGTCGAGATATGTATATGCCCACCACGCGGGAGTTAACGTGGATTTTGGATGAGACGGAAACGAAGGTGTTGGTTATGAATGGAAATAATGATATTATCGTGTAAGTTTCCCGTACCATTTGATTTGGCTACACGACTACCTCAGCCCGGCGATCTTACTTACCTACCCTCAAAAAGGAACACCGAAGGCCAGAAGCGCGTCTACGATAATCAGCCGTGGAACCACCAGGCCAAGTATCGGCTTGAGAAATTTGCTGATTGGCAGTGGCCAGATGAGAAAAGAAATATGAATAGAGGCGGTGAATTTAAAGTTGTGGACAAGCTGGGGTTTACGAGTATTGATGAGGCAGGTCATACGTCACCGGGGGATCAGAAGGTGGTGGCTGCTTTTATCATGGAGTGTTGGCTGAGGGATGGGGGACGTGAAGCTTGTCCGTTTGGGTTTGGTACGAAGGAGATTCTTAAATAATGTAGGGCGTGGAATTTCTTTGATGGGGATGCATGTGGATATAAGAGGGGGAAGGTGGAATTAAGATGGTAATATGAATGATGTTTTCACTGCCCACCAGCAGCCCATTTTGTTACACCTTATGTACACACAAGAAACACGTCATGTGCACTTATGTAAACATGAGGGTAGCTCTTTAGGTAGCCTTGAGAAGACAAAACACCTTTGTTTGTTAATCTGGATCTGACTAGGTCAAGTCTCCTGGTTTGCTGTACAGACTACAGCCGAAAATTACATCGCTATACCTATTTATCGCCAAGTTTATACTTCTTGTACGGTAAACACTCATTAATCAATCAAGAAAAATGTTTTTGAAATCGCCGGAGCCGAAATATGACACTACAGCGGCTATTACCGGCATCTACTGCCTAAAGAGGTAAAAGTATGTCTTCATACGGATACTCTTCCCGGTGTCGGCAGCCAAGGCACCTTAGTCTGTAACCAAAAAGTGGAGGTCCAACGCCCTTTGACGGCATTATAGCACGCATATATACTATTTTATTTCAATTCTATGAATCCAATCGGACAATATACATCCAAAAAGAGCATCAATATGTCAGTTGCAGCTTTACTTGCAACGCTCGCGTTGGCTGCCATCGTGTTAGTGTGCACAGGGGCATTGCGACGAAGACTTGTAAATACCTCCCCACCTCATGGCGGAATATCACATTGAACAAATTGAATTAGAAACAGTCGAGAGCGACAAAGCAACAGAAACGAAATGAAAAGTTCGCGGGGGACCTCAAGATCTTGCCACTACACAATCATGATTGGCAGTCGACGGAGCCGTTGAAATTCCGGTCGTTCAAACCGATTTACCACATCACAATGGGTCAGTACAGACATATATCTCCAAGTTACCATCTCGCGGCCTGTCGAAGGTTAATGTCGATCGTCAGCTCTACGATCCTCTACCCCATCAGACATGATAGTCATCGACACCAACTACCTCTCCCGCATCCAGCTGCGAAAATCCATCATGGCCAATCATGCTGAGCACGTCCTCGGCTTCATCCCCTCCGGTATCTCTGCTGTCCAAGAAACATACTCCTACCTCCTATCCTCGTACCTGCCCTCCAGATACCCATCACTATTCTCCATATCGGAATCCGACAAAACATTCTACAACCACGTGACACAAGTATCCTTACCTCTTTCACCGCCCGAAGATCCGCTGGAAGCTTTGAAACTGCTCGGGGAAACGGTAGAGGACGATATCTTCCTGTTGACGGAAACGCCAGAGGGTCATGTAAACGTAGCGTTCTTGTGCTGTTTCCCGTCCGGGTTCGACCCAGCAGAGAAATTGGGGAAGCTGATGAGGGAGATTCACGAGCCGGTGCCAGGTTACGAGAAGATTGGGCCGAGTATGGAACGGTTCTTTTCGAAGTTGGAGGTTGGGAGGAGTGTTATCAGGGTTAATGTAAGATATTCAAAATACGTCCCGCTGGTTGAGGGGGAGCCACTACAAGCATTACTGATGTTCGAGTGCAGTGGTCTGTGACGACAAGCCCTGTTCTGCTTAATCTTGCAACGAACCATGTAAAAGAGGAGGATACGGTGGAGGAGGACGTTGATGTGGATATACCCCAGGTGCGTTTGTTTCTTTTCCACCCCCTCCCCCCTCTGCCTGACAAGCAAGACTGATAAATTACAACATCAGGCTCGAGTAAGAATGGAGCGGCAAGTTCTCAACCGTCTACCACAAACAGGAGCGATACTATTCTCTTTCAAGACGTACATGTGTCCGCTCGAAGACATAAAGGCCGAGGGTCTTGGTCCTGAATTGGCTGATGCGGTTGAGGGGCTGAAAGTTGGCAATGCACCGGGGATGTGGAAGTATAAAGGGGGTGTGAGGTGGGGGAAGAGTGTTTGCGAATACTTAAGGTCTTAGCTTCGCGTGTCAGCTCGGGTCATTGGGGACCAAGGATTGAGTATTCGGTTGAGATTTGGATTAGCTCTATGAGTGTCTCACTTTTAAACTTGTTAGTCCCATAATGAAGTTTACCCTGTCATCCGAAACAAGACCAAATCCAAGTATATACAGATTGCTTGGGGAGATTTCGGTATATAGAAACGCAAAAACAAAATATTCGTTCTTGGCTATAACGAAGGTGGCAGGTGCGCCTTCTAGATGTTTTGAGTTTAACGCAAAGCTAGTAACGTAACCCACAAGCAAGTTGGCCACTTTGTCTTGGCACCGTACGAACAACCTTTTAATCAACATCTTTATACATAGAAAGATAGGATCGAATTAAAAAGAAAGCGACATGCTTCTAGCATGTTAGGCGCTTTAATCGTAACCCATTATCTCGTACAACTCTAGCTAACCGGAATAGTACCGCAACGCAATACCCGATAATCTAGTTATGAGCTTAAGGAATTAGAAGAGTTAGCGGTCGTACGATATGTGTTAACCTAGGTTCGCGATTATTTCCTCCCCGGATCTATAGTGTTAATGCCATAGCTAACCGACTACTCCGCGACTGTAGTGCTGGACGCGTCGGCGTTAACTAGGCCTCGAACTTCGTACGCCGATAACTACACCTATTGACGACGGGCAGTGAAACCACCCGCAGGTTTAAGGTGTGATGATGATGGCAACGGACAACAAGATCCTCAACAAGACCTTACTATCCGGGAGGTGGAAAGAAATAACAAGATCAAGAGCTCTTTTAGCTCTGATCAGAACAACAAGTACCTCAAAAGGTACTAACAACTGTAGCCTCAGCAGGCTGGGGAAGAAAAGGAACCTCAACAGGTGAAAGATGGGAACAATGGCCTCAACAGGCACAATCAGATCTATAGGGGAACAGAAAGTACCTCAACAGGTACGTCAGACATTGAATGCCTGTCCAAGTAAAGAGAAATTGGTTCAGATTACTGTGGAAAAGGCCGCTTAAATTCCTATCTTTTTCTCAAGAGAGTGACTATGTACATAAGGTCTTAAATACCCTTCAAGAACGCGCTTACATAACTCGTCTGAAACCGGAAAAAAACGAAAACGAGCACCCAAAAACCCTAACCCCACGTCACTATATACACATTCAAATCAAAGAATCGACTACTAGTGAGCCTACTACACAGATATTAACGTGCATCGTGCTTAATTTACATTCATACTGAAACGGGGCCAGGCAGTCAGTAGAATATACTGTAACGGGGTAAGGCCGGACATCAGGGAAATAGGTTACGGGGGCTAGGGAGGGCTACCCTGTCTTCCTTACTTCAAAAAGGGACACGGAGATAACAGGCGACTTTCAACAAATCGTCATCTCTTTCATCATCTTATTCAATGAACTTGACTTTTGTTTTCTATTCTAGTTAGCTAGCCCTTCAATTATGCGGTTCATTCCTACGTGCACTTAGACACTACTTTCGAAATCCTATTATTCTGCCCTTATCTTAGCCTTGACAATGACAAAAGCCTGTACCTTGCTCTGATCAGAGCAATCCAGTGCCAGTGAGAGCTTCAATTCGACTCCCAGAGCCAGACGTCTTGTTCTGAGAATCATTCCGACGAGAGCAGAGTAACCAATCGATCGGATACCGGTCCGGACCGGTCCGATATTCCGATATCGATACCGATCGGTAGCACATTTTGTTCATTAGATCGATACCGGTGGCAGTTTGCGCCACCGGTATCGATCGTTCGATCTGACCGGACCGGTTATATGGAGGATTCTGAGGGCATCGTGACCCTTATTGTTGACCCTGGTTTTATCTAACCTAATACGGTTAGGCGTTGTTTTAGGTAGGAAAAGTGAAGAGCTGAGTTGGCGTGAGCATTATATGGCTAGGTTGAGGAAGCGTTGGGAGGGTGACTATAAAAATAGGTAAGTATAATATCTAGATAACTGTTCATCTCTAACTGACCCTCGTCTAGGCCCCTTCCTGAGACCAACCCTTTAGCTGAAGCTGAGAACCAGCCAGTCCTTACGATGCTTCAACGCCGCAAGCGTTTTTTATATGAGCGACGCCGACTCCGAGGTCCTTGATTCGCAAAGTACACAAGATACACAGCCAATAGCAAAGAGAAGGAAAGGAAAGGGCAGAAACACCAAGCCGGTGCCGATTAGGCAGGAAGAATCACAACAAGACGAGCTTGACCTCTACCTGGCAGAACCTGTGGTTAACGTGGACCAATATTTAAAGGACCCAGTAGCTTGGTGGCGTGATATTGGCGCAAAACATTTCACCAAACTGTCTTATATGGCTGTTGACTTCCTTACGATACCTTCAGCGCAAGCAGAAACAGAACGCCAGTTTAACAGCGTAGGAGAGATGGTATCAGCACGAAGATCTCGCCTAAAACGCCACGTTATTGGGGCATCACAATGTATCAGGTCATGGAGTTTAGCAGGCGTTTATCAGGCTGAGTTGCCACTCCATCTGCTTGACAAGGTATCAAACGTTGAATTGGATGGTGTTTCACGCGAATTAGCTAATTGGGCGCAAAACCATTAAAAATAAACAACTCCGTACAACCGCTATTGATCGATCCGACCTCTATCTGACCGGACCGGTTATATGTGATCGATACCGATCGATACCGGTTGCTTAGTAATCTGTACCGGTACCGATCGGATGAATATGATGTTGATCGATACCGGACCGGTATCGGTATCGGTGAAGAATCATGATCGATATCGATCGATTGGTCACTCTGGACGAGAGTCTCAGAGGCACATCGGACCAACTCGCGCACCAGACGTGTAAGAGCTTCGCTCTTATGACCAGTACCACGATCTTCGTCTGATAAGACCAACAGATGGGATCTGTTGGTACTGGAGCCGTCTGTTCAGTGTGTTAGGTGGTAGGTATATCCTACTGACCGCCTGACCCCGTTTCAATATGCACTCGCATCAGTTGACTAACACTTACCGTAAATAGAATTTAATTAAAGATATACAGAATCGCACTTAGGTTACTATTATCGAGTATATAAGTTTCATAGGCTAGTAGATCTCGCCCCTTATCGTATTTACCGGTAAATATGTATTTTTTTTATTATTAAATACGCCGTAGGCTCGAAGCCCCTGGTACCTCTATAGTACTCCCGTATGTCAAACCGTGCCCTAATGGCTGGACTAAATACATACGCTCCGTCGTCGGTTCGCCCTATTGGCGACTGCGTTGCGTTCACTACCATACTACGTTGGTTCTCAACCTACCAACAAAGTCCCCCCTGAGAAGATCGATGCTATCTGGGCCTTGAAGCTGTCCGACCCGTCCCTAGCAGCCACCTTACAATAGTCCCACTAACTACTGGTTCTCCTGTTGCCGTTGCGAGGTCTCTGCGAGAGTATAGTGGCCGTGGTGCGATAGCGGCCCGTAATCGTTCCCTCGGTCCTTCCAACAGCCCGCAAAAGAGGATTACGTGCTCTGCCGTCTCAGGGGCGTCGCCACAGCGGCATAGCGGCGAGTACACGCCAAAAGCCCCTGTCTTGAATAAGAAGGCTGCTAGTCCTATTTTTTCCGTCCTGATCTGGCACAGCGTAGACGCCTCCAGTCGGTTCAGGCCGAAATACTTGCCCCCTTTCGGTATCTGCATCGAAGGGCCCTCCGGTTCCTCAGTGATAGCGCGTCGCTGGCGATCGTGATGCTCTGCTCCGGTGAGCCATCTCTTCCTCCAGTGGCCGAGGAGGGCAGCCGGGACCTCCTTTTCCTCACTCATCCACTCGGAGCCCCGGGCCTCCTTCTCCATAGTGTACCCTGCCGGTCGGAGTAGCTGCGACCCCTGCTTCCTCTTCGCCGGCCTATCCTGCCGGAGTATATGTGACGCTTTAGCGCTTCGCGCTGCGAAGCAGATTTCTCTTCCCGCTAAGCCGTAGCCGTTCTTCAAACTTAGCAGCCCGGGCACTAAGATAGAGGTCTAGTGGCGGGATTGCTGCTTCTGCTTCCAGGTGGCGAACCGGCGTCGCTTTGTGGGCGCCACAGACTACCCGGAGGCACTCGTTCTGTATCCCCATCGTAAATATGTAAAACAATAGGAGTACGCTGTTCTTAATTTAGTGGAAATTGGTTAATTTTGTGTTTAGTAATCATAGAGTAATACTAAGTTGAAGTATCGTGAAGTTAGCGATTTTAGGGTGAGCTGTCGATTGGGGTGGCCGCAGATGAGTAGGTTGACCTAGTTATTAGATGGATTCCGCTCTACTAGCGAAGTAGCCGAGACCCAGGTTCTGAGATACAGATATAATATATATGGCGACATAATCCAGCTTAGCTATGTTTAACGCACAATATTATCCTTTATGCGTATCTAGATCGATATGTACCACTCTCATCGCACCGTTCCCATCGTCACCATTCAGCTGCTAGCAGCAGTATGGGCCGAGGCACAAGCAGACGGTTCACTCACATCATTTGGATCACTTCCTGATAGATTCAGGCCCAAATTCCGCTACTGGTGAAACTCCCTACCCCTATACTAGGACATAGCCTTCTCCTCGTCAAAATAAACAAATCAACACAACGCAGGTTCCCCGACGCCTCAGTCCCTGCAGAACCCACCACCCGCGATATTCAATCCATCTCCACCGTCGGCGCCAGCGGCCTCCAATATCTCCCCTATTATAACTACGGCCTCTCACCAGCGTCAAGTGACTGGTCCATCTACGGTTTCGGCACTGCCGCTTTTCGATCTCGCCTCGGATCAAACCAGGGGCAGGGTGTGCCGGCTGAGATTGAGAGTCAGTCCCGGGTTGGCAAAGGAATTGGTTTATGGGAATGTAACACTGTGGCGATGGTCCCCGTGGCAAAGCCCTTGAGGAACTTGCCCCCGAAGAAGACGGGCTTCGTGGTGGCGATGAACTGCATGGTGATAGCAGCATAGCTCAGGACCAGAACGCCAATCAGGACGGGCTTGCGGCCCAGAAGGTCGGCGAGCGCACTGCCGCCGAGGCAGCCGATGATGGCTCTTGGGTCACGATTCCAATCAGCAAGCTCGTACTCGATGTATAACAACTCCATTCCAAAGCATAAAGATAGACTCACGATGCCATCAGCGCCCCGCTAAAAGCCGACTGCCAGTTCGCGTATCGCGTACAGCACATACGAACCATCGTATAAATGGCCAAAGTCTTGATGAAATCGAGGGATGCCGAGGATGTTTCCCGATGCCTGGTTCTCGAAGCTGACGAGCAGGACGTACCAGATGCAGAAGAGCCACCAGAGACAGGCTTTGGTGTAGCGACGGAAGGACCCGCGTTTGCCCATCTCGAGTTCTTCTTGATTGCCGAGGTGGGCAAGTTGCGTGTCTTGCTCCGCGTGGACGGTGCTTTGGTTTGCGGAACCCCTAGTGGTTGCTTTAGTTGGACGACGAACAAGGTAACATGAGGAGTTGGCCTAGTTCGATGAATAGGGAACAGAACTTTATACAGCATCGGTGCTAGCTACGACTACTAATTATATGCTACGGCTCGTTAATCTCGACATTGTGTGGTCTCGAGACACGGCTCTCAGGGCTCCAGTGAGTAGAGGTTAGTCTGAGGTATTAGTTCGGACGCGGGGAAGATGCTGGACGGAGGAATCATTGGTCGAGTAGAGACAAGCTAAGGGCTACGGGGTCCGCCGTTTCGGGCTTACGGTGGAGTATGCGGAGACTCCAGGTCTATTCTGAATCCTGCTAGCTTAAGACTTGGAATGTCGTTCGCCAGTGGGTGGCTATCACTGCCAATTAGAGAACTGAGTTATGAGCCGTATAGGGGCGCATATCCGTTCGCTTGGAAAGTCTACCTTCTGAAGATTAGTTCCTTCGTGGAAGCATTGAGTAGTTGGGGTTATAGTAACTTGTCAAGTAGTAAAGCTAGCTTGCAGTGTGAAATTTTACTAACAGTTCTCTTTTCGGGATTGGTTACAGTTCGTCATTTGGTTAGCTAAGAGACTTCCTATTTAAGAGCTTGAGGCTTGGCATGACTGGTGATCAATAAGGAAATTCTAAGCACCCCCCTTGTCTTTCGTCCTAGTCCCACTTGCCGGTTCAAGTCCAGTGGTCGATTAACGTCTCTGGGCGTTCCTTTGATCGAATATCAATGGTGACATAGCCTGCCGCAGAGTTGTTATACTCTAAGAAAATTACTGGCCCTCTCCTACAGAATACTCAGCGTCGTCGGGTACATTGGAAATGTCTGAGAGGAGGAAAATTCGTGGTTTGTTGGAGTAGGTTTGTAGTTTGGTTCTGGCATCTGGTGAACTCATGATGGCGGCGATAAATTGATTAACTGGTGATTTTTATCCCTTTGACTCCCTTCCAACTGCGTTAGTGTCTCTAGTACGTTACCTCACCTATGCGAACCAATTTGAAACCGAAGGCCTAGTCCCTACCACCTCGATATGGTTACCAGACCGGACCTGTCCCTCCGACATGCACAAAATAGTCGACGGCTACGCAGCCGCCGTATCTAACCTAAATGCGCACACGCACCCAGACTACCCCTACCCACCCGTCTCTTACGTGAAGAGCTTGGTCAAGCCGGCGCCCCCATGTACGGCATGCAAGCGGTAGGCGACGATGTAGCCCTAAGCGAAGGCGGCTAGCTTCTAAAAGAGCGAATCGAAGCCTCGGAACACTTAGCTGAGCCGCTTTAGGTGCTATGCTGGGGCGGGATCAACGTCCTTGCGCAGACCCCACATCAGATCCGAAAACAGCACGACGCAGTCAAATCCGACTCATTGCGCTCCAAGATCCGAGTCTATGCGATTTCGGGCCAAGGCGATTTCTCGGCCTGGCTACGGAGCGAGTTCCCCGATGCGTTTTACATTTCAAGTATCCATGCTTGGAACCAATATGGTCTGGCCACATGGGCGGAGATATCGGGCGAAGCGCACTACGGGTTTGACGAGGGTGGGCCGGACGGGAGCAAGATTAGCAAGGAATGGGTCAAAGAGAATATCCAGATCGGCCCGCTGGAGCGCACATATACGGACCCGGAATTTGTGTTTGAGGGTGATACGCCGACGTTTCTGTGTCTGATCTAGAATGGACTTGGGGCGAGGGGATGCCCGGCTTTTGGGTCGTGGGGAGGCAGGTACGGGAGGACAGACCCGAGTAAGCGCGTTAGGCACTACGGGGATGCGGCGGATCGCGTAGTTGGCGCCGATGGAAGAACGTATAAGTCGAATCAAGCTACGGTTTGGCGGTGACGGGATGCGTATCAGAATGACTTTGCGGCGAGGATTAGGTGGTCCATGATAGGGGAGTTTGAGAAGGTCAATCATCATCCGGTAGTGTTGGTCAATGAACATGAGGGGCTTGAGCCCCTCTGGCTCGAGGTAGAAGCTGGGAAGAGTGTGAGGTTGGATGTGTCGGCTTCATATGATCCCGATGGGGGATGAGTAGGTGCTTAGGTGGTTCCAGTATGAAGAGCCGAGCGTCGAGGTGTGGAGTGCGCATAAGTTCACTGCGAAACTGGAGATTGAAGAAGTACTTGAGCCAGATGGCCGGGTTTTCGTGGTTCGAGTCCCGCTGGCAGATAAATGCTGTGTTGAGTTCAAGACGTGGAAACCTGTGACTCGTGGTCAAGTGCTGCATATTGTTTGGAGGTCAATGATAGTGGGAACCCACAGTTGGCTACGTACAACCGGGTCTTAATACAGACGGTGAATTCGAGTGTTAAATGACATTATGTATACTTATATGAGTTTTTTTTATGCTCTCACAATATTGCTGAGTTTTGTAACACGGCTAGGAGGCACTCCTACGGTGACTCTTACACTCATTTATTACGAAAACATTCATCCTCACATCGCGACATGATTTTTCTCCAATTCTTGCGCAATCTGAGTTGGAAGCTCCAACTTAATGAGCGAATCGGAAGTCCAGCCGTCGACTACCTCGCAACGTGGTGGTCCGGACGTAATGCCGCCTTTCTTCTTCGGTCATGGCAAACCACACCCTATCGCGCTGGTTGTTCCTCCAGACGTAGTATAGCTTCGTGAATATAAAGAGCAAAATGGCGAGTAAATTGATGCCGATAAGCACGGCGTTGCCGCGCCTGTATAGTGGCTTGTCTTCGTCGACGTAGATGAAGTTGGCGATGATACCGTCGAGTTGGACTGACATCTACTTCGGTGTTAGCCGACGGGCTTCGGGAGTTTGGTCGAATAGCTGGGGAAATAGGGGTGTGAGATAGATCCTGAGACAAACGTACATTGTAGAGTGCGGCGGAGACAGAGCGTGTGCCGACGTTGTTGGAGTTCTTAGAGGTCCAACCGACGAGGATTGCGTCTGTGTTATATTTGTGAGTAATTTAGGATTAAGACGTTATTATTGAACGGTGGTTACATACGGCAGTAAGGGTACGAGAGCAGAACCGTGACCACGGCATACGTTCCCCATGCGTCGGTATTGGACCCAGGCCAAAAGCGCAACGCAATCATGCATGGCAAAGTCCAAATAGGCTGGGACATTGAAACCAGGGTGCGTTCATTGAAGTATTCCGAGACTCGGGTGATGACGATGAGTGTAACGATGTGACCAATGCTCTAGTACAATTATTAGCATGATTCAGCGAGAATCCTTATCTCGAAAGAGCTCAACAAATACAATCCAGAAAAAAACTACTTACAGACGGAATAGTCAATAGATTCGTATTAAAAGTACCATACCCCAACGACTTAAGCGTAAGCGTAATATACTTAGACGGCGGCGCATGCGGTATAAATATAACCAAGCCCAGCGCGTACAGCGGCCAGAGATCATAGTCCTTCAACGCTTCCCAGAGTCTTCCGGGAGTGATGGGCTGGCGGTTGTGCATATCGCCCTTGGAAGGGTCGTCGCGCAGCACGCGGTTGACGACGATGGAAACATCGCGGTCGGTGAACCAGCCGTTGGGGCGGAACCATGTTTTGGTCTGCACGGCGGAAGCGGGCATGTAGAAGAAGGACGAGATTCCGACCTTGGAAGGGGGAAGTTACTTAGTTTCTGGGTGGGATTCGGGAAATTCGGGGTTGGCTGGCTTACGATAAGGGTTATTAGGCCTTCGACGAGGAAGAGCCAGCGCCATCCAGAGTAGCCAAGGACACCGCGCATGTGTAGCAGGGCGAAGGCTAACAAGGAGGTCACAATAGATGTCACGGATAGTGTCGTCCAGAAATAGCTAATTTATTATCGGCTTGTCAGTTCGTAGCGTCCGGTTGGGATTGAACATACCTAAGTCGAATGGGTAGTTCCCGCGAAGTATAAAAATAGCTAAGCCACAGCACCACATCTGGGATGAACCCGCCCTAATCATTTCCATTGTCAGCGGTGTATGCAACTTGTGCATGTGGATATCTGCGTACCTCTAAGGCGCCCAGAAGAGCTCGCGTCGCAAGAAAGCTGCCACGCCCATTCAACCAGAATTGCGAGCATGCAACGATAGACCACAAACAAATCTGCATAGGAATCCATCGGTCTGGGCCAAACTTCTTCGATACCAATTGTGAAGGCAGCTCAGCTAAGAGGAAGGAAATCAAGAAGACACTGTTGCCATAGTTGTAGTCTACGTAGGTTGTGTCAGTCCCTCTCATTCCTTTCAAAGACATTCAAGTCATGTTTCATACCATTTGTATTCAAGCCAAGCTCGTCGAGCATATTGTCAGACACGGCTTGCACCAGGTTTCCGCGATCGACCTGTAGACCAAAGAACATGACACACTGATAATTCATTATCAGTAACCAATGGCATAGTTGTCAGATATATGCAAATGTGCTTTGACTTACAGCCCAAAGACAAACCCTCCAATCCAGCTTCCGAACAATCCTCTTCTCTTCGTCCTGGGTCCAGGTCAATGCCGCATCAAACACATGGCGACATTCGTATTGTGCGTCCTCGTACAGCTGTCTCCAATGCTCCGCATGATCGGGGTTCTCGAAGGGATTATTCCCGTCGAATCCGTCATGCTCGGGCTCGGACTGTTCGCTCAAGTACGTGTCGTGGTGTCCCTTGGTCTCGATTACTTTGAAGTGGCCCGCGCCGCCTTCGGTGACGTTGTCGGTTACAGGGATGTCGCCTTGGACTGGTGGTACCGACATTGCGATTTATTCTTCAGTCCTTGTTGTTCAGGTGGAACACAACAGGCAGCGTAGTATTCTGCTTATTTTACATCAATCTGATATTTTATCTAGCAACCAATGTCTATTATATGCGCTATGCCACGCATGCCCGAATCTGAGCCCTGTATGGCGTGATGATGTACCCTTACCCAAAAGGCGCGGATTCCCGATGACGTGACGACCAAAATCCTTAACTCCTACCCAAAGCATCCCAAACTACTGCAAGGTTTGCATGGCGCTCGGGGAGGTATGGACCGGCTGCTTGGGTCATGTCTTCACTTCCAGCATGTATGGCACCACCTGTAGCGTCGGCTATTGGGCTGGTCATTCTATCTTGCATCAGTCCAATTCACGCCAATTACGAAGTAAAATAAATAATGGCTTGGATTGTTTGAGAAAAAGCGTTCATCATCCTGGGTTGAGGGTCTTGGCGGCATACTTCCCTGCGATACTACGAAACTTGTGTCCAGATGTACTCGTTAGTAGTGCCGAACATTCAACCGAGTCGTCTTCCATGACAACAAAGAAGCTGTCCCCTATACCTCCCAGCTTGTCATTCCGCATTGTCCAAAGGATCATCTAGAATGATCTGTCACTCTTTGCTTCCTCTTTGCGGCACCAAAAATAATTATACGTCCCATTTGCATACAAAGTGAAGCATTCTCCTTCTTACTAGAACACCAACCACCTAAGTCTAGTTCTCAACGGTGTCTTCAGCAATGGCCAAACTGAAACCTACAAATTTAAAGCTCCCACATTAAGGACAAGAGAAGCCGCGTCGCAGCCTTGCGGCGTCCATAGACAGGCTATATGTATATCTGTTACGAAGGCGGATGAGAACGTCGGCGGGAAAGAGGAGAAATTCCAGGAGCGGCTGCAAAACAAGTGAGCGGCGGGGATGGATGGGTTGGTGAGGGCGTTTGAGGGTATTTGGAACAGGGTTCAGTTTGTGTTCCTGTCTGTGGACATCAAGGAGTTGAAGTTGGTTACGACTATCTTGCACTTGAGCGAGACGGAGGATCGTTCGCAGTTGACTAGGTGTCGGACTGTGTGGGTGGGGATCACACCGGAAATGCAGAGATCATGGCTCGAGTCGCGCAGAGTTTGCCTGTTTGAGACGGGGAAAGTCACGATTAATGATGATTCGGTGCGGATGGGGTTGTTGGTGCCGCGCCAGGATGACGGTGAGGAGTATGCGTGGGAGTTGGGATTCAGGTCGTTTGACATGATTCAGCAGATGTTGAGTAATATTACGGATGGATGCTATCAGAGTGAGGGCTTGAGCTCGGAAGAGTAGAAGCAAGATTACGCCGAATATTTCTTTGGTTGTATTAATGGGTGGATTGACTGTCAGTCGGTTCGGCAGGATATGGTTTGCATGGCTGCTTCGCGGCGTCGACTATGGGCTGCGTATTGCGATGAAGTCAATTATTCAATTACATGTTCGCGGTGATGGGGAGACTAAGGGTCGGAAAATTTGGTTGCTCCTGATGCCGAGATTAGTGACGGCGGAGGCGATGGTGAAGGAGGAGACGGTGGTGATGATGATAGCGGCGGCAATGACGACGATGGGAACATGGGTAAAGCTTCTGACAAGAATAAGCGCTTACTAAGTACTTCCTGGGGAGAAACGACGGCGAACAACTTCAATTGACTAAATTTTTATAAGGATCTTGCTGCTGGGAAGCCGCCAAAGTGCTGGAAAGGCATGCATAACGGTAAAGTATTGAGCGAGATTTCAGGAAAGTCTGGCTTTATAGATAACTTATGATGCACTTAGCACACCTTGGAACGCAAGACATCAGTGGTCTTTTGGGGGAGGTTTTACGGAGTTGTAGTGTTCCAGTTTGTAGACTCATTCTATTTGTTAATCAATATCTGATGAGAAATTATCTGTAGGTCAAGCTTGTATTCGGTGCTGGCTCATTCGCCTTCGACAAGGCCATTGACGAAATTTGTCGTCACAAAATTTCACGTACAGATATCCAGCTTGAAGTGCGCAAGCCCAACAGCTGATTTTGGCTCACATGGCTTCGTATGGCTTCATAGTGGAAGGCATTTAATTAGTGTGCTCGGACTCTGCGAGCACCAATCGGGCCAGGTACTAATTTGTTTAATCTGCGATTGGCGAATGGAGCTAATAGAAATATAATGATATGTATGCGATTGAATGGGCACTTTTTCGCGTATCATCCCCTCCCACTTGCCAGAAATCAAGTTATTTCTTCTCGGGATGTCTGTTGGGCTGCTGTCCCGCCCCGACCTTCAACCCATCTGAGATAGAGCCAACAATGCCGCTCACGGGGTTCCTATGCCCTCCCACCTCGAGGCCCTTGGAAACGGCACCGACAATGTCTCCAGCTTGCCCAGCGCCGAGCTTTGCTGGATTGTGTGTCTTTTGGGAGTGTACCTGACCGCTAATGGCAACAGTATGTCAATAGAAAAGCCTTAAGCCGTTCTGGGCTGGAGATGATACCTCTGCTTGGTCTTATTTGACGCATCGGGAGGACCGGAATTATTCATGTTGGTAATGAATTTATAACGGCGGTATTGTTTTAGAGATGAAAACTATCGGTATGTTTGAACCTTTCGTATGTATACAGAGTGTACCATGGTAGCATGATGCTAATGAGCTCCGTATATATGTATGTTAGTATCGCTTCACATGCAGCCATACCTATAGATGAGTCTGATTTTGGCCCGAGGAGACTATGTGTAATCGTGCTGTCATCACCTCCGACTTGGTATTTTGCACTTGGCTTACGAACAACAATTCGGAGCACAGTTTGTTTCATCTGATAAAGGCGATTGTCAACGCATAGCTTCGATGACGTCGTTTACATTGAAACATCCGAACTTCCAGCTTCCATGTTGATGAAAATGCACTGTAAGTCTACAAGGAAACTTCTTTGTGGTGGAGTAGTTACAACTGAAATGGAAAGAACTCGAAGTCATCTGTAGTTGCGGAACTATCGACGGGTTTGAGACTAGCACTATCATCTCAGACACGAGATGCGGTGGAACAGAATAAAAACAAATCAAAAGATAAGACGGATTACGTGTTCTTTTTTCGGAAAAAAGAAAAATTATGGTTTCGTTTGTATAACAATTGCGTGTACCACAGGATGGACTGCATGATTCAGCGAGTCACTGACAATCAGGTCCCCCAATGGACACTGCCTACGGGCTTTTGGGTTGAAGAGCCTCTGTCGTATAGCGCTTTCTCCATCAGTCAATTCATGGAAACACCAGCAGATGTCAACCCAGTTCAAACATTCCCAGTGTCCCAGGCCAGCAGGGCGTGATGCTAGGGTCTGGTTCATAATAGGAAAGTAGGCTTCCCAAAATAATAACTTCTAGTAGAATAAGGCATCAAGTCTTTGAGGAAAGAAGTCAGATTTGTTGTAGCCTATTTATCTCTCAATTAGCTAGTCCAGTTCTATCAACACCAGGAACCAAATCCCAGTTACAGAGCTTGTTTTCTGCGTATGGGACCAAATAGAGAAGAATAGTTGACCTCAAGGAGTGACAATTCACACAGCCATCACGTGCAGACTCGTTTGATGTTAGAGGACAGGTTGAAAGGCTTGAAGAGCTACTCCTTGTTCGACCGCAACAAGCCCCTCGATGTGGGGTTCTTTATTACGTCAGCCTGGACAGTGAAATTTAGCTAGAAAAGAATTTACATCTTTGATTCTCAAATATCGTGATAGTTTGCTTAGGTCAAATTAACATTAGTACAAGCCATCATATACTCAACCATAGCGTTCCAGTTAAAACTAGATAACCCGCATGCCATCCCAGGAACACAGACTCCAACTTTTAATCTTGAGATATCGTCATGTTTGATAACTAAATGCTCTAGTAGCTGCCTAATGCTCACCATGTTTCTCAAGCAACCTATTTTCAAATTCCACCTCCTCAAACTTCATCCGTCCCATGGCGTCCCGTCTTGTCTAGTGTTGTCCAATTGGTTATACTACTGTTCTTGGTTTTCCTCTCAGTTATCATTGTGTCAAGTATCATCCTGTTGAGTGTTATGCTATTCCGTGCTGTTCCGTATGCCCATAGCTGCTTGTTCCCTTGTAGTGACCCTGCCTCTTTAACACCGTTCGTTCTGTAGCAGCGTCGGCCGCGGCTGCAAATGGGCTCGATCGATCGTCTACCTGACTACGGAGGACCGAGGACACTACGCCGGCGGGTGCCTGCTGAATCTGTTGGCAAAGGATTTGGCCAAGTGATACGATATGTTTGGTCAGGCAAGTTCGCTATGCCTTCTACTGATGCCCTCCAGGTCGCCGTGGGTGACTGGGTCGTGGATATGAATCTGGACAGGAGCAGGAGCAAAGTGAGAAGAAGGAGGAATGCATACAGGGAGAGTTTAACGATGGTGGTATGAAAGAGGAAGGAGTGTTCGGCAATTCTGATGAGCACAAGGTGAAGATGGAAGGCGCAAATCAATGAGGAAATTACCGAAGAAGGAATGTGTCAGTTCGGAATCTGGGAAGGTACGAAACATGACTGAAATGGATGCATTACTTCCTCACTCATATAATGCTCTATCCGTTAGATCAGACGGAATGGGAAAAGATCAAACAGATGAGAAAATGAACGTGTATTCAAGATGTGAGTGATCCTTTCGTCCGGTCTAGCTCGATATTCCAATGCAGTGTTTTCCACTAAGGTGCGCCGTATACTTTGGCGCTTTCTTTCTCCATCCTCCAAAAAAACCCGCATATGTACTGGTTGCATGAGACGAATCAACTCTGGGTGCCCATAGGCCAGCGTGAAGAGTTGGGGGTATCGCCTCGCATGCACAGTGCCATCTCCAAAGCTAATGCGCCCGCACTTCCAATAAGAAACTGGAGTCCTCCTGCTTCCACGCCTGCAAGTTCGATTTACACGTCATATGCTCTGGACGTCGAATTACTTCATCTGCTGTAGTGGGGTAAGGCTGGACGTAAGGAAAATAGGTGACGGAGCGGGGAGGATCTTTTGCTTTTCTTCAAGGGGCTTGTGGCTGTAGTTTCTTTTTTGACAACAATCCCTTTTTAATCATCTCTTTTATCACCTTCTTTTCTACACAGTCAACAATAACCGTGCTCTTCTCCAGTGTGCGCAATTCAAAGTTTCGGTTCATAATTCACTTATAAGTTCAGGCATGGTTTCCAAGAATCCATCCATCTCTTCCACTTTAGCCTTGACAACTAGGAGGAATTGTGTCTAGCCCTGATCAGAGCAATTCAACGCCAGTGGCAGCTTTGTCTCGACTCCCAGAGTCAAGGCTCCAATCCTGAGAATCACCCCTTCGCTGAATACAAGAGGACACATCCGACCAACTTGCGCTCAAGGCTTGTAGTGAAACGGGGTCAGGCGGTTAGTAGGATATACCTACCACCTAACACACTGAACAGACGGCTCCAGTACCAACAGATCCCATCTGTTGGTCTTATCAGACGAAGATCGTGGTACTGGTTATAAGAGCGAAGCTCTTATACGTCTGGTGCGCGAGTTGGTCGGATGTGCCTCTGAGACTCTCGTCGGAATGATTCTCAGAACAAGACGTCTGGCTCTGGAAGTCGAATTGAAGCTCTCACTAGCACTAGATTGCTCTGATCAGAGCAAGATATAATCCTCTGACATTGTCAAGGCTAGGATGAGGGCGGAATAATAGGATTTCGAAAATAGTGTCTAAGTGCACGTAGGAATTAACCGCATAATTGAAGGGCTCGCTAACTAGAATAGAAAACAAAAGTCAAGTTGATTGAATAAGATGATGAAAAGAGATGACAAGTTGTTGAAAGTCGTCTGTCATCTCCGTGTCCCTTAAAAAGTGTGGAAGACAGGGGAGTCCTCCCTGGCCCCCGTCACCTACTTTCCTGACGTCCGGCCTGGCCCCACTACAGTAGGAGCTTCGCTCCGGCGTCCATCGCCATGATCTTCGTCTGATCAGACCACCAGATGGGATGTGTTGGTGCTGGGGCCGCTTTGCCAGTGTGTTAGGTAGTGGGTACATCCTACCGACCGCCTGACCCCGTTTCACTGCATGTGGGATTGGCTAGATTCGGATGATCAATACTTATAATAGATGGTTGCCCGCTTTGTGGCATTGCCCAGGAGCAGCCCAACTGTCACCAACATCTCGTGAAAATAAAGCACCTCAGCTGCAAGAATCAGAGACATATGAAAAATGCCTAACAAACACATCCCCGACGTGCCCTCGCCACCGCTCAGCTCAGATTCCAGCCTAGTCCTAGACGCACCCCTCAAATACCGCCAAACCCAAGCGGCCGCCTGCCTAGGTTCCCTTTGCCTAACAGTCTCCTTTGCCCTCTTCCTCATCTCCTTCGGGCAAAAACACTGCCCTCCACCCTCCGGCTGCACCGCGCACCAGCTTCCCGAGAGCTTCATTATCCTCCTAGGTTTTGGCAGCACCGTGGTTCTGATCGTCTTCATTTGGGGTCTCATCGGAGCCGAGGGGGCTTTTGCATACAGGAGGGCCTGTCCGTGGCTGGGCGGCGTGTTTGGCATCATGATGTACATGGTTTTCCATTTGGTATCTGGAGTGGAACAGTCGGTGCCTGGGGGGATTGGGTTGGTCATATGTTGTTTTTGGAGTGGTTTTTGTTTGGAGCTTTGGGTCGGGGGCGGTCAGAGGGTTATTGAGGAGCTTACTGTGAGCGGGTAGAGGAGGAAGTAAAGTATTTGGATACAAGCCCTGAGGACGGGTGGAAAGCTCACATGACAATACATCCTCAGATACACATACATATTGTAAACGAACAGCTTTCATACAAAAGTCAAATTTTCTGCAATACCCTGTGGAAAGTCTACAGTGAGCGCCTGATTATCAATGATCTCGTTCCATAGGAGGGGTGGACGTATAACTTGGGTGTGTAGGGGAATTAAATAAGACACACAGATTGTAAACTTGTAAACGGACATTTGTTGCCAAAAAGACAAATACTGTCGAATCTGGAAAGTAGGATAGTGGCCAGTCCCTAATTCCATGAAGCCTAGGTTGGGTTCGTCCCTTCACTGCTACGTAACAACAAAACAACATGGGACGGCAGTCTATACCAACTCGCTGACAATATGGGACCTGAAGAACCATGTGATATAGGTGCTTCGGCCATGAAGTGATGGTGCCTGTGCAGCGTAGATCTGATTACCCACGGAGCAAATGTGGCCAATTCGTATACCCATTGTTTACGAGTGTATAACACAGAGTAACCGTGAACAATGCTTGAGGTGCGTTCTTATCCCAAGATTCAGTAACCATTGCAGCACGTACACAATGCACATCAATCCACCACGTCACGGCTTGTGGGGTAATCATAGCCTACCAACCCACCATTCTTTGCATAACGCCTTTCCATTCACCAGGATCTTCCAGCAACCACGCCACAAAATGACCATCACGGGTGAGAAGAGAAAGCGCCAGTCCAATGACTCGGACTCCTCCTCATCCCGCAAGCAAAAGAAGAACAAACCCAAGACCCTCCAGCAACTGGCCCCCAAAGCCGGCCTCCACTATGATACCCTCAGCAAAGGCCACCCCCTTCTATCCAGCCAGTGCGTCTGCGACGCCATCAACGCCCTGCGCTGTGCACACAGCAACCACAACCGCAGGTTTAAGCTCACCCGCGCGCAGATTGATGCATCGCTATCTGAGCTCTTCGCAGCTGGGCGACGCCACATCTTCGCAGCTGACATGACGCCTTTCGTGTTTTGGGAGAAGGTCGGCAACAGCGTCGGCTGGAGCAAGAACTTGGAAACGCAGGTTGTGGTCACGCTTGTTTTCAAGCTGCTTAAGGCGCGTAAGCTGTACACGGAGAGAGGTGGGCCGTGGTCGTTGTCTGAGGAGAAGAAGAACAAGGGAAAGGTTGGTTCCACGATTCAAGCGATTGGTCGGTTTTTGGATTCGGTTCGGGAGCACCATGGCGATAATACGCTGTTGATGAGCTTCTACGAGAATCCGTCGCTGGCCCTTGATACGGATGACGAGGGTGAGGAATCTGCCGAGGAGATGGATCGCTACCAGAAGACGAAGACTAGAGGAAGTTCTAAGAATGCGGGCGAGTTGAAGGACGGAACCACGGGGAGAAGCCTAACGGGCATCGCATCTGCTTGCCAGTCAGCCAGAGCCACGGGTGCTTCTCAGGCAGTTCAGGAGTCCGCAGAGGCCGTAAAGATGCCTCGCGCAAATGATGGCCTTGTTCTCGACGGCTGGAACTCTATTATCAGCGCTGCTGGACTACCCATTCGACTTCGTTCTGATTTGGCCGCATAAGCCGATATGCAATATGTCCAACACCGAAACATACCACCCGGATTGATTGTATCGACAGGGATGTCCACGCCAACGCTTCTGGTCCTGGGATCACTTTTAAGACACATTACTACGGAAGTTGCCGGACAACAAACCCAGCGTTGAAGAGGTCCAATTCAATGTATCAACAGTTTTACAGAATTGAACTCGCACAGGTTTTCTTCTTGTTGGGTGGACAAAAAATTGCGATGCGGTTGGTGACGATGGGAAGCCGACCCGACAAAAAGACGAAAGAGCCATGCAATTGTAGCTGCAGTCAAGGTGACCCGACTTATCGGCAATCTATCTGCAGGTGGTGTAACGTCATCACGGTCGTACCCGCTGCAACGGTAAAGGGGGTGGGGGGCACCGGGAGGTGGGAAGGTACGGCCAAGTACAGGGCTACAAAACCCCGCCCCCAAACCAGAAGTAACCATCATAGAAGAAGAAAAAAAACATCTTTTTTTGGCCTTTATATAAATCTGGTCCGAGAGAATGGGGAATAAAAAGAAAACAACAAAAAGATAACTCAGACAATGAAAAATAAACAATACTTTCCAGAATAAGTCTTGGACAATGACCTAGGAATTAGTCTCCTTCACAGCCGTCCAAGCGATTCCCGCTGTTCCAGCAATCGCAATTGTTCCCAAGCACGATAGACATGCCGGCCGGGGATCGCAATCTGTCAATCGCTGTCCTGTCCTGTGGCTCTGCAGCGTCAGCCCTGGAGCGACACCCCCTTAGCGCGGGGTGGTTGTAGTTAAGGTAACCATAGACCCCCCTAGTTCACCGACCACACTTTTCTTTTTAAATCCGCAGAGATTTTTCGCAGCAACTCCAGCCCAAATATAACGAAATCATTCTACAATTAGTTCTAAATCGATTCTTAATCGATTCTACTGCATTATCTTTACTATGGCTACTGCAGATATCTTCCCTATTATCCAAAATGCCCGCTCTATGTTTAGAGGTACGCAAATTAGTAGCCGAGCTCAGGAAGAGGTTGCTATTTACGATCGCGCCCATAGAGCCACCCAGTTGACGATACGGAGGTCAGGGTAAGTAAATCAATTCGGAACTACTTTCAAATCGATTCTAAAGCGAAATTATATTAGCCTAGTCCTCCGCGTATTACCTCGCTCACTCTCGTCTCGGCGGAGGCAGTAAGTGTGAACCTTGGTGGGCTTTGCTAAGACCACCAAGGTTGCCTAACACCTTCTGTAACGAAACCTCTAATAGTCTAGCTGCGTAAACCACTAAAGAGTCTGTAAGGGTTTGTGCTAGTAAGTAAGTCCTGCTGCGGAGTGTCACGCCGTGCTAGGGGTTGCAATCCTTGCCACTACGCCACCGTATCAGATGTCTTCACCAAAAGAGACCAATACCAAAGTCCCTGACTTTGATATCTGCAACCACTTATCAATCTGTTCAGACCAGTGTAGGTCAATCACGTGACAAACGTCACACGGAGTCCTCAAGCAATAATATCAGGGTCTGACGTATGGAGTATAGGGCTCTGGGTAACTGAAGTATTCACGTGAGCCTTCAGGTTAGACTCATTGCTGAAGCGACCAGTCTATGAATTAATTTAGAATCAATTCTAGAGTGATCTAGAGGTACTTACAGTCATACACATACCACCGGAAGTGGTAGGCATACGGCAATAGAGCTCACCAACAGCTAGCACGACTTCATCTTCCTAGACTATACAGAATTAGTTTGGAATCGATTAAGGGCTAAAAAAGAATCAGCTTAAAATCGATTCGAAGTTAATTTAGAAATGTACTTGCTGTGTCCTTGTATGACGACATCGTTACGTGGAACGATTGGTTGAATTGCCTGGAAGAAGTAGCGGATAACGGGTTGTTACTAGGGAAAGCAGAATCGAATCGAAATCGGAATTCAAATTCGATTCAAATTCGATTCTGTGGTCAGCTGGACCCAATTTTCACATATTTTCAACCAATGGGAATGGAGGGATTATCTACCCCACTATGGTCACCTGGACCCAGTATTTTAACATCACGTGAGGTCATGGTCGGCTCAACTGGGGGGTCTATGGTCACCTTAACTGTAGTCTCAGCGCGGGTCCCTCCTCAGGCTGATTTGCCCGTGGAAATCCCATAATCCCTGCCTCGCAGATAGCTGCTGGTGTTTCATCTGCGACCGCCACTAATCTAGGGTGTGAGATTGGGAATAGCCGAGTTGCCAAGTTGCGGTTTCTAGTCTCCAAATGCCAATAGTCGATCCCTATCTAGAAAAAGTTCTTTTGATGAAAGTGTCCTGTTCTGTCCCGTCCCATCCGATCTCGTAATGTCTTCTAAACTCGTCGCGTATTCTTCGTCCTTTGTTTCTTTTCCCGATCACCCGTCTACGAGGACTCAATTACGCGGAGCAAGGTAGAGAGCGCGCAATTGCCACCGAAGCCACCCCGATTCTTTTCTCGTCCTAAGTCTGGATGTCAACTGGAGTGAAGCTTGAATTTCCCGTGGCCGTATTTGTGTGGGGAAAGTTGGAAGGTTTTTGAGGCCGACCAGGTCCTGGAGTGATCGACCGAACCAAAATCCATTCAGCGAGAACCGACACCTTCGCCTTCCTCCTCCTCCTCCTCCTCCTCCTCCTCCATCACCTCTCCTACTATTCTTTATCGCACGGCAATGCGGTCCTTACAGTGAAGCGGCCGTCCATGTTTCCTTCTAGTGTACCGCGTGTCTTCGTTCTCGCTGGCCTCGCCCTCCTGACCCTTGTATTCGGCACCAGTTACTATCTTTACGACGATGAACCCTCCTACTACTACCCGCCAACAAACCCGCAGCCAGCATACCTCGAAGAAACCGTCAGCGACGCCATTTCCACGGGAGTCAATGAGCACATCAATAAGAACTTGCCGGGGACGGTCCCTGGGCAAGATACCGCCGAGGAGGTCCTAGATCTCGACGACGTTCACAATGCCGGCAATTCCGCGTTGAAAGATGTGATCGACGTCATCGCCACCGAGCCACTACCACCAACACCACCACCCGCACCCGAGTCCGTCCCCCTAACTCCCGTTCTCGAACCGCCGGTGCAACCCCCGACCACGGGAAGCGACAACAGTGATGATCCACGGCCGCCGCCGACTCCTGGCCAATGCATCCAGGAATTGGATTTCTTGAGGCAATCCCAGCCCCAACTGAAGCTCTCAGACCGCGTCTCCTACTCGCGCCGATGCATACAGCCCGTCTTCTCTGGTAGCAACCGGACCGAAGTCGGCAACATCTCCGACTCCCTCTTCGGCCACCAGATACTGGTTAATATTGAACAATGTCAGGACGTCCGACTCCCCAGATGCGTGCCCATACGCCTGCCCGTCTCGAAGCCGTATCCGAGGAAGAAGTACCCGCACTTCATCTTCGGCATCGCGACGGATTACACGCGGCTCGCCGGTTCCCTCGATGGTTTCGCCCACTGGCTTTCCAACACGGACTCCAAGCTCGTTGCCGTCGTGACCGACATGCACATGCACAACTCCACGCAAATCAACAACCTCAAGCTGGACTTCCAGCATGCTGGCGTCGACGTCGTTTTCGAGAAGCCCTTCGACGCCAAGCACAGCACCTCGCAATCCCACTTCATGGTGCTGGTCCACATGCTCGCTCTCGGCGACGCCGCCTCCGCCCCAACGCGCTGGTACGGCCTCCTCGACGACGATACCTTCTACCCTAGTTTGCACCCCCTAGACGACGCGCTCAGTGCGCTAGACCACAACCGCGATTTCTACGTCGGCACCTTAAGCGAGGACTTCAACGCGATCCGCAATTTCGGATTCATGGCCTTCGGCGGGGCGGGCGCTTACATATCCGCTCCCCTGGCGCGGAAACTGGGCGCCAATGCGGCGGCTTGCGTCGAGAGGCCTACCGAGGGAGACATAATCCTGCGAGATTGCGTGTACCGGCACTCTAAGGCGAAGCTGACGATGCTACCGGGGCTGTATCAGCAGGATATGAAGGGCGACGCCAGCGGGTTCTTCGAGTCCGGGGTGCAGGCGCTGAATTTCCACCACTGGAAGAGCTGGTTCAAGGCGCCCGTGGTGAAAATGGCGGCTACGGCCAATTATTGTGGAGATTGCTTGATGCAGCGGTGGCGGTTTGGGGTTGATGAGGTGTTGGCGAACGGATACTCGATTGCGAAATATCGTGACGGACTGGAGACTCTCGATCTGGATCGGATGGAGGGCACGTGGGAACAAGCTTCGCATAATTTCGACTTTAGTATTGGGCCGTTCAGGCAGAGGTTGGGGCCGGAGCTGAAGAAGAGCTACAGGCTGGAGGAGGCCAAGATTGAGGAGAGTCGGGCCGGGGGGTTGAGACAGTTGTATGTGCATAGGGGGAACCACAGCTCGGGGGAGTTTGACGAGGTTGTTGAGCTGGTTTGGGGGACTTAGTATGTCTCACCGCCGGTTGTTAGGAACCTGGGATCAAACGAACTATAGGGGCGTTCGTTGCTTGCCATGGGTGGTGCGAGGATGAAGGGCTCGTTTCCGTGAAAGTAGAAGATTGGAGGGCTGGAATTCATGGGAGAAAGAGGATGAAGGGACGTATCCTGGATAGAGGGGACAATCGACCTGAGAATACCCTAGAATTTCATTTAGTGGCTTGGATACCTTAATCAGTCAATAAATACTGTAAAGACTATTTACCTACGGACGGGTTTCTGTCGATGGATCTTGAGAGATTCTCACATCGCTCAACTTTTAGGATAACCAGCCAATATCCGCCAACCTACTTAGAGGTTGATGACTCCTTCGAATGCGGTGAATCAGCGTACTCCATCGCTTCACAATCCGACAGAGTGTCACAGGCGCAGGTACGCGGCCGTAAGGGGGACTGGGGCATCGGGGGGTGGGTTGGGTTACTATGGAGACGACGCAAGACCCGGCTTGGATGAGATCCCGTGGCATGCGACCTATGATGTGGTCGATCAGATAGGACAAGTTATTGTTGAATGCCCAGAGGGCGGTGTCTGGAAAGTGCTCCGCGGCGTGTCGATGGTGTCTGCGACATGTTCAACGTGGAATCTTGTTGGGATTCCATCGCTTCGTCGTGCTTCTGCTGCTGGATCTTTAGGTCCTGCTCATGCATCACTCCCAGCAAACCGAGCTCCTCCACATGTCGGTTCGCCATATCTTTCATCTCTTTCTCAGACAGCTTAGCCTTCTGTGTCATATCAGTTCCATCACGCGGTCACTTGGCCCTTCGTCAGGATCGTTGGATTCTTCGCGTGCTCATTTTGTAGAAGCTGTTGTAGTGATACAGTGTTCAGGTGCCAAATCTTTCGAGCTGTTATGCACGTTATTTACCATCGTCATATGTCTCGGGAAATTGTCGAGTCTCGGGATCGGACGGCAGTTTCGCAACTTGCACAAGTACACGCCATCTTTCTCGTGTACGCCGGATTGGTGACGCTGAGCAACCGGTACAATGGTACAGCCGATCATGTCGCTTTCTATGTACTTATTTGAGACTTCCCTTATTTGCGAGTGACTTTGAGCATCCAGGATAGGTACGGGGGGACATGTGGTACCTCAAGTACCACCATTAATGCAAGGCTCAGTCATTCCGATAAAACTCTTTGAATTACGTTCAACATTTGAGAACATTCCCGACGCAGTTGGCGACAGTGTCTTGAACTGTGCCAGTCCTTGTTGTGGGAGTTGCGATGGGAAAGAGCTGTCGCTCTGTCACTGGGCAGAAGACTCATTCAACTCCATATTCGCAGAATTATCGCAGGTCACATGCATATAGTGCTGCGGTTCATACTGAATTTTTATTGTAAAAAGGTATCGTAGAAACGAGCGTGGGGAGGAATTCGAAGCAGGTCTCCTGCATGGTTGAGAGTAAAGGCATTAAAGAGTAATGATCGTACACCTTCGGATGTGAAAAGGCCCCGTAAACGAATGCAAGCCGCGAGAGTTAGGAGAGAGGTGAAACAAAAGCACAAAAACCGAACCCCGCGATTCGAGAAATTTATCCGTGGAAAGAGAGAATTCGAGATGCGACAACGCCTGACGAATAATAGAAGAGATCGAGAGAGCTTCGTGTGCTGGGCTTGCTCAAAAAGCCGTGTTTTGAGAAATATATAAAAGCCGAGCCCCAGCTCAGACGGTGATAGCGAAGGAAAAAGGGGTTGGTACCTGTTAATGTGAGTCAGCCATATGAATCGCTGGTTGAGTCAATTGCACCTTGATCATGCAAGTCAGGTTGCCGGTCACTGCTTGAGGTCTTCGTGCTCGGTGTATTCACGCTCGATGTCCAGGGGTGGGAACTCTTGAAAGTGTGGATGGTCGCAATTCAATTTTTTACGTGCTTGACTGCTCTCGCATTCTCGCCCATCGGTCGCTAATATACATTTTTTCCTTTTTGCGACAGCAGTAAGAGCATGAGACATCGTCATCCAACTCATTTTGGCCGGAAGACGACTGATTCCACTGTTGCTGGCTGGCCTGGAGTTGGGTTAAGCTGTATAGAGGGTTATGGTACTGGGCTGCCGCTTGTGTATCCAGGGCGAATGGCTGTTGGGCACCTATCCATAGGCCTCCTTGGACAGGGTAGCCTAGATTCTGGGAGCCCGGGAAATAAGAGCCCGTATTGTAATTACCACCTGGGAAGCCATTGCTTGACAAATGAAGGTCAGGCCAGTGTGAACCGCGGCGTGTATTTGAGGAGTGAACAACGGCATAGGAACCACCCGAGGTTGAAAGATTTGAGCTGATGCGCTGGCGTCGCTGGCTGTAATGACGGGCAAGGTCATGGCGAGACATGGCTATGCCGGTATCTACAAAGCCTGGGATTCCAGTAATCTGGTTATCTGGCCAATGTTCTGGGTACTCTCCGTCCGGAACCCTCACACCGAACAATTCTTCACAAGTTTGATTCAGGGGATCATATAGTTCCCTTCCCCGGTCTTCTTCCTGTGCGCGCTCTGCCCCCTCTGAGCCAGCGCCTGGATTATTATTGTCCATAACTCCCGTTCGTTTTGGCGTGGAAGAAGATTTCGCGTTGTAAGCCTTGTTCTTTTCGTCTTTGGAAAGAGAGTAAGAGTTTTGGTGGGCATGGCTATAGTTCCAATTCTCTATTCATTTTACCTCTATTTACACTGAAAGACCGAGTACCGCGCTCAAAGAAATTCGATCTGACGAAAAAATAGCTACATCATCAAGGCCCACGAGAACAAAATCGTGATGGTGCTTTCCTTTGACCTGCAAGTGGTAGCAAACAGCACAGTGCCTGGAGGCTGAGAGTGTACCTCTCGAGCAGTGCGACTCCCTATGTCGAGACTGCTCAACTTTCTTTGTTTAACAATTGTCATTCTATAGCTGTTGGAATTGTATCCTGCCAACATGCATTCTGTTCACAAAGAAGTGGTTTGCCATGTTGCGTGGTGTAGCATGATGGTTGATGTTAATGTCGATTTTGAACCTATGGATCCTGGAACATGCAATAGCGTGACGGGCGAGGGGCAGAACTGCAATAGCGCCAACAAGCAGCTCGTCTCGAACATAATCTATGTCCATCGGGACATTGGGCTGGAGGCTGAAAACATGCGGCTCTACTTCGGGTTCGCAGCTTCTCAGGTGTTAAAAGGGGTAATGAAGAGCGTGCATACCCCTATCTTGACATCGGCACCATTGCTAAATACTTCAAAGAGTTCAAACCTGCGATTTAGTAGTCGTGTGCAACCTCAACAATATACATTATACCAGCCTACTCCTTCCGTTGTAGTAGACGCCTGCGATTGGCCATACGATTGAAGGGCCAAGGCGGTGAGAGGAATTGTTGTATTTGGATGACAATGTGGCAGAAAGCGACCCCACCTGAAGCGGGAATGGTGCCGCCAACCGTTTCTAGGCTATTTAGCAGATGCTGTGCCCCATCGGAAGATACCCTGTAATATTAAGTGCTGATCTACTTCAGACGAACGACTCCTCCTATGGTTTCACGATCACATGTTGGGCCTGAAACTTCAATTACTCCATTTCCTTGCTTTTCTCAATTTGCTAGTTACTCTTCAATCATTCCTTTCTTCCATCATCCTTCGCCTTCGCCAGATTCCCTTGGACAAACTTGTCCTCGACGCAAACAAAGACGTTCTCGATTGCTGCACGAGTCCACCCCCCTACGTCAATTCACAAACCCCGGAATATCCACATACGGAGCAGCACACACACACACACACACACACACACACACACAATGGCGCGGCACCTCTCGGTGATCGTCATTTTGGCGATTACTGCCTTCCTCAGCCTTTCTTTCCTCATGAACTTTGGCAGCAGGACCGACCAAGTCCCGCAACAATGGACCGCGCCCGTCGACACGAGCAGCCAACAAGGCAAAAGCAGTGCACCGGACCTGGTCGTGTCGGACTCGAAGGCGACGAGTCCGAATCTTGCGGTGGGCGAGTCCAAGTCAACTGACACGAAAACGACCGCTTCGAAACCCAATAAGGTCGATATCACTGAGTCCAAGATGGCCGGCTTGGAGATCACAAGCGAGCTTCTGACGGGCGATGTGATTGCACCCAAGTTGGAGAACGCCACCGCAAAGTACGTATACACAACATTTTTCCGCTTAAACTCTTTGAATCGAGAGGCTGGGAATCGAGAGCCCAGCTGTTTGGTTACAGTGCAGCCACCGGCTCTGTTGAAACTCAATCATCACCCCCGATTTATCCAGTAATACAACAAACGCTAACATGCTCACCTTCTCACAGAGCCGAGCTCGGCCGCGCCTCCTGGAAGCTCCTACACACAATGATGGCGCGCTTTCCGGAGAAGCCGACCGCAGACGAAAGCCAAGCGCTGAAATCGTACATCCAGCTATTTTCGCGCCTCTATCCCTGCGGCGACTGCGCGAAGCACTTCCAGTCGATGCTCAAGCAGTACCCACCGCAGGTGGGGTCGCGCAACTCGGCGGCAGGCTGGGCCTGCTTTGTACACAACCAGGTCAACGAGCGGCTGCACAAGGAGCTGTTCGACTGCAACAAGATTGGGGATTTCTATGATTGTGGCTGTGGGGAGGAGGATAAGACGAAGGGGGCAAAGAAAGAGTATAAAGGGCAGGCGGAGACGGAGGAGGAGTCGGGGGAGTTGAAGAAGGACGGGTGAGTTTTTCTTTGTCGTCCCAAGATGGTGGGAGGTCGAGGAGATGAATTGGGGATGCTAACGATTTGGTAGATTATCAGAAGCGAACTGATGTGGTGATGTTTTTGGAGCATGGCGAATGGTGTTGGGAAAATATTTATGAACTTTTTGGATCTATTTGGGGTACATGTTCAGGATCATTTCGGCAATATCATTGTTGTACAATTGGCAGACATCTAACTATTGAACCATTCATTGCCGTGGGTCATTTCCCTGACGCGGGTCAAAGCGGTCGGAATCGAGGTAGCTGTCCTAAGCCTCTGAGAGTATCTCTTGCCACAGACAAAAGGGACTTTGGTATGCCCCTATTCTGACTTAACGGCGTGTTTGCACGGCTCGGACAAGGAGATACGGAGCTGTTCTTCTTCTGCCATGCCAGAGAATGCCGTCCACATTTCTGAGGCTGCGATTGCTTAATGCTGTTGTAGATAGAATGTCTGGGCCGAGATATGCCCAAGTGATGATGCCTCATGGACCGAGGTGACTGAAGAGGCAGGCGTATTAGATTCTGTGGGCTGGATGCTACTGCATACTGCATATAACAGATCCTCGCATACCCTGGCGTCATGCCGGACTCGTGTTGTTGTTGTTTGGGCTCCCCGCCCGTACACGTTGGACCGTTGTGAATATTTACACCAAAGTCGGAATGATAATCACTATATGACGAAAATGATTCAGATGATCCACCAAGAGAAATTATGAGTTTACAATGCATGAGAGCCTAACGTGATAAGACCTCAGCGGCTCAGCCTTCCATATAGGCTGAGCTGAAGGCGAAGCGCACGTGGCGCGTTCCGATACTTGCGCTTGCCAGCCTCGGCCCGCCAGGCTAGCCAACGCGTATGTGAGCTGCCTGAGCTACAACGACGTTCGGAGCTTTCCATAACCTGAAGACCAAGCTTCCCATTTCCTCCAGAACAACCACGATTGCCTTGCAAGCAACGACGAACTCTCCCACTGCTGTCGAAATACGAGATATCTCCACTCAATCCAACCGACCAGTCGATTTTCGCATTCATACGACGGCATTCAAAATGGAGTTCGGCAACAAGGGCGTACTGAATGAAGGTGCGAATAGCTTGGATGGAGTATGGGCGCTTGCTGGAGAGACCATTGAGGGCTGACGGATGGTTCTACTAGATGGCATTCACGTCGACATGGACCGATTAAAGAAGGGCGAAGTCAAGTCAGTTCAAAAGACGTGTTGATCTGTGGATGATTGCTGACTGATGAATCTAGCCTGGGTACCTCCATGTGAGCTTCAACATCGCGAAGCACCCCCAACCCCCCGCCCGATGCTGATATCGTCTGTAGTATGGCAGTCACATTCAAGGATGGTGTCATTCTGGGTATGTTCACTTTATTTTCGCCTGCGCCAACCTGTCGCTCTATACACCGACACCCGGGAAACGAAGCTGAACATCTTTCTCTGTGATTGCAGGTGCCGATTCAAGAACTACAACGGGAGCCTACATTGCGAACCGAGTGACAGACAAGTTGACCCGAGTCCACGATACCATCTGGTGCTGTCGCTCCGGCTCCGCAGCCGACACCCAAGCCGTTGCTGACATCGTACAATACCAACTGGGCATGTTCGCCATGCGCAACGGCAAGAACCCCACGACACAGACTGCCGCCGCCATATTCCAGGAGATCTGCTACGCTAACAAGGACAGCTTGAGGTACGCCATCATGACTGCTCGATCGCCTCTTCACAACAATAGCTAACGTGGTTTGTTTACAGCGCAGGACTCATCATCGCAGGCTGGGACGAGCGACACGGCGGCCAGGTCTACTCGATTCCCCTGGGCGGCTCGCTGCATAAGCAATCCTATGCCATCGGCGGCTCGGGTTCGACGTACATTTACGGTTACTGCGACGCGAACTGGCAGGAGGGTATGGAGGAGAAGGAAGCTGTGGACTTTGTCAAGGGCGCTCTGCAGGAGGCTATCAAATGGGATGGCAGTTCCGGTGGTGTCATTCGCATGGTGGTCTTGACGGCCAAGGGCGCCGACAGACATCTCTACCTTCCGGACGAGGAATACAAGGTGCGGCATGATTAGATGCGCCAGGACAGGCAGCAGCGCGTTGGGAAGGGGATGGAATGCGATGGGAAGACAAATCTGTACAATACTTGCCAACGAAAGAAAGCATCTACAGTGATGCAGGGCAGTTGCTCGTGATGGCTTCAGCTGGTACGGCAATGTGGAAGCAATAAATGGCGGACATGAGAACAGTCATCGTCGCCCATCCCTGAATCCTCGATGTCCAGCGAGCTCGACATTTCGTGACACTTGTTAAATCCATCGCGCACCGGAAGCTTCATCACAGCTGGACAGCTTCGGCGTCCAGATCGCAGCGTGGCAAGTTCCATGGCCTTGGCATCAGCAGGACCATCAAGCGGTGAAGAAACAGTTCTGGCGAATCATGATGCGATATTGCCGAGCTGGCGATGGGGACCTGCTAGTCCAGTTTTGCGGATGCAGGACCCCTCATGGACCACGAATTGGGTCACTTGCAATTCACGTTCCATCTATGCTGATCTGTGGTTTCGAAAGAAGATGGAACGGCGACCCGTGCCATGTTCGTTACGTACTTGGATTTGGGTATGCTCAAGTCATGGTTACAAAGATGTAGTTCTTATTGTGCAGGTGTCTGCCTGCCTGTGTTGCGGCTATGAAGATAGGTGCCATGCGATGGATCGGCCAGAAGCATCGAAGATTGAGAGAAGGAAGAGACATGGGATGCCTTTGCCATCAACCCACGCTAGCGGCCGCCCAATGGTGATGACGAGGCTGGAGACTGGGCACAGGATGCCTCCCTGTTTGAGCTGACTTAATGGGCATAGGCGATAATTTCTCGAGCAGCGGTGCACCTGGTAACAGCTAGCAAGCAAGGCGAACTTGGATGTGCGCCTTCTTATGAGGCTGCTAGGTTGCCCCCCCTTACGGATCAACAGATGGTTCAAGCTTCAGTGGCAATACAGTCCGTCCACAAACAAACCCCATGTCAGCCAGCCCTCTCGAGTCCAGATTGGGCCACCAAGTGGGCGCTTGGGCCAGAGACAAGAGAGACAACAAAGATGCACGACAGGCGTATCGCGTGGGATTGGACCTCGCTCGGATGCAGCGTTGGCTGGTGCGTGCAGCTCAGACGGCCGGGAGTTGGCGATTGATTGATTGAGGGGTTCCAAAAACGTCCTGGCGGTGGAGAGAGCGAAGTCGTGGGTGTGGAATCTCGATCCACAGGTGTGGATGTTGGGTCATGTATTGTGGAATCTTTGGACCGATTTGGACGTCAGTGTCGAAAGTCGAGATGCCGCTTTTCAAGATTTTGATATGCGTAGAAGCCTTCCAAGGTTGTTCTTTTTACGCGCTGCAGAGCCATGACTCGAACCCTGAATCGCATCAATTTTGGACTCCGCGGTGCGGCGAAAAATAACCGCAACCAAATTATTACCCCATGCGCTGTTCTCGAATCATTCTCACGTATGGTTTCCCTAGCTATATCCAAACCAACTTCTGGAAATGCGCATGGTGAATCACTGCTGGCAACTCGGGGACAGTAGACGCAATTGGCTAAAAGAAAAAGGCGGGTTAGCTGCTTGCATTTGAAATTAGCAAAGATGGATCACGCAATACGGGCCCTGTTAACGCCTGTCTTCTGTCATACTGTACCCATCATAGGCTGATCAACCAGTCTGCTGCTTATCAAGTCGCAACAAGAACCTGGACGTGCGCCTGCAGGAGAAAGGAAGCCAACCAAGTTTTGGGACCAAAGCCGGAAATACCACCAAAAGAGCAAACAACCGCACTTCCATCCCAGGATTGTCCTTGAGTTTATGGGACTTCTTCTTCGCCATCTCCTTCCGTGCCCTGTCTCTGCAACATGGAGACTTTGGCCATTACCAATCTATAACTCCACCTGGTGAGTAACGCGCTTTATGTTCTCCTCCGTTTGTGTCTGCGTGGCTCGGCCCGTATCATGAGATTATGGCGACGGCTCTGCTACTTGCACAGCCTCGTTCGGCCCAGATCTCGCATGGCCATGCCGTGTCCACCTTATCCGCCGGCAGCGCAAGCAACCAGCCAGCTAGAGGACGGACTCGATCCCATCCATCACAAACATGTGCGAGACGCATAGATTGATTCACTGACCCTTTTCTCCTGCAGTACTTACTCCGTAGACCTTCAGCAGCATTGCTGCTTCTCTTTCCCCCTTCACTCTCCATTCCCAATTCTATCCTGCCGGTCAAAGGGATACCGACGTGTTTTTTGGTCTTCCTCCATCCTATCGCGCTGTTCTTGCATTATTTTTGGTTGAATGATTGACTGCTTCTATGTGTTCCATCTATTTTAATCCGCATCTTCATCCTCTTTTATCCTAATCGCGACTGGCCGGGCGACCGACCGCCCTTTACCTCTCCGCAGAGGGCCCAAGAACTGACCAACAGACGGTCTTTATGTCATAACCGTGCATAATTGCCTGACGTATCCTGATTCAAACCTTCGCCGCCGCCACCACCACATTTGGGGTCCATCTCCATTTTCGCAAACCAAACCCAAGCACTCCAATCTAGCCCTCAACCACTCCAAACCTTCCACATCATCGACCGCGGCTCTACGGGTTGCGTCAATACCTTACGACAACGTGTGCGACATCATATTCAAGTCGCCAACACCTAACATACCTGTCACTCTATTCTACTTGGTGATCTTAGCTGATCCATCAAGATCGCATCAGCATCACGTTGCGTTGGGAGCCAAGTGCATCCTGCCTGATCTCTGCTGCCACCCTGAACAGTAAGCCCCAACTCCTCATTCAGCCGCTTTGTCCCCCCTCTGCTTCGTCATCGCACATTCCTTCCCTTATCCTGTTTGTCGTCCGGTGAATCGTCCTGTGTATTGAAGAGAATGAGTGACGCCGTCGCTATTGCTGTGAAAAGACGACGAGAGAAGTTGTGGTGGCCCGATGACGATGCCGAGAAAGCCCTATCTGATCCGACGACTACCTGCATCGCACCGTCATGATCAGGAGCCTACGCGCCTTGCCTTGCTACCTCACAGCTTGGCCTGCCTTTACCAACCCCGCCCTTCCTTCGCGCTGCTTTTTATTTTGTCTCCCGTCCACGGCTCTTTGAGAAGACGCCTGAGGCAAACCACCTTCTTCCACTTCACGTCCCGATGTGGCACCAGTCGCGCACTGCCGTCGTCGGAGCTGCGGTGCGACATGTACTACTGTAGCAGAGAAATGACAACTATGCCGGCCATGTCTTTTCATTATGCCGCGTTAGGCTGACGGGGCTCCATTGCCCAAATGCCCCCCACCCCATCTGTCGCTCTCCAATGCTCTACCGTCAAACACCGTCACTTCCGCTCGAGAGTCGAAATCACACTAATATTGACAATTTATTTCCAGTCTCTGATCGCTGCTTCGAACTTCCGCACCCCATATATCATCCGTCTATCTTTCCACGAAACCCGCGAACATAGTATGCTATGGCTGCCATAATCGGGGACTACGCCGCGGATCACTCACGGTTGCACCACAACATGATAGCACTGCACCACGACCATCCGCGCACGCGAGAAACAGGATACCGATCAAGCTCGATAAGTCGACCGAGGGAATCTCCAGCTCCGCAAGAGCGATCGCGTCCGCCAACATCACCCACACGCTACAGACAAGCGTCTGTGTCAAGCACGACCCCATCCAAGCGGTCGTGGGAATCGACAGAAGCGGAAGCGACAGGCGAGCAGAAGCCGGTGTCCTCTAGCGGCGGGGCATCGCGCTTTCCTTCGCCGCCGGACTCGTCCTCGCCAAATCCATCATCCGCTCGTCAACGAGCGCAGGAGGATAACAGCCCCACAACCTACATGGCATCCGCAACACAAACAGCTGCTGCGGCAGTTGCTACAGCCAATCCCGTACCTACCCAACAACCTTCGCCCGAAGCCGACGCCGAAGCCGAAACCGACAAGTCAGTTCCGCCGCGAGCAAAACCCTATCATGCATCCACCCCGCAAGGACACACAATAGTCGTGCGCGATCTCGCACACATTCAGAGTCTGGCGAGAGCCGATATGATGAACAGCGGGAATGGACCAGGCATACTGAACGATCCTCCCCTGCAGGCCATGAAGTATGAGATCAGCGGTATGCCGATCGGGGACATAATCGAGATGGTGGCTGCGTTACTTACCAAAATAACGACCACCAACGACCTTCAGCACGACGCTTTGCACCGAAATGCGGCGCACCAACAGACGGCCGCCAGCCATAACAATGATGGCGCCTCCATGAGCCCATTGAGCAGCTCGGTGCTTGCTTTCCACGGCAAAAATGTCCCTGCCATAACCATTCTGAGCTACTTGAGTCGAATTCACAAGTACTGTCCGACAACCTATGAGGTTTTCCTGAGTTTGCTAGTCTATTTTGACCGCATGACAGAACGCGTGAATAATCTGGTGATGGAGGCAGAGGAGACGAGGCGGCAGTCGGTTTCACAACAACCTGTGGCTGCAGCGTCACCTTCAAAGCCTAGCGGGCACGGCATCGTGGATACCAACATGAAGGACGAGACCAGCGACGATAGCGATGAAACCGACTCCGACCTTGCGGATGATGACAACGGAGCCAAGCCGGCAAGTGCCAAAGAATCAGGGCCACGGCAGGCGCCGTCACCAGCTACATACTTTGTGGTTGATAGCTTCAACATTCACAGATTGATCATTGCCGGTGTGACGTGTGCTAGCAAGTTTTTCTCGGATGTGTTTTACACCAACTCGAGATATGCTAAGGTATGTTTACCTCCTGCTGTTTGCAAGTTTGTACTTTTGGGCTGGCACAGATGCTAATATGTGCGGATTCCAGGTTGGCGGTCTGCCACTAGCCGAGCTCAACCATCTCGAACTCCAGTTTCTCCTCCTCAATGACTTCCGTCTTTCCGTGGCCGTGGAAGACCTGGAGGCCTATGCGACCATGCTTGTCGAGTTTTACGCTCGTGAAGTTGTAGCACAGCGCCCAAGGCCGTCTACGGGGACGGAATGAGCGAGAATGGCAGGTGATGGACTCTCACAATGGGCCCAGTGTCTTATTGGTTATCCAATTAATTCCCACCAGATATGGTGTTGGGGAAATGATTTACCGCATCATACCCGGGAAAAATCAACAAGGTAGCTATCGATGGTTGAGCTTACTCTCCCGTTGGACCTTTCAGTTCTTGGGACCGCTTTGGAGGCTTCCGCGTCTGGAGAAAGCTTGGTGCAAGCTTGAGGTTGATTGTCAGTCGGGAGGAAATGGCGCGCAACTGAAACGTTGCGCGGGGACGGCGGATGATGTCATGACGATGCGACTGCAATGCAACTACAACCCGCGAATACCTAATATCTGATACCAGTAATGTGTCAGTTCTCTCTTTCCTACGCGAGACAGATATACTGTACGTGAAAACTTTCCACCTCATAGTAATATCGGTGGATGGGCACAAGGAGGAAGTCGAAGAGAGTCACAAGGACCTAGGAGAGAGACGTGACGCCGTTGGGAGCTTGGACAGTCGAGACAGATGAGACCAAGATCAAACAGACGAAGTATTCATGGAATGGGTTGTAGACAATGGCCGAAAGTGAAGGGGAATGGGACGAGGGTAGATTCGTGCCTTGTCAAGACAGAAGGACAAGAAAGGAAACAAGGCTGAGCTCTATGAAAAGTTGTTGTGACGAGGGTGAGATGCTCAGTATTTACGGTTATTTTTTTCCCTTTTGATACCCGGCTAGATTTTTTTCTTCGGGCGAGTGAGACAGGCGAGGCGAGCGGGTGGGAAATTTATACATGAGATGTTTTGTGCGCATGGCAGGCCATGCTTGATATTGTGACTTGCAGTTATTAACGAGCGTGTTAACGCGAGGTGATACGGATGGGCTCTGAACGCAGGGTAGCAGTAGTTGCAAGGGGTCCCGAATCGAGTCCATGGTTGAAATGGCAGGCCGGAATTGCGAATATCTAAAGGCTATACACAATTAACCCATGTGCATATTCGTCTGTAGCCCAATATTTCCCACCTTCCACCCTTTTCGCGTTGAATATTCTTCCACACCGCGGATTGACTAGCTATTCACGGCAGCAGCTTCGTGATGACTTTCATGGATGGTAACTATTTCTTTGGTTCATTATATTTCGGTCGTCGATTGAAAAATGCGGATGGATAGAGGTGATGTATAGCCTGGACATTGGTTGGTTGGAGGAGGGGTTTATGTCGTGATTGGCTTGCTCGATATCAGACAAAACTTGATGACTCGAAGCTAGCCAGATATAGGTAACTTAGTGAAACCATCCACGAGTGTATAACAACAGTATCGCCTGATTCCCCACTATCCGTTCCGTCTGGTTCCAGTACTGCATTGATTATTCGTCCTCGTCCATGGTCGAGATAGCTCGTATGCTGTCGTGCTTCCGGCGCTTAGCAGCCTTCATGCTGACACAACCCCTGGCATTTTGAAACACCAGTAGGGTTGGACCTTTATAGGCAAAATTATCCCTTGAATCAGTATATCTCGATTAGCTGCCAGTTCTAAGACAACGGCTCTGTGATCAACACGGGATTATATCAGTGAAATCATATCTACCGCTGTCATCAATAAAACTTTTCTGTACTTAAGGCCCCTATGGCCACCTTAACTTGTTCTAATTTGGGAGAATAGAGACAAAATCAATTCATGCTTTGTTATAGCTTGCAATAAGTCCGATAAATTGACCCCGGACTAGCAAGCTTATAGGCCCCCCCTTACCGTGGAAACCAGAAACTAAACAGTGCAGAGGCTACGGGCAACTACCCTCTCAATGCATAGTCTGAAATCGCCTCAACCCCTTTCATAACCCGACTTAGCCTCCTCATAATACTCGGACATGATCCGTCCACTTCCGTCATACCCACACTTGACATAGAACGGCTCATTCTTCTCGCTGCACCCCAGAGTCGACTTGTAACAGCCTACATTCTTCGCGACTGACGAAAGCGCATTCAGCAATCTCAAGCCAAGCCCCTTACTCTGAAAGACTTCCAAGATGGATACCTCTTCGACGTGAGCAACAGAGCCGAGATCATGAATACTTCGAGCAGTATCAGCCTTGTCAAAAGTTTGCGGAGACCTAAGAAAATTGCAAGGATGACGTACAACTTTCTCTCGACTACCAAAGCTCCCGTCCCCACGATGCGGCTTTCGTGCTCAATGACCAGGATGTAGTGGACGCCCTTGCCTTGCGTGACCATCCAGTCAAAGCGCTCTTGAAACTGGGCTTCGGTGACATCTCCAACGTGTGTGAGTACTCGTAGGCAGTCTAGGAAACCTTTGTTGTAGTCATCACGTTGCAAAGGACGGATGTTGTAGGAATCGGGGAATGCGGAGACGGTCTCGGGGGAGATAAGCGATGCGGAGAACAAAGCTTCCGATGCCATGGTCGAATGAACGGACTAGAGACCGATACAAGATTTAGCATCTGCTGGATACAGCCGACTGCGCAGATGGTAATACCGATGGTGCTGGGCTTCTTCGAAACAGGGGAAAAGAAACACGACTCGCTGCGGAGATGATAGCATGATTTGCCGGTGCTGGCCGGCCGAATATGTGGGGCAGTTGGCAAATAGGAGGACGAGTAGCGGTTTCGAAGCTCGAATACAACAGAAAGTTAACAAAGACGGAAAACGCAAGGTTACGGCATTGCCAGAGCCCTCACAGGTTGTACATGTTTCTCACGACTCAACGACATCCGTGCAGTAGTTTAGACCGAGTCAATGACCACGACTCATAGCATCTCGACGGCATCTACGGGTATAAGGGACACAAGGGTTGATCTGGACTTGATTCACACGGGAAAGGCACAATTCTTGCCAAATTTATATACAGGCCGTGAAACAGTGAGCATTAATGAATAAACCTACTGTCGCTCTTATCAAGAGAGATATACGAGATAAGGCCTGACCGCGACACAAACTTATCGCAAGAGCCAACTGCTGTTCCGGAAGCAGAATTTACAAGAACGTATCATAACCCCATCACGTCTTGGGAATATGCTCCTAAAGTACCATTTGGGACCACCAGTCGACGATTCGCGGCTTCCCCTTACTTCGCAAACCTCTTCGCCAGCATAACCGCCGCCCTCTTCAGCAAACTCTGCTTCCAGTTCTCCTTACCCGCATCTCCGTCACGCTCTCCACGCTCCTTCCCCTTCTTCTGTCTCCCAACAGCCTCCTTCGTAACCCCCACGATGAGCTCCTCAATCCCTGCCCCCTTCCATTTCCCTCCCTCCTTCCCCTTCCCCTTCCCTTTCCACTTTCCCTTCCCTCTTTCCTTCTCTTTCAAATGATGTCCCACAACCCCCCTAGCGGCCTCAGCCACAAGCTCCTCAAGATACTCGATGAGCAATCTCTCCAATAGCCCCTCCCGGAGCTCATCGACGAGCTTATCTAGCAACGCGCCGAAGATCAAGTCTCCAAAATCGTCGGATAGCTCTTTCAGCCCTGTTGGGCTGGGCCCTTGGGCGCCGTGGCCGAAGAGGCCTTGAAGTATGTCTTGTAGACCGGCGTGGAAGGCGTTTTTGGAGTCGCGGGACGCGGATGATGCATGGCCTGAGGTTGATCGGGTGCGTGATCTATTGTTGTGTGTGGGGGCATGATCTTTGCTTGGATGCCGGGATCGAGAGATATGCCGTTGTGAGGGGCGGGAGCGGGAGGTGCTGCGCGAGGTTGGTCTTGGTCTGTGAGGGGATTGTCTTTCTGAGCGATCTTTTCGATCGTCTTCTGATGTTCGGCGGCGGCGTCTGTGGTGATGGCGGTGTCTTGAAGGCGATTCTGCTTGCGATTGCGACGCAGTGTCCATTTTTCGGGGTTGGTGAGATGGAGGGCGCGAGGTTGGCTCGTCTTGGGATGGTGGCTGGACTCGAATGGAAGGTACGTAGCGCGATGTACTATGATGTATGGATGGAGGAGGAGGAGAATCTCTGGGCGTGAGGGTATCATCGGGTTGTGAAGATGTTCTTTTTGTGCGATCTTCGGTTGCTCTTGATTGTTGCGATGTCGATGTCGTGCGCGGCACCAACAGTTGCGGCGTGTAGACACATGATGGATGCGACATTTTTATGATAAGGCAATGTGAGTGCTTCGGCTTAGATAGATCTTCAGCTCTTTCAGAGGAAGTCTGGCAAAATGTGGGTTGGTTGGGTTGGATATGCCTGAAGGACTTTTCCGGCCACAGTGAATCTGCCCTGTCCCGGTTGACTTCAAGGTGAAAAAGAACGCTATATTGGTAAATCACTGGTAGTTCTCAGTCAGGTGTTGTTGAAAGTTGATTGTAGATTGGTTACGAGTGTCGGAAGTCACAATTATAGCAATGTCGAGCCTGGTGAAGCAAGCATCATGTTAATATGATGTAGCAATATGAAGGGAGAGGTGGGTGCATTGACGGACTCAAGCTACATCTACTTTAATGCAATCGGACTCGAACTTCTCCCATGAGAACATTCAGGAAGTCACACTGCGCCTACCTCAATCAAACGCTGCAAACTCTCTACTATGCTAGAGCACATAGCGGAAGCCCTTGTTGTCAATTTCTGTGACATCTTGCATCCCGGCTTCAATGGCCGCTTTTTCCTCCTCCGCAGTCAAATGCCCTGAGGTGGCTGCTTCCCGGTCTCTCTTCTTGTTCACGCTCCACATAAACAGATACAACACAACGACCATGACCGTCTTGACGGAGTACCCAATCAGAATGCTACCCACATATAAGTGAGCCACGAGACATCTAGATAGCAAAAGGGAGGAACGACTTACGCGATATATGCCGAATGGTAGAATGGTGCTTCATTATTAATGAAAGTCTGCGGCCCAATGATATTACCAATGCAGTATCCCACAAACAGGAAAGCCCCAGTAATCTGCTTCTTGGTATACCCAGCCACATTGCTGCTCACCATGGTCAAACTCATACTGAATCCAACAGACTGAAAAGAGCACAACCAGAGCGCAACGAGCCTGCCCCATTTGTTGTCGGTGCCATCTGGGCCTGGCGAGAGCCCAACTAGAGCGGCACCGCAGATGACGCAGATCGTGTTGCCCACGAGCATCGTTACGCATCGCATGTTAGGGAAGCGAGAGCTGATGTACCCGGATGCCAGCAGGGACACAATTTGGATGACAGAGCCGGGGATCTGCATGTACTGCGTCTCGAGCACATCAAAGCCAAAGGTTTCCAACACGATGGAAGTGAACTAACCCCAGTCAGTCCCGGCGCAAACAACTACAGAAAAAGGGGGCAACTTACACTCGTCTGCGCTGCATTCGGAATCTGCGCCGCAATCGACATGACCAAAAGAATCCAGGTCTTGGGATCCCTTACGGCCTGCCACATCTGGTACCTTTTAAAATGGTGATTCTTGACGCCCTGGCGGTTGGCCGCCACCCGCTCCACAGCGACCACTTTCTCCGCTTCGGTGAGGAACCGTGCGGAGGACGGTATATCGGGCATCAGGAAGACGAAGCCAATGCCCCAGGTTAAGCTGATGGATCCGAAGATCAGGAACACGTACATCCACTGCGGGAGGCCCGAGGTGATATGGCCAATGGCGTAGCCGAGCAGCCCGCCAAAGATGCCGGCTACGCCATTCATGCTGTAGTAGGTTACGAGGCGGAGGGGCTGTTCTTGTTGCTTGTACCACATTGCCTTGTGAATCTCCGTCAGTAACTCAATCACCAGTAGGAGAAGGAAGAGAAAAAGGTTGTCGGGTTGAAGAAGAAGGGAAAATACCATGATGAGGACGAATCCTGGGTTCACAACAGCTTCCGTCACGCCTAGAAGGAAGCGGTTCGTGGCTATACCGGCAAATGAACTGCATGCGGGCGTGGTGATGACGAGGATTCCCCAGCCGATGGCTGTGCTGCCGATGAACTTGCCGATGGGGAGGCGTTGCAGGAGGTAGCCGGCTGGGTATTGGGCGAACAGATATCCTGTGCTGGTTAGCGAGGGTTGATGCAAACTGGCAGATGGGCTTACCGAAGTAGAAGATCGAAGATAGCCATGAGTAGTCTTGCCCATGTAGGTTTGTGCCTTGTTTGAGACCATAGACACTGGCAAAGTTGATACTTGACTTGTCGAGGAACTGGAGCATGTACTGAGTGGTGGAAGTTAGCAAAACTGCATGTCAGGAACTGAATATAATATCGGCTTCATCTCAGTTCCTGCATCGATGATATAAGAGAATGGCTTGGAAACACGACTAACCGTCATCATCAAGATCGGCAAGACATGCCAATCGATCTTCTTCAACACCCGACGGGCTTCGTCGGGGTCGATATCCGTAGAATCCTGTCGTCTGTAAAGTTCATACGCATCATCCAAGTCTCTTGAGAATGTTTCTCGAATTTTGGTCGTTGTTTTGATTGGATTCGGTGCAGTGGGAACCTGCAATTGTTTCTCGTCCATCTTGGCTGCTGTCGACCTCAGGTAGGGTGATCGGCGTTGTTACGGATGGGGTTTCGGACGCCTGCTCTCATGAACTCCTCTTGTAGTTCAGTTTGCAGTACGCAGAAGAGTTGATGGGTCATCGCAAGTGCAAAATGAGAGGCATATCCTGTATGCAGTTTTGTGAGCCATCATATAGCATCAGAAAGTAGAGTACGGCAGGTCGCTTCGGAGTCGGAAGCCGATAAGGGCTCAAACGGGGAGGAGCGGGTATGATAGATCCAGTAGATCCCGATGATGTTACGGCGAAGTGATATCACGTCAAGATACCCATGCATCGGCAGCATGCGATATTGAGATGATTGGAGGGCCGTGTTGACCCCTCAACTTACCCCGGCTACTTTCTTCGGCTACTTTCCTCGGAGAAAAGTTATATTCGTGGATATGATTCGTGGTTAGTCCTCAACAAGTGTAGATAAATTGGGGAATCGAAAGGCCAAGGTTGAGTTTAGTGTTACGGATGTACAAGCTTGTGGTCATTAACCTACTATGTGTGTTGATACCGACTAATTGGTCGCGATAGTCTTGTTCAACAGTTAAAAAAAAGTCGCTTAACGTATAAGGTATACTACTTGAATATTCGAAGACCATTCTGACGAAGCCAGAATCGGAAGCGCGTGCCGTCATGTCAGACTCCAAAGGCTCCATGGTCATCAATCCGTTTTTCTGCTGGAAGGAGTCTTTTTTCAAGTTGAAACGGGCTGGCTTATTATGCATCCTACTTGAGATCCCGATGAAAACCCCCAACATAGACAATAATTCCTCGTTCAGAAGAGGAAAGACTGCTGCGACTGTCTTACACATAGATCTGGCCGCAAAAGTTATATCTAGGAGGAGCCCTACTACCGCATCCGAGACACCGTTATCTCAGGATTCCAATAACGAACCGGAGTACCGACCCTGGAATACCAGGATATGGGTCTCGACCATGACATTTGTAGATCCCTGTATGTTACGTATATGATGATTAAGCAAAACAGAATTCTTCTGCCCACTTGCCAAACAACCTGGGACGCCCAGATCTGCAATTCACTGTAATTCAAGAATCCTCGACGTATAATTCGCCGGCCTGCTGGAACTGAGGAGTGTCAACTAACCAAGAGGGTTGGAATCTTGGGTTTCTCAGAATGGAAGGATGCCGGGGTTCATGTGTTTTGGAAGCGAGGGTTGTGGTGGTTACTAGATCCGGCCCTGGCAGACTACTTGGCGTCACCCCTTGTATTAGCCAGGAATTGGGTTCGGAATGCGGAAATACTGTTCACGAAACATGAATGCATATTCCGATGGATTATGTTGATGTAAAATCTACGCAAAAGCCGAGCGCGGTACATCATTGTCCATTTGGAAAGCAGCGGATTCTCAATAGGTCAACTTTGCTGACAGCCTGAAAGCTCCCCCTTATCCCGATCAAGCTCGTGCATTCATTCCAACCAGTGCAGTGCCCATGAGACCAACAAACCAACTGACTCAAATGAGGTGTGCATCTGTCTGTTTCAAGCTCGCGGTCACACGTCGAGAAAGTTTCAATATCCGCATGCGGCATGTCTGGATGTGATGCAACGAGATGAAGCGAGAAAATCTAATTCTTTTCTTCTTTAGTCCTCCATCTCCGTAGAACTCGCCAGCTCACACTCCCGCATCATTCTCCGTTTCCTCGAAAGTGCCACGTAGCCAGTCGCCAATATTAGCCCGGAAGCAATCAATAGACAGTCCGCCGTAAACCCAATCAACCCGTTCCATCTCGCCTCCCTCCCATCTCCAAGAATAACACCCGCAATCGGGCTCCCTATCAACACCGCAATACCCGAAACGAAGCACGTCATCCCCAGCCTCGTGCCGACCCTACTCATATCCGAAGTGAAACTGAACACCCCAGCGGGCTGGAGACTAACCACGCCGCCCGAGATCATGCCATACAAGACCGCGAACACGACCATACCGGACGAATTGCGGATCCCCAGCCAGATGAAAGCCAAGACGGCAGAGAGGAACGACATCGTGGCCATCACTAAGGCCGGCGCGCCAGTATGATCAGCGATGTAAGGTGGCACGACCCGACCAATGATGCTGCCAGCATTCATGAACGTCACCATGTACGGCGAGAAAGTCCTCGACGCCAGACCATGTTCGAGAGTGAAGAGCTCGATATAGAAGAAAGGGATGTAGAGCCCCACGAAAGCAAAGAACCCACCAATGGCGAACGTGAGAAAAGTGGCTTCCTTGAAAGCCGACGTGTCAACCAATGCCCTATGATGTTTCGAGGGCGGTAGCCGAGTCCGCAGGAACACGAGGGGGGTTATGGCGACGGCTAGGAGGATGAAGGCGATGCATCGAGTTGCCCATGCGAAACCAACCTTTTGGAGGAGTTGATTGAAGACAATGGGTAGAATGACGCCCGCGAGAGGCGAGCCGGAGGAGGAGATACCCGTTGCCAGGGAGCGACGGTTGGAGAAGTACTGCGATATGATGGCAGTGGATGGGAGGAACACTATTCCGCATCCGACGCCGATGCAAAGCCCTTGAGCGAGCACAACTTGCCAGTACGTGGTGCAGAGCGAAGTCATGAACTGGCCGAAGACGATGAGGAATAGTCCGCCCCAAATGAGTTCGACGAAGTACCCGGCGTCATATAGAGGCCCCGAGATCATGCCACCGCAGAGCAGAATGCATCCTTGCATGGACCCGATCCAGGAGATGTCGGAGGATGAACTGTCGGGAAGGGCATCCTCGTAGTATGTCTGGTACACGCCGAAGGTGTTGACGAGGCCGAAGGTGCAGAAGATGACACACCAACTAGAAAAGACTTGAAGCCAGGCGTTGAATCCGCCGTCTGGTGGCGGAGATGCTTCGGGTGGCGATTGGGGAGATTGGCCGGCGGTTGAGCCGGTGATCACCGACTCTTTTGTTCCCATCGAGCTGGTTTCCGGAGCGGGATGATGTTTTATGTCCATTGTCGACATTATGTTAACAGTAGAGGGCCGGCGAACCTGGCTGTGTAGACAGTCAGCTCGATTCAACTTGTCGAGTTCGCCGGGTGAGAAGACTGATGATATCAGACATTTTCCAGAATCCTCAGCTGAGTCGGACAGCGGCGCAGGCTCACTGATAAGTAGCAAGGCAAAACCGGGATCAAGAGCACCCATGATTGCCGCGCCCAAGATCCGAAGATACGGATCCATAGACACGGATCCATTGTGCCAGCCCTACAGACCCATCAGGGCCCAATGTTTCCTATCCAGAAGGGCGACTGGCTTGTTCGCGACTATGGCATGAGTGGACCGCATAATGGGACCACCCGTAAAAGTTCGGTGGAGCCGCTCCGACATGTGGCCGAACGATGTAATACCTTCAGATTCGTAGACAAGGTGCCTCGATGACAATCGAATGATTGATGAACGAATTCTTGTTCAGTCGCTGTGGGATTCAAGAAGCTCGAATCGTCCCCTAGTCGGCCGCCAGAAAGCGAGTGGTCGTTAGTCCGGACATGAGAAGTATGTCAAAGAGCAGATGCCGTGGCGAAGTTCAAACATTATTGTGTACTTGGGTGGATATGCACAGCCACAATGTGGCAGACAGGTCACCACCCCTATCCGTCTAGCAATATCGATGGACTAGTTGGAGACGCAACTCATTATGTACTACTGAAATTTTCCATCGAGCAGGAATCGCAAATACCTTGGATTGCAGAGCCATATAGTGTGACCAAGCAGGGGACTTCCTTTTTAGGGTCGATGTCGTTGATGAGTTGTTGGCAATACAGGCAAGAGGGTTGTATTGGTGATGATGATGAGACTGAGTCCCAAAGGCTGCAGCTACGGCAGGGCTACCTATGGGCAATTGGCCCAAGCGCTGTAACCAGCACACAGGCGGTGTGCCTGGGGCACGTAACATGAGTCGTGAGTTGCGAGTCAAACATGGTAATATTGCTCGTGCGAACTTGACAGGAGAAGAGAATATACCCGAGAGGTCGTATTCCCACCTACCCTACTCCCCCTTAATTTGGCACCGCGAGAAAGCCTCGTATCCTGATGAACAAGCAACAAGAGCTACACATCCCCTCGTCCGTGACTCTCCAAGTTTCCGAATCTCCATCGAGACTGCCTCGTGCCCCCTTGATCGAAGCCCTTCGCATCAGAGCATTCCAAAGCAGTTGGACCATGTCTATCCTCTGATGCTCCGCAGCACCCTCAAACGCAGTCCTGTCGAGAATCTGGCCTCGGGCCGTGAAAACATCAGCACCATGATAGAGCAAGAAACAGGCGATGTTGGGATAGCCGCCGACGACTTCCAACCTCGGCGTCTTTTTGAGTGGCGTGCGACTGACGTACCGCAGCGTCTGCGGATTCACACTAGTACACGTGTCGGACCTTATACAATCCAATATGACCACATTCTGCCAGAGTGGGCCCACTTGCCTTTTGCGGGGGTGTGGTTCAACAACTCGAAAGGTGTCGATATGTCAGGTTTCGTTATCTTTTGTAAGTGGGATACTCCATGTATGTAGGATGTTCAATGCTGTGAAGAGCCGATGGGCAGGTAAAACGACTTTTCCCCTTGGAGCATCATGAAACTATGGTCCATGTAATTTTCCTCAGCTCCAAATTCAAACAAAAGCTGAGCAATAAGAAATCCCTCTTTTCATAGCCAAATTAAGAGCTGTTATTCCCTCATCATCGACCGCATCGATGTCGGGGTTCGAAAGGGAACTCGTATAGCACTCGACATATTGACGCAATCCGACATCGTGGCAATATCCAGCGCAGAGTTCCCGCCAGGCCCCGACGATTCATATCTGCCCTGCGAGCTAACAAGACATCAAGACAGTATATGCGGCCATTGGCCACGACCATGAGCAAGGAGACTGTGTTGGGTCATTATTAATGAGAGTTGACGTCTGCACCGCCTCCGAACAACGTTCCTGCCATGCTGAGATTGTCAGACTTGATCAGACAGGCGTCCAAGAAAGACATTTGAGACCCGACACATCCACGCGGCGTCCCATTCGTGTCTAAATCAGGAACAGTGTGAGCTCCTTGTTGGCATTGAGCGCGAGTACGCCGAATTCGAATTCCCGACTGCTGGGGTCTTTCCTACTCTATGAATTGCGATGGGCTTGCTGATGCGTCGACCACTTCTTCCTAGTGCAATAGTTTTGGCCAATCACTACAGAAGACCTCCCATCATGAAGCACTTGCGGGCTCTGTGTCGTTCCCCCGCTGCCGTGCGGCTTCTCCAAATCTTCCAGGCAAGACCATAGCTTTATTTAAAAAGTGATTTCTCTTGCCGGTATCCTTGTAGCGAAAACATAGATTCGGAGCTGGTGATCATATACGCAGTCATCGGGGCCAATGCACTTGATCAATGTTACGTCTGTGTCTGTCCACCCGTCTGGATAGTCGAGACTGTAAGGAAAGAGCCGTTGCGGCGGGCCGGTCTCAGCTGACAAGCTGAGTCGGGAGGGATTCGCCCCGATCCGGTAGAACCCCGGAACCGCCCAGCTTAAGAGGAGAACTCGAGACGCTCGCACCTAGTTTGGATTCTTCAAGAATTGTCGAATATCACGTGTGTCCAATCGAGTAGTCAGAAGTGCGTAAGATTGTATATGAATGAGGTGTCTTGTTGTCTGTGTTCTCTTCTCGCGAACTGCCGTTGCTCTGCCTTTTATAGATTCTTTAGGACATGTCGGAGGTACATTGTTCAGGTGTCTGACCCCTAAGTGGACCGGAACTTTGGAGTTACTTTCGGGAAGAGGGGTTCATTTCGCCGTCTGAACTTTAAGTGACACTAGTCTTCTCTAGTGCCATATTATTTCTGAATCTAGGAACCAGGTGCCCTATCTGACAAGACTCAGTCTTGCAATATACGCACCCATACACTGGCCTACTTCTAGCTACCCTTTGCACTACCTGACTATTATATTGTGAGACGTGTGGTATCCTCGTTACAGAGACTGGAATATAATGGAAAATAACTAGCAGTTGCTAAAGCATGAAGATACTGCAAATATATAAGATATATTATTGAACATTTTACCTTGTCCACGAATACCTGAAGGTTATCTCATAGGTCTTCAAATTCATGGCTGCAGATACTATCCAGGCCAAGTATCGGTAGCTTCAAGATCCACAAACGCAATCAGACGACATCGCTTCAACTTTTATGTTCCAGATTACGGTATATTATTTCCCGTCGGCTGGTGTAGTTGGTCACTTCGCTGGTAGATAAGTCCCGATTTGAGCCTCGCCCACTTGGGTCGGTGACGAGTCGCGGGTTCGAATCCTGCAGCTGACACACAAGGGGGTTTAGTCAACCCTTATGGCGCGCTGCCCACCTTGTTGACTTCGCCTACCTAGCGATAATAGGGAGATTGGTGCAGTTTAGGATTACGAGCATCCTAGCCAGTCGACCGTCAAGCACTACGTCGGCGGAATATAACTCGACAGCCGGTCCAGAATTCGAATCGTTAATCCGGCCCCTTATCGGACCTCGCCTATCCGATAACGCTCGTCGGCGAACCCGTCCCCTCACGATAGAAGGCGCGCAGCACGCCCTCTCGCCGCGATTCTTGCGAGCGTCTAGACCACGTTACGGTCTATCCACTTGAGCGTATGGTTGAGATGTATACGCTCGACGAGAACCCCAATTAGCAGATACTACGACTTGTCGCGACAAAAAAAATAGTCGAGCATCTTCTGCACATCAGTAGCATCCCACCCCTGAGGACGAATTTAAGTGCCACATTACCACATTTATCGGTAGTTCAGGCAGGGGTTGTAGCACAGACTTAGGGAGGGACAGGAGGTTTAGTAGTCATTTGGCTACAAGTTTACCTGTATAACCGCCCGACGCGGCTTAAGGGCCCGCTATATCATCTATAGCCCCTTAAGGGAGTACTTGTAGAGGTACCGAGGGTTAACACCTACGGCGTATTTAATATTATTTTTATTATTTCCCGCAGCTTGTTTCTTCCCTTTAAACGTGCGTGGCAAAACTTGCACCAGGAGACTAATCATTCCTGCTCTTCGCTCTGAGACACCATTGTCTCGGTTTTAGAAGTCACATTTGCATCTACTTCGGAACCCTTAATTGGACTTCGCCAAATATCGACAGGACAATAACGGATTCCTTCAGAAAGCGGAAAAATGTGCTTTGTGGTTAATGAAGAAATAAAGGGCTCCTTTATTTTTATGAAGGAATTATGAACAAAAGTAAGGAATTCGACCTTCACAAAGGTCGCAAACGAACTAGATCACTAATAAATAGATCTTGCTAACAAAGACCGTATACGAATAATTCGAGGCTGTGACGGTTGTCACGTGATTGACCTACACTGGTCTGAACAAATTGATAAGTGGTTGCAGATATCAAAGTCAGGGACTTTGGTATTGGTCTCTTTTGGTGAAGACATCTTGTTAGGCAACCTTGGTGGGCTTTGCCAAGACCACCAAAGTTACCACGTGACTTAGCCCTTCGGGACTAAGTCCAACCTTCCTGCTCCATAGGACTAGATAGAATGTCATGCTTTTACAACCTCACAAATCTTTGACCACCTTTGCGTGTAACACCTAATTTCCATTGATACGTGATCCCAAGGGGGTTACCCTGTAGCTACAAATAAGATAGATAAGATAAGAGCTCAGTCAGGCTAGAATAACTGACCTGGCCGACCTTTCCTAATACGACAATTCACACCCTATATGCATTCGCGACACACATCCTTCTATACATATTACTACAATACAGTATAACGATAATCTACACTTTATGACTATTTTGATTAACGAGCCTACCCTGTAGCTATCTGGTAGCCGTCCATAGATATCCGCTGTGTTATCGTAACCATCTAAAAATATCTTAATGAATGAATCGTTGTTGTATGAGCGTACATGCACTTGAAACCGCAGTAGCGCTTACCCCAGCAGATACAGGCAGCTTTGCATTCTCATCCCGGCGATGTCTCGGCAGGTCCAATAATACAACTCCGAATCCCGAGAACAATTAATTTTCAAAACGTCTTATTGTTACGAACCGTTGGCCCTGAACCAACATTACAGGCCCGTTGGCAGCCCAGGTGGATACAGACGCTAGGATCACGGGACCCCGCATCGGAGGAAGGAAAGGACCGACAGGTCACGGGACCTACAGGGGTGGATATGTTGGATATGTTGGACAACCAACATATCCAACTGGGGATCAGTGAAGGAGAGACGGGTATATAAGGGACAGTACTCCCAGGCATTTCATAGATAGACAGTCTCTACTTCAGTGATCAATCTAAGCATCAATCTAACCCATTGGTGAGGCAAACTGCCTTGACGACTCTATTCCCAGTTACCCTACTTGAATACTTCAGTTACCCCAAAGCACTATACTCCATACGTCAGACCTCGATATTATTGCTAAAGGACTCCGCAGCAGGACTTACTTACTAGCACAAACCCTTACAGACTCTTTAGTGGTTTACGCAGCTAGACTGTTAGAGGTTTCGTTACACTTATGCATACCAGAGCAGATGGGTCAGTTTTGGGGGACTATCCATTCATATTGCCATGAAGCCATACTGCCACACTTACAGCGGAAAGGGCCAGGTGTGGCAAGTGGGTAAATAATGCTCTTGGCAGTAGCCAGTCAGAGGATACCTTTACTCTCGAATACCTCATAGGAAACCTACTTAGCAGACAAATGTTCTGCATAACCACTCAAAGGTCATGCCGAATGAGGCAAGGCAAAGCTGCCGCACATGGCTATCAGCGTTTGAAACAAAACCCCAACTCAGCCACAGCATTAAGATCAAATCGAAATAGAAGTCATATCAACACATTCGCGCACAGTTCATCATCACCTCATCGCAAATTCAAACAGTAAGATGCACATTTGAATTTCTTCTAAAACAGCCCATTCGGTCGGCAAATCTACCATGAACCGCAACCGCAGCAACAAAATAATAGCCAATAGAAAATGGTATCTACATGGTGCGCTCTATACAACAAACTTCCACGTCAAGAGTAACTTTACTGAGAAGCGGAGACAAGATCGCGTCTGGCCCACCTTAGGGCACCGGAGCGCTTGTTGTTTCCGCGGCCGCCTCGGTTGCCACCGTTTCCACGGCCGTTGCCTCCATTGCCACCGCCGTTGTTTCCGTTTCCATTGCCGGTGGCAGCGTTGTTGTTGTTGTTGTTGTTGCCGTTTCCATTATTATTGTTGTTGTTTCCGTTGCCAGTGTTGGTGTTTCCGTTGTCAGTGTCAGTGTCATCGTCAGCGGTGGCATCATCATCAGCAGTGGCATCGTCGTTGGCGTCAGCATCGGCGTCATCGTCAGCGGCGGCATCATCATCAGCAGTAGCATCGTCGTCGCCAGTGTCCACATCAGCATCGTCACCCTCAATGGCCTCAATGACAGAAACACCCTGATCGGCAGGATCACTGCTGGCGTTGGCGATACCCTCGGCGGCAGCAGGGAAGTCAGCAATGTTTTGCAGGACCTGGGCGTCAATGCCCTCGGGAGTCTGGGCAGTGGCGATGTTGGCGGGGGTGTTCTCGCTGGGGGTGGTGTCGGTCTGCTGGACAGCGAAGCAGCCGCCGAACTCGGCTGCGTTGCGGCAGCGGACGGTGCAGACGTCTCCAGTGGAAGCTGCGAGGATGTATGTTAGTCACTGGTTATATGGTGTGGAGATTGCTCAAGCATGATGCCTTGGCTCGGACTTACCTCCGATACATGAGAGGTCATCAGGCATGGTGACAGTCAAAGTCATGATGCCGTTCTTGGTCTTGCCCTCGGTGACGGTGAGGTTGGTCTGTCCACTGGCACCGTTGGCGTTACCAGTGGGGTCCAAGTCACAGGTGTAAGGACCAGCACCCTGGTCGCCGCCCTGGTTGATCTTGACCTCGATGTCGCCTCCACTGGTGGTCGTAGTGACATCGCCAGTTGCCAACGCATTCTCGGTGTTCTCGCCAATGTCGATGTTGCCAGCGAGCAGCGTACGGCCGCACTCATTGACCACATTATCCACAATTTCTTGTTGCTTGATGATGTTGGCATCGTTGCCGGACTGGTCCACCAACAGACCGGTACTGGTTCCCTTGTCTCCTTTGGCGCTGACAATGACACCCTGAGCGTTGGCAAGGGCCATGAAGGCCGATGCCAGCGCAATTCTTCGGAAAGACAGCATGTTTGGGGATGTTAAGGAGTATTCGAAAGGTTGTTCAAGTATACAACAGAAAAAAAATTATATTGACCAGCACAGGATACTGTAAAAAAGAACGGAATGATAAAAATCCAAGAAACGAAACAGCCCTGCTGGTTGAATTGTGAAAGAAGGAACAGAAAATGCGAAGTAGGACGGAAAACGAAATCAAGAAGGCGTGAAGAGCACGGCGGGTGGCATCGTCTTATAATATCCCAGTGGCTGCACCACGATGTCATCTGCAACGGCTGCCGTCGCGGGCGCGTGGAGTTGCCAGTGGGGCGGGTGCTAGCCCGCTCCTTGAAACGGGACAAGGGCCCTGCCTGAACGAGTGGCTCGGCAATGTCACAGTGGGTCACTCCATCATGTTGAGACGACAGCTCCACGAGACTGAAAGGCTTGGCGACTTTGCAGGCCAAAAACACGCGTTTTTCTCGTCCTGTGTGTGCCAGGGGAGCATCGGGTGAAACTAAGGGCTCTCAAGGAAAACAAGATTGCGTAAATAGTCGCCGCATTTCCTTCTCAACAGTGGGGACTCGCTAACCTAACACGGGCGAGAGGCTATTGACTGTCGTGATGATGGTATTTGAGCATGGCATTATGAGCATGGCTATCATATCAACTGGACAGCCACAAGACACTCATCGATCAGGAGCAACCAAGATCTGTCAGAATAACCCATCGTACAATCATGTTTCACCGTACCTTCCGTCGATCCGGTGGGCACTAACTTCACATCGTCTGAAAATCACCCGATGATATTCAGTCACCAAGGGCGATCGACGAAGCATAGGGCTCTGCGGTTTCGTAGAATCCAAGGAACTACGGTCGGAAGAAAAGGCTTGTCCGCCGCGAGCATGTCACTCAAGGCTCTGGCCCACTGTTGGGTCACACCCGAAACAGGCTCCCTGTCGAGAACCGAAACCGTTGGTTATTTCCGGCCCAGATGCTGATTGGCTCGGTTGCGTTCGACCTCACCAACAGGGAAAACCTTGACGCGTAAAGTTGACAAGCTTTCGGCTGGACTCCATAAATACAATCAAACACTGCGGTTGACAGTCCGGCAATTCAGAGATCCCGAGCAAAGCCAATCTCGCGCAGTAAAACATGGCGAAGGGGCATGATATGCTTCTGCAATAAGAGATACTGTGGGGCTTCGTAGTACATTGAGCCTTGGTTGGCAGGTTGATACCATAGGGCGTATGATATTTGGCATGTCCCCTATCTCAGATACCAGAGCTATAAATCGCTTAAGAAATCGACTCTGTTCGACCATGATGCCTTCCTGGGCGAGTCTCGCCTTCCCTTCGTCAACTAGTGGACATAGACAGCCAAATGTCTTGGTCGACGCCCGCTGCATGTTAAACGGGTGTTTGAAATGGGTGAGTTTACAATCATTTCCAGTCTATGTTGTAGAGGTTGGCCCCATGCTATCAATTTTCCTTATTTTCTCCTCTCTACTAGTCAGATGCCAAGTGTATGCCAGAGGTCCGTCAGGATATCGTGAGCCTTGCCAAACCTTGTAGTAGGTAAGTTGTTGCAGACGTCTAAAAGTAGTGAAGCTGGTACAAGTGACTTAGTCCCACACTACCTTCCCCAACACGGATCTACTGCCGATATTTCTACTCGGCCGATTCACTATAGAAGTGGCTAAGCACCACGTACATAACTATAAAGTGTCCCGGTTAGCCGCCTACGTCGCGGTTTAGAGGCATTCACTTGAGGGTTAGTCAACAAGCGTATAATTCTTGGCAAACGACGACATATTTCTTCTGCAAACGAACGACTATACGTACCATAAAGAACGTGCGGCCGTTGTGACAACCTAGTACCATGACGGAATTTCAGGCCACAGTTTGACATTCTGCACTACGGCTTAAAAGCTTAACCCAACGCCAAACTAGTATTTTATTGCTCCCTGTAGGTTGGACCTCAAATTCGTCTGAGGGGTGGACATGGGAGGTGGAGATTCGATAATGCTTATCTGAAAGAAGATAATGGTCCCAAGTAAGTATATGTTGAGCTAGTGAAGTATGGAGAAAATGGCCACTGATGCAGGCAATGCGTTTGCATAGAAAACATTTTGAAGCCAAGCATCCATCACGCCGTGCGGAACTGATAGGTTTATGCGGACCATCAGCAAGATTCCAGGATCTAAAACTTACGGGGCCCACTCTTTGCATTGGTGTAGAAGGCCAAAGAGTTTCACAAGTGTGAAAGTCCTATGTAGCTGGGTGTTTGGTGGATCTTGCATTGCCAAATCTTCACGCCCGCCAATAGTGAACCCAAGACATTTCCACCATTTGAGCTAGTAGCCGAGGAAATCCTGGGGATACAAAGACTCGTCGGGCTGCCAAAAGGCAGGTAGACACGAGATGTCCTATCCTGTCGTCGTTCCCCAGCTTCAGACGATTGAGTGCCAAGAAGATCCTCGTTCCAAAATATTTCCACAACACAGATCAAATATAGATTGGTTTCCAGTACACAGGACTTTGGATGCTCGGGTATTGTTCCCAGGGCTCGAGGACAATATAACCGGAAAGTTAAAATAGAGGATGTTCCGATTTCTACTCGGTAGAGAATTCGAAGTCATTTTAGCTGACCCCAATCCCCCCCACAAAGTACGATGGCGTGATATCCTCCTTCCATATGTCAGCTGCTACCTTGATTCCCCAAAGTCAATCATGATCTTACGCATAACGACTAACACAAGTACTCTAAATAGATAGCACTAAACGGGGAGATTGGTGAAACTCATGGTTCTGTTTTCCTTTAGAGAACTCGCCATCCGTCTATTATCTGATGGGCTCGAGGAAATTGCTAGGAGCCTGAACATCCAGGTCTTAGGTTCATGCTCGCGTCGAGCTATTTAGCCGCTACGTTGTCCAAATTCTGTCTAGTTGCAGCAGCGAAGCACTGTACAGCCCCAGGCTGCAATTACTAGTGGTGAATCTAACGCTAAGGTAGACGTGAGTCTCTGGGATTGAAGGGCATAATAGAATACAGTGATCGACGAAACACATGTGGCAGAAGATATAAAACATAACATGTTGACCCATACCTTTTGGTGCGGCCACCGAGGAAACCTATCATCTGAGTGTTCTAAAAGTAACGAGTTGAATTCACCTGAAGAGTCTAGTCGAATGGAGTTATTGAGCTCTCTGAAAAGGATTTGGCGTACATGCTTGCTCATTACTTGCAGAACCCCAGGCCTGTGGTTGCATCATGGAAAAACACTGTGAATTCAGTTTCTTACTCGCAAGACGATACAAACCGTAGTGTCGCTGTACAAAATTCGGATGTAGGGAGTAGTGGCAACGTCGATGACCTTGGGGAGGGAAGACGGTTGGCCGAGACAACAGACAGCAAACATCCAAGATCAAGCCCCAGCACAAGCCAGTTGGTCGTTAAAACTGGCACGGGAATTGTTGAACCAACGGCCAATCTTGATGGGAGGGTTTCCAGCTTTGGGGCAGATGCTGAATCGTCGCAGCACGACCCATCTATGCCGTCAATATCGCAGAATGACCCGGATACTCCACCAAGAAAAAGACGAGATCGCTCTGAACTAGGCCGCAAACTCAGGGAATCGTTGAAAGAGTTTCTACCCGGAAAGGGAGACAAGAAATTTCCGCCTACTAGTGCATTCGAAAAGATTGTAACCTACGATGCCGTCCTGGGTGAATTAAGACGCAAATGGATATTCGACAACACAAACGAATTGAAGCAGCTTGCGAGTCAAGTGTAGGAAAGAAAATATGCAGCATCTTCCAAATTGGGCAACCTGACCACACGACGCAAGCTCTTTACCCTGCCGACCTTGGTTGAAAAGGCTCACACCAGTGCGGATTTCATCAAGGGAGGTCTCTGCGACAGTGGCTTGCCGTTTATTCTCTAAATTGGCCAAGAAGACAAGGAGGGAACCTTGAGTCTCTGCAAAAAGATCAAAGGCATGACCAGATGCCGGAGAACTTGGAGCCAATTGGGTACTTTCAGGACTGCGAAGATCATTCCTTGGATGTTTTCGATACATACCAGTTTCAACTGTTGGCCCCTTATTTCGAACTCATGTCTCCGGAAAAGCCGAAAGCGCCACACTATTACCTGGCGGAAGGGACTGTTTTGCCCTTTATCGAAGACAGTCGCGATGCAGTTCAACACGGAGGCTCAGCGGATGTTGGCGCGTTAAAATCCACCACGCGCGTCACAATTGTGCAGTAAGTCTATTCCATGTCTATACAGCTGGCATTGAAACGGAAAACTAAGAGCAGACTGCAGAGCGGAGATGAGCACAACCCTTCTTACGCTATCAAGCAACTTCATTCCCGGGATAGAGAAGCCTTTAAGCAAGAAGTCTTCACACTCAAGCGCTTGATCCCCAAAGTCGACACTCATCTGATCAAACTCTCCTGAATTTTCAGCACCGAGATAATTCCACCTAGTATTCCCTTGGGCTGATGGCAATCTCATGGATTACTGGAAATTGTACCCAGTCCTGGGTTCCGGTCCGAAATCTCCGGTTCGCTTAGTGGGTCTGAGCAATGGTTGGGAATTGCCAAGGGGCTCCAAGCAATACATGCGTGCAGTCCAGACGACACTAGCCTCGGTCTTGAAACGCAAGATCCGTCTGATCCCAGAATACACGGTCTTCATGGTGAACTCAAGCCACAGAACATCCTTTGGTTGCGCCGCAATACACCGATCAAGGCGGTTACGGGAGTTTTGTAAAATCCAACTTCAGTTTGACGCGCTTTCATCGACTGGCGACGAAGTCACAGGTCAATCCCCCAAGCCTGGGTACACCTCCAACGTACCGGCCACCGAAATACGACGTTTCAATTGCAATATCCCAGAGTCACGATATCTGGACTCTCAGGTGTGCCTGCTCGAATTATCGATTTGGTATCTTCTCGGATGGGGGGAGGTGGACGAGTTCTCCCAGAGGCGCCTTGAAGATGAGAAAGAGAATAATCCATACAATTGCTCAGAAGATACCTTCTTTCAACTGGTCGAAATAGACGGGAAGCCTGGGGCCAGGTTCAAGAAGTCCATTGCGGCTCTAAGTCTTGCATACTGCCCCAAACGCACTACGGCGACGGAACGACACTGATAAAGATTTCTTCCAGGAATTCAAAAAGCTAAGGCGTTGCCTGGGAACCACTCAATTTTTTGTCGACCTGCTCGACCTCATTGAAGATGAGCTTCGAAGTTTGCGCCCAGATAAAAGAGTCGAGTGCGACAGAATTGTGGAGAAGTTCCAAGATATGCGACTCAAGTGCGGGTATGAGAAGTACTGCACTGAGCAGGTACCCTGCCCCGGGCAATCCCCATCCAATTCATCAGAACCGACTGCATCGCCCCTATCACCATCCTCGCCAGATCAAAAGAAGCTGAATGATATCCATGTCGTGCAGCACCCTGGTAAAGTTTTCAAAATACAAGCTTGAAAACGAGCCAAGACATCCGTTTGGCCTTCATGGAAACGAGGATTGACCTGGTCACTAGTATATTATGGCCGACGTTACCGTACCGACTGAGAAGATCAAAACAGTTATTAGAGTCTTATTACTGGAAGGAGAAAATATAGCGGAGGTCCAGACCCTTACAAATCCTATATTACTTAGCCTAACAGGTCTCAGCAGTAAGTAAAACTTCGCTATACCTATCTAGGATATATATCCTACATACTGGTTTCTTAGTTATATACTCTCCTTAGCTCTGTGCTTCTACCCTGCCATCGGGTATTTCTAGATCTCTCTCCTCGGTCTGGGATATTATACTAGTATTCATACCAAGTCCGCATCGTATATTATTATCTTGGCGTCGGCTGGTGTAGTTGGTCACTTCGCTGGTAGATAAGTCCCGATTTGAGCCTCGCCCACTTGGGTCGGTGACGAGTCGCGGGTTCGAATCCCGCAGCTGACACACAAGGGGGTTTAGTCAACCCTTACGGCGCGCTGCCCACCTTGTTGACTTCGCCTACCTAGCGATAATAGGGAGATTGGTGCAGTTTAGGATTACGAGCATCCTAGCCAGTCGACCGTCAAGCACTACGTCGGCGGAATATAACTCGACAGCCGGTCCAGAATTCGAATCGTTAATCCGACCCCTTATCGGACCTCGCCTTTCCGATAACGCTCGTCGGCGAACCCGTCCCCTCACGATAGAAGGCGCGCAGCACGCCCTCTCGCCGCGATTCTTGCGAGCGTCTGACCACGTTACGGTCTATCCACTTGAGCGTATGGTTGAGATGTATACGCTCGACGAGAACCCCAATTAGCAGATACTACGACTTGTCGCGACAAAAAAATAGTCGAGCATCTTCTGCACATCAGCAGCATCCCACCCCTGAGGACGAATTTAAGTGCCACATTACCACACTTATCGGTAGTTCAGGCAGGGGTTGTAGCACAGACTTAGGGAGGGACAGGAGGTTTAGTAGTCATTTGGCTACAAGTTTACCTGTATAACCGCCCGACGCGGCTTAAGGGCCCGCTATATCATCTATAGCCCCTTAAGGGAGTACTTGTAGAGGTACCGAGGGTTAACACCTACGGCGTATTTAATATTTTCTTTTATTATCTTGGCTCTTTATAGTTCTCATATTCCTCTGTGCTATAATTTCTTATACTGTTACCCTAGCCCTTGTATTATTACTTAAATATTCATACTTAAGCAAGTAAATTCGTTAGTCTAACTACCGGCGGACTTTGTTTTCTGTTACTCTTTCCTCTCGCTTACGTACTACCGGTTGTTGTTTACATTTCACATCGTTGTAACTAGTACGTGTGCTATTTGCCTAATAGCGAACTGCCTCCTTTGACAGTCCCTGTCCCTCGCCCCGGTCATTATTTGCGGGACTGCTTATTCTGTGGCTACATCTGCGGACTTTCCTGAAATAAACTTCTCACTCACATCTGCTATCATCACTGATGCTATTGAGCAGACTCAGTGGATCTTCCATCTTAGTGTCTCTCCAGGCCTCTCCATACTTCTGCTTCGCCACTATTTGCCTGACATCGTATGTCTTGAAAACATTTCACTTTACACCGATGCGGAAAAGATCCGCCGGAATTGATACGACCAACTTTATATGGCTTGTGAGAGGCTCTTCTTAATGTCACACTACAACTGCTGCAGTGACGCTCAAATATGTACACTTCTATTTTTAGGGTAGGGAAATATTCCAACAGCCCCCTGTCGCCCATGCCTATCGAAATCGATGCCTTCCAAAGGCCCCGGCCTGCCATATGAACAGATCTGCAATGCTTCTTTAAGCAAAATTCCGGCTCCGACGGATGTTAATATCCAGCGAGCTTGTGCCGTTGCAACAAGACTATTTCTGGAAGCTTTCATTGCACATGCATATGGTGACACCCAATCGCGTAGCGTCGACAGTGCCTATGACTTACACGCATTAAAGCCGGGAGAGGACTCGATTTACCAGAGGCCTCGTGATCGATGCAACCCGCAGATTACTGTGCTGCAACTCAAATGTTTGTGATTGGCTCAAGTCGGTGTCTTTGCTGTCACACCAGCTATGTGAGGACTTGATTTTCCAGAGGCCTCGCGATTAATACGATGCGCAGATTACTGTGCTGCAACTTAATTATTCGCGATTGGCTCAAGTAGGTTTCTAGGCTGTCACACACCTTGGCCAGGCGTAGTCCATGGCCGGGGATGATCTTTGGGTGTGGTCGGGACCATCTTCGTACGGTTGCCTTGGACTGAGAGCCTAGTCGGTGTTATGAAAATAGCCTAATACTCTTCTGCCCCCCACCCCCCTCTACTGTTACTGATCGCCATCACCACAAACCTACCTGCTTGGCAATGAATCCACCACAGATACGAAGTATGTTGCTGCAAGTAAATGGAAGTGTTCCGAATGATACTGGCTTTGATTTCTCCACCCTGCCGAAAATCCAAAAAATGCAAGACCCTTGGGAGACTCCTGAGAGCCTACATGCAGAATCACGCTGATAAGGGCCGAACATTCATGTCATCATTTATACTCCTACACTCTAACTCCTGAGGCCATTAAGGATGAATTAAGACGTTATGGGTATGACCAGCAAACGTGCCACGATATCATCTCTAAGGCCTGCACGCAGGCGCTCGAAGTTGCTGAACAGAGCGATAAAACATATCTAGCTGTGTTTGCCATATTGCTTCTTACGGGAAGGGGCAAGGAAATCGCTCACATCGTGTCTGCGACCAAGACCTGCCTTTGCAAACTTGGACTCTATACATGCTCTGGGCGTAGCATATACCTGTATTTAGTTACGAATGATTTCTAATAAATGTACAATGACCAACTTCTTATAACAAGAAAGTATAACAAGAAATTGAAATAAGAAATTGGAACATATGGTTCACGAGTAATCTCAAGCTCTACTTATGGCAAAGTAACGTGGTTATATTCAATCTATCGAATTAGGTCCCCAGCGGAAGTTCAAACCTGAATTTGCGAGCACCATCGGGCACTAAAGGTTTACTTCCAGGCGGCGGGAACCACTGCTGCTTACTTCAAATATATTGTAAAACGATTGAAGGCTGTTACTCTAGCTGGACCATGTGCAATTGCAATTTTCTCTGGAACTTGTCTGACTCTATATAACAACGTGGACACACTCTGGTCTGACCTGAGTTACCTATCACCCCTAACTGTTGCATGTTCAGACTAGTGACAAACGTGGCTGCCGATCCTTTTTACCTATTGAAGTCAACGACACCTTTCAGCCCCACATGAAGTCATCAACAATCCCATAATCCTCGAAACGATACTCACCTTCCTCTTGTGAAAGACCGCCTCACCAAACGGTAACAAACTATGGTGCTAAATATCTACACCAGAGGAAATGTCCTAGGAAAGGAATTGCTCCTCTTCCGCGGGCGCAAATTCGACGACAAGGACGAACTCAGCTGAAACATCTCGCGCTGCTCAAAGTTCTCGGGGCATTGAGCCTACCTTTCAGGATTTTCGAGCCAAATTGGTGGCTCCCCAAGCTCTCTTTCCTAGCGCCCAACGCTACCGAGACGAATACTATGTCTTTCCCTTTGATAGACTACCCCGGAGGTGGAAAGACGCGACACGGCCTTTGAAGCAGGGCGGTGCCCTTCGATTAGGGTTTGAATATCTAGGAGTAGATACTAACCCGGGGGGTGGGGGTTGTACAGTTTGTGCTATTTGTATTTCTGCACGCTCTTCATATTTCGAAACCGACAGTAGAAATGTGAAAGTTGGCATGAAAAATTGACTATTGAGACTTACAGAAAACCCATTCCAATTTACATCCATCCAGTTCGCCTCTGGACGCTCCTGTTCATTTGGATACGTACCGGGACCGTACTCCACCCTCTTTCAGCGGCCACCTCGGTGTACCTCTCATCCAGAACCGCCGGCTCGTAAATGCCCGAATGGGCACATCGACAATATACTAGTGGAACGGTTAACTGGATCCTCTCGTCATAGATATGTAACTCCACCTCTCCAGACATGCAGACTGTTATCGGATGCAATACCCTATTTTAAGAGACTGATCAACGTACACAAATTGTGTGAGATGTCAAGTGACGGTTTCCTAGGACAAGGGTATCATTATCCTCTACAGCTCTACAGCACTGAAAAGGAGTGGAATATCAAGTATTGTGAGGGTTGTAATACGCTAACAATCTGCATGCCTGAAGAGGTGTACCATCTGCAGACGACACCGCAGACTGAACAATCGTCAAATTCCGCATTGTGGAGACTGGCATTTTGCCTGGCTTGAGGAAATCGATCAGAAATCATGAGGAACATACTGTAAAATTTGATCCTAGTTGCCCGAACTCCGAACCCTGTTCATAAAGCCCGGCACGCACTGGATTCGGGCCGCCGCAGAACCGATGTACTCCATGTTTACGAGCTTTTAGTATGGACACCGTGCTTCCTCCACAATTAGCACAATTAGCATCGAAATCCAAAGCAGCGATGACGTGATCTCATGGCTTCGCAAATGAATTCTTGCTCTGTCGCAACCGGATAAGCCTCCACGAACCCAGCTGTTTCTAATGCCATGGGGCCAGCGTAGAACATGACTGGACGGAAAGCCTGGAGGCCCAACTTCTTTCCATGGGTGTGCTATGATTATGTGCGCAGGAGCCTTTAGCAGTCCACTCCTTCCTATGATGACAAGTCTTACCATGAGATAGATACCCGCCTCCCCAACTGGTCAATATCATGCCCATAGCCACAGCCACTCTGGCCGACCCAAAGACATGATTTACCACTGTTGGTATGCACGAGAAGAAACCGCAAATAATTCTTCTTACCGCAGAGGCAAAGTTCAATCCTCCCAGAAGCACTCCATTCTAACAGGGATGCGCTCCTTGACGGACCAGGCAGCCGGAAGGCCAGTGGCGAGGATGGCAAGCCCCAGACTCGCAAAGCCCACGCTGGACCAACGTCCTGGTTCAAGGCATCGAGACAGATGCTGATGACAGCGCCACCAAAGCCACCACCGGCGAAGACAATGCTGTTGGCGAGCCGCTTTCTTACTGAAATATCGGGCTGGGATAGTAGAGATGATCTGCAACGCAGCAGCACCTCCAGCTTTTGTGCTGCCATTGACTTGATATCCCAGAACTTACCACGAAGCAGAATCTGTACATTAGCCAGTCAACCAACACCGCTCATAGGAAGTGAGCCGGGTAATCAAGTGCAAAAGAACCCTTTCCCAATGCCAACCATAACACTCTGTGCCAACGAACAACATAGCCCAAGGGGAACCGAGAAGCTAACCAGCACCTCCCCGACCCTAATAAGCGCTACTCCGAGCAGTCCCGCAGTTCTAACGCCCAGCTTCTGAATGATCACAGAATTGATGATTACCAGAGCAGCCATGATTCCTGGACCCAAAGAACCGACAAAGGGCAGTGTCACAGGCGATGCTACGCCCTTGCCGACCATGGCACCTTGGAGAACCTCCAAGTTGTAGTACGAGCCACCAGTAGACGACAGCGCAGCATGCTATCACGGCCCAGCCGTATCCGCCGTCTGGCACCGTTGAGTCGGCTGGTTGAAAGGCTTGGAGGACCGGATCGACGCTGTTCCGATCGTGCAAAGCGTGATGCCTTGCCTCGCGCTGGTGGATAGTCAAGCGTCTTCACGGAGTTCGATTGCTGTTGTCGTGGTGGTCGCCATTGGGGTCTCGGTATATTGGAATGAAGCGGGCGGTGGTCGAAAAGTCTCGACGAGATACAATACCTTACATCCAGTCGGCCTCGGAGCAGTTGAATGCTTGATCGTGAGGTGAGGCAAGTTGATGTTCTCCCGTCATGGTCGACCACACAGGCAAAGGGCGCGGATGTTATCCAAGACATGTGGGGTTGCTTGTCAATTCGGCACTCACGGATCACCAACCTTAAGGTATGTGGAGTTCCAAGGGACAACTTGTCGACGCGATTGTGATGGAGCGGTGTATACTCCTGCTTTAGTCTTGCCACAATCCTGAGCGGCCGCTTGCTTCAATAGGCAGAATGCATGCAGCATATTCACATTCTTTTATCGCCGCACAGCCGATACGACCAGCAAAAATTCTGCGACCATCCATCGAATCAGAAGTGACAAGCTGGTAGAACCAAAGTTAGCAAGCCGCTCGATGCAACGGCTCTCTGCAGCATTGGGACGGTAAAAATAGCCCGCAAACACGCTATTGCTGCAGGAACAACAAAATCTCCACAACGCCGACATTCGGCTTCGGCAACGTTCGTATCCTTAGCGCTTCAGCTGCTGAGAAGAATGAATGGAACGAAATTGGGGCACACACAAAGAATGGGAAAAGCTCGAACGACGAGTCAAATCTCGGAGGGGTGACTAGGGGTCGAGCCAGCAAAGTCAGCTGTGTCAGCTTACTGCCATCTCATTTTGAAGGAGCCGGACTCCAACTCTAACTTCCGTCCAGCTCTCTCTGATCTAGCATCATCCAATGTCCACAAGAACATGGAGTCGACTCCGCACGGATGCCCAATCACCTCCTCCATTGTCCATGCCCACACCCACGACGTTTAGCGCCCTTCGGTGGTTGGCTGGTGGGTCGTTTTCTCTGATTGCTCCCCAACTTCTCGTGTTGATCTTTCAGCTTGCTCTCCCAAACACCCGCGGAAAGCTTGGTCTTACGCCAAGGCTGCGTCCCAGAAAGCTTGACCAGCACGCCGTATAGCCTGGGTATCCTGTGGGGTCTGGTCATACGGGGGGTTGCAGTCTTGATCTGTCGGTTTTCTTCCTAGTTTAGCCTGCATGCCAGCGCCCACATGCCCAGACCGCAAAATGAGGTTGAGAATACTCATAAGATGGCGCCTCTCCTCGTTGCCGATCACGAACAGTCTCTCGTGGCTTTCTTGCTCTTAGGCCCGTGGTTGGAGGACTCAAGTCATTCGCTTTTTGTTGTGTCCCCAATCCAAGCATCGGCTTTCACTAGCAGGATATCGGCTGTTGTGTTACTTGCCATACCGCACCTTCACGCTCGTTGAAACGACGATATACATATCAGGTTGCTCCTATTCTGAATACTCAGCCATGCCGTCCGCCAGCGCCTCGCTGTTGGGCCTGGCAGTCTTTACGTCGACGGCTCTGGCCAACATCAACTTCACTTGGGTCCAACCAAGTTGCAGGGCGGAAGCTGAATACACGGGATGTCTGGCTGGACAGATCTGCCGAGAGACGACTTGCGAACCAATATTCACTCCATCATTCGACCGAGTCGCGTCAGTTGAGAAGAGGACTGTCACCACCGATGGCACATGCGGTGCGGCACACAGCGGAACGGTCTGTGGCAACCGGCCAGATGGGTCATGCCGCTCGACATACGGACGGTGGTAAGTACACCCATGCTCGTGATGGATCCGGTCTAATCCAGGATGCATCAGTGGCTCATCCTCGGCGCATTGCGGCACCGGTTGCCAGAGTGGCAATTGTATCTCGGCACTCTCGACCAGAGCTTCTACTACTCCCAAAATATCGACAAAGTCGAAGACGTCGACCAGGGCTAGTACTCAAAGTAAAACTTCAACCAAGGCCAAAACAACGGCAAAAACAACGGCAAAAGCGAAAAGTTCGACAAAGGCCCCCGTACCAAGTACGATTTCCAATGTAGTAGTCACCAACGACGGCACCTGTGGCCTGCAGAACAACGGGGCCGTCTGTGGTGACTGGCCCCAGGGATCCTGCTGTTCCTCGTATGGCTACTGCGGCAACTCGACAGCTCACTGCGGTGCCGGTTGCCAGTCCGGCCCATGCGTGGACGTGGGAGCTCCTTCTCCTGGCTCTGGCTCTACGTCTACCGCTACGTCTCCCGCTACTACGACGACGGGCACAGAACCCTCGTCGTCTTTGACCACCGACGGATCCTGCGGTGCCAACTATGGCGGGACTGTGTGCGGGGACTGGCCTCAGGGTTCCTGCTGCTCCATGTACGGCTTCTGCGGAAACACAACAGGCCACTGCGGTGATGGCTGCCAGTCCGGACCCTGCCTCAACGGTGCAACCACGCCCGCCCCTGGACCTAAGCCAGCACCTGTAAATGCCAACCCAGGTACGCTCAAGGTGGTTGGAGATTCTGGTGTGCCCGCCATGCACGCTGGCCTGCTGCCGAATGGTCGTGTCCTCTTCCTCGACAAGGTGGAGAACTACACTCAGCTCAAGCTCTCCAACGGCCAGTATGCGTACTCTTCCGAGTACAACCCGGCTGACAACACGGTCGTTCCCCTTGCGTACAAGACAAATGCCTTCTGTGCCGGTGGCATGTTCCTGGCCGATGGCAGATTCGTCTCTCTTGGTGGCAATGCCCCCCTAGATTGGGTGGACCCGACTGTGGGTGATGGATTTGACGGAATTCGCTACCTCGAACGATCTTCCACGGACGCAAAATTCAACGGCCAGGACTGGAGTGAGCCCGGCAACAAGCTGTCTAGCGCTCGCTGGTACCCGTCAGCCCAGATCATGCCCGACTCCACTGTCTTCGTCGCATCCGGTAGCTTGAACGGTCTCGACCCCAACAATGCCAGCAACAATAACCCTACGTACGAAATCCTCGACTCCAAGGGTGTTTCCAGCGGCAAGGCCATTGCGATGGATATCCTCGTGAAGAACCAACCCTACTATATGTACCCATTCATGCACCTCCTACCCAACGGCAAGCTGTTCGTCTCCGTCTCCAAGAGCAGCGAGATCTTCGACGTCGCCAGCGGCTCCACGGTAACCACCCTCGCCGACCTCCCCGGACAATACCGCACCTACCCTAACACGGGCACCTCGGTCCTCATGCCGCTCTCCAGCACCAACGGCTGGACCGCCGACGTCATCATCTGCGGCGGCGGCGCGTACCAGGACATCACGGCTCCGACCGACGCATCCTGTGGCCGCATGAAGCCCCTTGACGCCAAGCCAACCTGGGAAATGGATGCCATGCCGGAGGGACGCTGCATGGTCGAGGGGGTCAATCTCCCCGACGGTACGATCCTCTTCGTCAACGGCGCCAACCAGGGCGCGCAAGGCTTCGGCGAGGCCACGAAACCTACTCTCGAGACTTTGATCTACGACCCCGCCGCCGCGCTGGGCGCGCGCTGGACCACGGGCGCCACGAGCACGATTGCGCGGCTGTACCACTCCGTCGCTTTGTTGCTGCTGGATGGTACCGTCATGATTGCGGGCAGTAACCCCGTCGAGCAGCCCATTCTCAAGCCCTCGGCGCAGAACCCCTACGTGACCGAGTTCCGCGTCGAAATCTACACGCCGCCCTACCTAGCCAACAACGCCGTCCGTCCTTCTGGCATTACACTCTCGACACCAAAAGTTGCCACCGGGGCAGCCTCGACATTCACCATTTCCTTCACCGCCCCTGCAGGGGCGAAGAACGTGAAAGTCGCGCTGTACCACGGCGGCTTCGTGACGCATAGTGTGCATATGGGGCAGCGCATGCTGTATTTGGATAACTCGGGTTTCAAGGCCGGGGCGACAGCACAGACGGTTACGGTCAAGGCGCCGCCCAACAAGAATGTGGCGCCGCCGGGGCCGTATGTGGTTTATGTCGTTGTGGATGGGGTGCCGGGGGTGGGGCAGTTTGTGCAGGTTTCTTGAAAAGGAGGCAGGGGAAAGAAATAATGGAATGAGGATGAAAACTACGTGGCCTAATAGATGGCTTGCATGGTCGGTCCAGTCACCGAGACTTAAAAGGATTTCCTTGAATTGGTATCATTGTATATAGAGGAAATCATTGGTAATTTACAAGTTAAAGCGAGAATAGGCTGTTCTGGAGGCTGAATTTGGCAAGCGTGGGTTCCCGTATTATGATGGTATCACAGCAAGGCACAAGATAGAGTACTCTCTCGTGTACGAGGTACTTGCGCCCCATCTGATGGGTCATTGGCCAACCCGATGCAGCCGCTCAGCCCCTGCGTCCACCTGGCGTAAGCTCGGCGGCTCGAGACGGCTGGCCGACTTGAGGAATCAGTTTCCTGCCTCTACACCAACTATTTTCGGCTATCTTAAAGCCGGCATCGTTGTTGGTTCGAGTTAAAAGACATTCTTCGACGCTATAATAGGACTCATGAACGCCCTATAATCTGGAAACAAGAGCAATGAGCCTCTTTGCTGCAATTCTCTTATTCTATATACGAGTTGCCTCAGCTTTGTACGAGAAGGATGGCTCCTACGCTATCCAGTTCGGATCCTAGTCTGCGCAACCCGAACCAGGGCTTTGTGAATGAATTTATACAACAGGAACAGCAAAAACGGATCGCTAAGCGTCCCCAGGTTCTATAGCAACGCAGCATAGTGTACTTCGGAAGCAGCTGCAAAGTGTCCGATTTCTCAAGCCAGCGTGGGCTGACGCCACCAAGGTCAATATCACAGGCATCTTGCGGAAATGCCAAAGGTAGATGTTCCTACTGCCGGGTTTTATATCTACGTATGTAGCTTGTCAAATAGCCGATACTGCAAGGTAAATGAATTAAGAGCCTGGAAAGCAGCTATCGAGAGAGCCGACCGGGCAATGGAAATGGACTTATACCATTTATGCGAGGTTGATAAAATCAGCTCCGAAGGAACGCCATAGGAGTATTATCGTCAATATAAGCAGTTATATGCTAGTATTAACGGTCGTTATATCGATGTAAACGATAACCGAGAGATATAAAGTTACATTAACTTAAAGCAAGAAATTAGTTATTTACTTACGACCTTATTAGTTCCACGACGCTACTTTGGTTTCTCTCTTTAAGCTTCGACACTCAAATATGCGTGGGATGCTCGTATTTAATTCGGATGAGCTCTTAGCTTTTCAAGTTTTCAATATTACCTGAGACGTTACTATATTTCCTACGGATCGCCATCGTATTGAATTGCTAGGTATTTAAACCATAGGCCTGTGTTTGCATACCTGTCACGATGAAGGTGTGGCCGGAGCAGGTCTCAGGCGTAGGTTAGACATGGCTGAAGATTTTGCTAATATAGCTGTGGCGAGTATGCCGATGTAGGTATATGGAGGTAGTTTTTCGACCTCAGTCGATTAATTCGCGGAGAGTTTAATGGAATATATCTATTGTCGCGAAGGATGGGAGGAGGTGTTAGGCAACCTTGGTGGGGTTTGCCAAGACCACCAAGGTTACCACGTGACTTAGCCCTTCGGGACTAAGTCCAACCTTCGTGCTCCATAGGACTAGATAGAATGTCATGCTTTTACAACCTCACAAATCTTTGACCACCTTTGCGTGTAACACTATTGGCGACTGCGTTGCGTTTACTACCATACTACGTTGATTCTCAACCTACCAACAAAGTCCCCCCTGAGAAGATTGATGCTATCTGGGCCTTGAAGCTGTCCGACCCGTCCCTAGCAGCCACCTTACAATAGTCCCACTAACTACTGGTTCTCCTGTTGCCGTTGCGAGGTCTCTGCGAGAGTATAGTGGCCGTGGTGCGATAGCGGCCCGTAATCGTTCCCTCGGTCCTTCCAACAGCCCGCAAAATAGGATTACGTGCTTTGTCGTCTCAGGGGCGTCGGCATAGCGGTGAGTACACGCCAAAAGCCCCTGTCTTGAATAAGAAGGCTGCTAGTACTATTTTTTCCGTCCTGATCTGGCACAGCGTAGACGCCTCCAGTCGGTTCAGGCCGAAATACTTGCTCCCTTTCGGTATCTGCATCGAAGGGCCCTCCAGTTCCTTAGCGATAGCGCGTCGCTGGCGATCGTGATGCTCTGCTCCGGTGAGCCATCTCTTCCTCCAGTGGCCGAGGAGGGCAGCCGGGACCTCCTTTTCCTCACTCATCCACTCGGAGCCCCGGGCCTCCTTCTCCATAGTGTACCCTGCCGGTCGGAGTAGCTGCGACCCCTGCTTCCTCTTCGCCGGCCTATCCTGCCGGAGTATATGTGACGCTTTAGCGCTTCGCGCTGCGAAGCAGATTTCTCTTCCCGCTAAGCCGTAGCCGTTCTTCAAACTTAGCAGCCCGGGCACTAAGATAGAGGTCTAGTGGCGGGATTGCTGCTTCTGCTTCCAGGTGGCGAACCGGCGTCGCTTTGTGGGCGCCACAGACTACCCGGAGGCACTCGTTCTGTATCCCCATCAGGCTCTTAGCTGGCCCTAGCCATTTAATATCATGGAAGAATGGATGATCCTTAACCTCCCACGCTCCGTTCACCCCCACGCGTAATTCAGGGTTGTAGTCCACCAGCAGCATCACGAGGCTCAGCCTGCATCCCTGATTGATGAACAAAGAAATCTGCCACAACTTCATGTGCCCATAATCTAGTCAGATGATTCCAGACCAGAGACCATGGCAGACGACATTTAGATCGTGTGGTACTCCAGTGCATGGGCAAGGTTCGCAGCGTAAAATCTCGTCTTGCCAGAACCGAAACCTCACTCTCTTTGTAGATAGTAGAAAAGATGCCCAGCACTGATGAATGGCGATGCAAGGCAGAATCACTGACTGTCTTAGAAGGTAAGGTGGAGGGGAGCAATGAAGGTATTGTCTATATCAAAGCGGAGACCATGCGCCACCTCGGTCCAGGAGTCCATGCCGGAATTGCTGACCGACTTGACTGTCTAGACGCGTCCTGTGTCCCTTTTCTGAGCCGTGAAAACACCAACAAGCTTAAGCTTGGTGTTCTCATGACCGTCTCTTGTACAAGCTTCGCGCGGAACTTATCATTAGCATTAAGAATCCCGTAGACAGCATGTCGTCGGTCTGGACTTCTCGTGTTAGATTTGCGCCAGCACAGAATGAGAAGACGTGAAAAAATGGCTTCTGTGCTTCGTAATGATATCTAAATCACCAAGTGAGCCATAGTATAAGTAGTTTTTATCTATCTATCAATGAAATCAGAGCCTTTTGGTGGGCACAGTTTCATTTCGCTGGCTGAAGTGGGGGTCGCCCACTGTAAAACATAGCTAAACAACATCTTAACGAAAATGTATAACCCTCCATGTACAACGATTTCAAGTTCGTTCTAAATTTATCCGGAACCCCTACCGAGTTTTAGAAGCCGATGTTGGCATGTTTCATGCGTCCGCTCCGTCTCTATTTTAGATCCACATGCGCATGGATACCTGAGCTGATCAGTCAGAATGCGTACTTTCTCGACCAAAACTCAGCGAAAAGCCCAGCTGAGATTGAGGCGCCGACATAACCACTTCCAGGACCAAATGCCCAAGCGCAACGGTCACCATCTTCCAAGTTGACAACCCAAATCATCCATGTCAACAGGAGAGCATCTCCGCCGCATGATATAGCGTAATATGGTGTGTCAAACCCTGCCAGACGGCCGGCCAATACGAGACAGCATACCTGCACGACAGTCATTACGTACAGGGCTGGTTTCGTTCCCTTTCTTCCGAGTCGTACCGCTAGTCCTTTGACGCCAGCTTTTAGGTCATCGAGATAATCCTGATGAGCGTAAATAGTGTCAAAGATAACAGACCAAAGAATCCCAGCGACGTATAGACATGCAGCTGACTGGGCTAGAGGTGACTCAACGACCTTGGCCACATGGCCTGAGAGATCCAACGAGGGGTCCAACAGAGGCGCCAATGGGTCCTTCCCGACCATCGCAGTCACCATAAATATGGCATAAGACAGTCCAAATCCCAGCTCGACTTGGGGAAAGTCTGTACAGCGCTTCAGCAAGGGGTAGATGAACAAGAACACGCTGTCTATGCCGGCGTGAACCAATGTCAAACTGCCGTAGGGGTACAGAATGCAGGCTCCGACGGCAATCTGTGCGGCGGTGAAGAAATGCGCCTGCGATGTCGTGACGGCACCCCGTGGGATGGGCCTCACTCGGCAGCGGGCAACCTGGCGATCAAAGTCTTGATCTAGGTTGTCATTCCACGTACAGGTAATACCGCGGAAGACGGTGGTCCATATACCCAAGTACGCCGCGAGGATTGCAAGAGTTTTCAGATCGATATCACTGGAGAATGGGGGGATATTAATAGCAAAACCAAGCCCTATCAAGTAGTGCCAGTAGAACGCCCAGAACCCCGACTGGCGATCGAGACGCATGAGTTCGGCGTATGGAACCCATGTATCTGGAATCAAGCGAAAGAGGCCATGACTTGGCTTTCTGTAGCCTTGACTGGTATCCATGGCGTGTAAGGAGTGGTTCCGTCCGGGTTACGATGGTGGTGTATGACTGCCAGGGGTTGTAAATAGAAAGAACTGGTATGATGATGGGTAATGTGTGAAATTTCGGAGCTAAGGGCTAGAGGATCGGGATGGGAAGGGCTATCGTTGTAGTACTATATCCCAGGGGCTGGAACTATCAGGTGGGAAGGTACGGCCAAGTACAGGGCTACAAAACCCCGCCCCAAAACCAGAAGTAACCATCATAGAAGAAGAAAAAAAACATCTTTTTTTGGCCTTCATATAAATCTGGTCTATCATCACCTTTATCCTCCATGGTAACATCCCTGTTTCCTGTACAAGAACGGGCATTTCACAGACCAAGGGAATTCCTGAGATCTTCGCTTTGCTGACGGAGGATGACACTAATGCTACCCTCTCCAACTCGACAAACTAATCGCATAGTAGCATCAGTGTCACCCTCTGTCAGCAAAGTGGTGAAGATTACGTACGCTGAGTGAGGAGCAAATCAGATGATCGCCAATACCGATGCCAAGACAGTCAATAATCATCGTTGCCTTCAGAACGAATCATCGCACGATATTGCTTACCCTTTCCAACTTCGGCAACTAATCACATAGTAAGCGACATCGTGCGATAACAACGTCCAAATCGGCGATAGGGCATGGCATATGCTTCGTTCTGAAGATAACGATTATCACCGACTGTCTTGAAATCGATCTCGCCGATCGTTTGATTCGTTCCTCAGCCTGCGTGATCATCCTTGTGCCGACAATATAACATTTCCTTCTTCTCAAGGCCTCGAAAAGCATCATAACCACCAACGCCATCTCATCTCCTACCTGTTGGCTGCTAGCATGTGACCCATTGAAAATTCGTACTACCCCTATTGGGGTCTTTTTCTTCCAAATGAAAGGAAAACAAAAGCCTTCTTGGGTATAGAAATCAACATGGACCAGCTCCTAGGTATTACTGTTCAGACGGATGAGTAAACTGCTACACTCCAAGCCGGAATATATGGTGGTCAGGTTATACAATCACTCTGGGTCGAGGGTTACGTTGCCAGTAAGCACTCTTGTTGGATTGTGGGCAAATGGTCTTGGTTAGAAAATGTCATGATGTCTGGAGAGTCCTGAACGAAGTGGACGGCGGCCATGAGGGCCTTATATAGACAGGTATGAGCGATGCCTGCCCTACAGGCAGGACTTGTGTGGTTCGATGGGTGGTGGTCATATTGGCCTATAACGTACGGTGCGTGGCCATATGTTTTTGCATTATGATTATATAAAAACTCGAATCCCTGGATCACATCCTATACTTTGCCGTACGAGCCAGTGAAGCCGCGCTTCCTTTTTCTTGTGATGCTATCACCTGCTAGGACATTAATCTCGTCCTTATAAAATCCGAGAAAGATATGAATGCGCTGGAGCGTCTCCCAGTCTTGGCTGGTCAAAAGGTTCTCATCCTTGCAGATTCGAGGGAGCGTAGCCGACTCCCTGAGTTGATGGGTGCGCTTCGAGATATTCTCCTCCGTGAATTGCGCCTTGTATTTAATGATGAGAATATCTAGGTAATTGCGGAGCTCCAAGGCGCGCCGGATTTTACAGAGTTGAGACAGCCACTGCGTATCGTTGTCGACCCAGATTTGTATAATGCACTGATGACAGACCCAGATGCGGTTTTTCATATTCTGTATATGTATCCGTGGTCCCACGCCCAGGATAGGATGTCCTTAACCTTTTCGGTCCAGACACAGCTGGGGAAATGGCGGAACAGGCGCTCTTGGTCGATGGGCTCGTCGTAAGACTTCGGGAGCGTTGAAGACAGATCAAGAGACGGTGTCGGCGGCATTAATTTGGAGGCGGAGGAGACGCCAGAAGTGACCATGTCGACAGTTGGGGCGTGTGGGGTACGGGGACATTGCACGATGCTAAGGTGACCTTGCCATGCGCGTCTTAGATCACACGCGTCCCCCCTTGCTTGTTGAGCGTGGCGGTGGTGACAGTGGTGATAATGGAGGCACGTTACCTTGTAACCCTTCCGGAAGCCTGAAAGTACTCACTTTTGGAAGCAAATATATCCTTTTCACACCTAGTTACATCAACTACATCAATTTACATCTGAATTTGGGTTTATTAACATATAACTTGGTCTCGTGGAGTGTACGTGGATGTATGTGTAACGTGCACCTGTTGTTTCTGAGGAAGTAGACGCTTGATTGACACACTGACTGGCTGATCTGTGAGTTGGAGGGCAACCTCATTATGCAGACGAATGCCCTCACTAGTGGATGGACTGTAGAAGACCATCTCCTTGCAACCTCATATTTCAGCAACAACTACATTAATAAGTGTATGTGGTGTAATGGAGCGGGACCCTGAGTTTACAACCAGTGCTTGTTTCCATGATGCGAGACAAATGCACCACCATACCACCATCGATGCTGGCCTTCTCCCAGGTCGACCTGACATGCGGATTCGTCTGCAGTGATTGGACCCTTAAACTGAGGCGCATAGGTTGAAAGCTTGCCTATGAATCCTATCAAGCCCTGCATCTCTTCTGGAGTAGCTGCGGGTAACGTAGTCCACAAGCGAACGGGTCACCCAACCGAACGGGTCACCCAACTAGCAAAACATGGAATTCAACACGATTTCGCAACCACAACGCCGTAAATCAATTAAAACTACTCATAATACTCTTACCCAGATGATTCTATCTCTACGTGACAGGTTCGCGCATTATGCCCGGTCTTCCCGCATACGCCACAGCGCCGTTGCCGTGGCTGGCCACGATTTGATCCAGCGCTATTTCCACGTATTTCCTGCTGTACTTGCTGCGCAACGTCCTTTTGATCTTGAAGATCTTGTACGTCTTGTGAATTAAGTGATCCTCTAAGCCGTACTCATGTTTTTTTGGCCCTGCGCCGCTTGCTAATTAGAGCATTTGCCTCTCGAAGTTCGGCGACCTCAGCTTGGAGTAAAGCCATCTTATGCATAATACTCCGCGTTCCTTTCGAAAACTGATCGATAGCATCGTAAATTGACGTCGGGGAGCTATTTTGATGCCTGGAAATTCGAGATTTAATAAATTCGGATTGCGAAGTAGCCTCGGTTGGGTTGTTTGGCGTCCGAGAAGCCCAAGGAAGGGTTTCCCGCGTAGGGGGCCGGGAGGACGTTGGAGTCTGTAATTTCACATCCAGCTTCTCAATAACAATATCTGGGCTTAAAGGCACAAGCCCAGCCCCTTGAAAGCCTGCACGAATATTGCTTTCGGTCAGGCTCTTCTTGAACGCCTCGCAAAATGCCGGAAGAAAGTCCTCCTTTGTGATATGCGAGTCGCGTAGCAGTCGGTTTGCCATATCTTCAACAGCACTTAGCCGGGGAGGAAATGCTTGCGAATCTAGCTCAATTATCCTTTGAATAATCGTATTTTCTTCTAGTTTTGTTAAATCCCGACCGTTGGCTTCGATATTGTGACGTGATTGACGTTTTTGAAGACGCGCCTGGAGAGTAGTATTCGAGACTTTGTAGATTGTTGCAGCACGTCGGATACTAAGTGTTGAGTCATTTCTGATAGCCTGAGTTGCAAGGAGTAATTGAGATTTTTTTTGAGCAGAATCTATCGAGAATTAGTTGCGTGGTAAAGTTAGGAAGTTTAGTTCTATTTTTTGCTATGGGCGTGACCCGTTCGGTTGGGTGACCCGTTCGCTTGTGGACTAGTTACGTTATGTATTTCACCAGAAGACAATTGCAATATTTGGAAGGGCTCAGCTACCGCACCCGAATTGCATCTACATTCCACCGATGCGAAGGTACCATCACAGTACGATGGATCCCTGCATTGATTGAATTGTGCTGCCTTGTCGAAGCTCCAGGCTGTGACCTGGCCAAATAACGTATTTCACTCCTGAGCCACTTCGGTCTTCGAATCTTCGCACGTACAGCAGTCTCACGCGTTATGGTTACTTAAGCAGATTTAACCTACTGTTGTCACACAGCGAGCTGCATAGCGTATATTCTAGCGCGGAGGTAGCCACTCCACTTGCAAGACTGGCGTTGAGCCACTTCATAAGTTATCGAACACGTTGGGGGGCTCTGCATTCGTTACTAACTTATCCCGACTTCCAGAACCTTCGGGAGCATCTCGTAGCCCGGTTGCCCGCCGATCGATGCACTACTGGACCGTGGGATTGCATCAGATCAATCTGATTTCGTTCCGATCGGTACTGGATGTGCATCTGCATCTGGCAGGCGATCGAAGATGGGTTACGATGATCTTGCGCCAGCCGCTGTTTCACCTCGACTTCGGCTCAACACAAGACGAAATCCCACTGGATGGGCTTGGCTGAATACAAAAATAAAGAAAACTCTACGTCCCATGTCTTGTACCTCGGACAACTATCATGAGCGAAAGTGACGGTATACCAATCCATGCAGCCTTCGGGCTAGTATGTGTTGTCATTGTTTGGTCACGTGCTCCTAGCCCAAGATTCTTCAACATTCTACGCTTTTTGGGGTGCCCCTTGCCATCGTGCAACTTTGTACGCTAACGAGAGATTGGTAAGGAGCCGGAATTCTACCTAAACGGCTAATCCACATGGTTTCCTGAACGGGATGCCAATGCGACGGGTCCGTCATATGGCTATGCTATGCCTTTGGGGCTGGACTTAGGCTTTCATCGTATTCATATAACGTGGTTTAACACCGAGTCGCGCACTTTTTACCACACTATAATTTCAAGTTCAACTAAAAAGCCACAACAGACTAAAGTTTATTGAAATTTATTCAGAGCTATATACATCTGACAATTATAGTTCGACCTGACAAGTCTTTACATTATGTCCAGTCTTCTTACACTTACTACATCGTCGTACAGTCGACGGACCAGCCTTTTCTTTACCCCCCCTTAGAGCGCTTGTCCTCCTTTACCTGGGCCTCCGCGTCCTTCCGGGCCAAAATGTCCAGGGCATCGAGCGTTGAATAACGGCCATCTTAAAGCCCGTCTCGTCGAAGTTCCACATATCGCAGTCCTGGATCCCGTATTTGGCCCTCATATTCGATACAAGCCGGAACCAGTCCTCAATAATCTTTGGATCCTCGCAGAGGGCCCTCTGGAAGTCATACGAGCGAGAAAAACGCGTCTGTAACTCTGGGGTTCGCTTTACAAAGCGATGCGCCCAGAGCTTGCCGACACGTCGGGTACCCCACGTCGCAAGAATGGAATTGGCCATATCTTCCACACCCTCTAGCCGGGGAGGAAACCCTCTCAAATCTAGGTCAATTACATGCTGAACAATAGTTCTTTCCTCTATCTTGGCGAGTAGTGCGCTATTCGGCCAGATTTCGGTACGTGGGGTGTGACCGTGGATTCTGTCACGGAGTGAGGACTCGGGTACGTACACCGTATAGCTTTGCTGCTCGACGTTGGCTCATATTTTTGGTCGATCGGATAGCTTCGATGGCAAGGTTGATTTTGGCTTCTTGGGTTTGAACTGACATGGTGTTGTTGTTGAGGAAATAAGTGTTGAAGTCAAAAGGTTGGAAAAGTTGAAAAAGTGCGCGACTCGGTGATATGCGCGACTCGGTGTCAAACCACGTTACTGCTAGACTGAGTATAGGTTGGTTACTTATATATTTTGACATCTTCCTTCGTCGACATGACTTTGGGGTGTATCCGTTGAATCTCATCAAGAACTTTCTTTAACATACAATGCACCTACGGCAAACGCAATATGAGGCTCATCCTCCTCCTGCCATTATGTTTCGCTTCCCTAACCATGGCCGCCCCCATGGTCAATTCCACCAAGAGAAAAGAGTCTTCTTTGGCCCCGTCGTCCAAATCCCCAACCTAGACGCGCAGGTTGAAGGAGTAAGCTTGCCATACATAGGCGTGTCCGGCGGTTACGTAGAGTCCTTCAAAGGCATCCCCTTCGCTCAACCTCCGGTGGGCGCACTCCGCCTCAAGCCGCCCCAGCCCCTATTAGGCTCACTTGGACGCATCGACGCAACGACGCTCTTTCCGGCTTCGTGTCCGCAGTTCTTGCTAGGAGAAGACGTTAACATCCCCACTGTTCCGGGTATTGCAACGGAAATTCTGGAGAATGTGGTTGATACGCCGCTGTTCAAGGACAGTCTGGTGTCTGGGCAGGAGGACTGTCTCAAGGTTAATTTGCAGAGGCCAGCAGGAGTAAAGGAGGGGGATAACTTGCCGGTTCTTTTGTGGATCTTTGGCGGCGGGTTTGAGTTGGGCAGTACGGCGATGTATGATGGATCGCACATCGTTGCGAACTCGATGATCATGGGAAAACCGGTCGTGTTCGTAGCTGTCAACTACCGGGTCGGGGCGTTTGGCTTTCTTGGGGGAAAGGAGGTCTTGTCTGACGGGAGTGCTAATTTGGGACTCCTGGATCAGCGCATCGGAATGCAGTGGGTTGCAGATAACATCAAGGCTTTTGGTATGCGCAGTAAGGCCCTTCCGTGTTGACGAAACTGTGGCTTATTATCGAGCAGGTGGCAATCCTGACAAGGTCACGTTATGGGGCGAGTCGGCCGGAGCTATCTCTATATTTAGCCAGTTGACTATGTTCGACGGGGACATTACATACAAGGGGAAGCCCTTGTTTAGGGGCGCAATCATGAACTCCGGCTCAGCAATCCCCACAGACAACGTCGATTGTCCAAAGGCACAGGCGATCTATGATCAAGTCGTAGAAGGAGCTGGGTGCTCAGGAGAGCCCGATACTCTCGCATGTCTACGGCAAGCCGATTACCAGGCGAGTCCACCGTCAATATGAGCACGTCATTCCGAGAAACTAACCTTCTCAGACACTCCTCACATCCGCCAACACCGTCCCCGGGATCCTAAGCTACAGCTCTGTGGCCCTCTCCTACCTCCCTCGGCCCGACGGCAAGGTCCTCACCTCCTCCTCGGAAGTCCTCGCCGCATCAGGTAAAGTCGTCAAAGTCCCCTTCATCCTCGGTGACCAAGAAGACGAAGGTACCCTCTTTTCTCTGTTCCAAGGCAACATCACCACGACCGAGGACATCGAAGAGTATCTCTCCTCGCTGTATTTCAAAAACGCCAGCCCGGAGCTCATCTCCCAACTCGTGGCCAAGTATCCCGAGGACCCTGCCGCTGGGTCTCCTTTTGGCTCGGGTGATGATAATAACTTCTACCCGCAATACAAACGGCTCGCCGCCCTTCTGGGGGACGCTGCTTTCACATTAACTCGAAGGGCAGTGCTGAACATCACGTCTACTGTCCAGCCCGACGTCCCGAAGTGGTCGTACCTCTCGTCCTACGATAAGGGGACGCCCATGCTCGGCACGTTCCACGGATCGGATTTAATCCAGGTGTTCTACGGCATCTTGCCCAACTTTGCGGCAAAGGCGACGCTGAATTACTATTTGAATTTTGCGTATAACCTGGGTCCGAACGATAATAGTGGAGGTGCGCAGGAGAAGGTGGACGAGGTTGATGTGGTACAGTGGCCGCGATATCAGGATGGCCATATGTTGATAAATATCAATGCGAATGATGCTCAGTTGATACCCGATGATTTCAGACAGGAAAGCTATGAGGTGTTACTGGGTAATGTGGTGCAATTTCGGTTTTAGGTCAACATACATACTATTAGTGAGTTGTGTTGGGCCATTCTGTTACCTGCTATTGATTATGCTAGTTCTTCCACTTGAGTTGAGCATCGAAGTCAGCGTGAAATATTTCCAATTCATGAATGACATAGCAAGATGGCTCCGTATTGTACATAGGGTGTGTCCGCGCGGAATTTCTCCCTGTGGCATGGGATAATTGTGACGAATTCGTGTCGAATATCACGTGTGTCCAATCGAGTAGTCAGAAGTGCGTAAGATTTTATATGAATGAGGTGTATTGTTCTCTGTGTTCTCTGTTCTCGCGAACTCCTGTTGCTCTGCCTTTTATAGATTCTTTAGAACATGTCGGAGGTACATTGTTCAGGTGTCTGACCCCTAAGTGGACAGTAACTTTGGTGTTACTTTTGGGAAAAGGGGTTCCTTTCGCCTTCTGAACTTTAAGTGACAATAGTCTTCTCTAGTGCCATATTATTTCTGAACCTAGGAACCAGGTGCCCTATCTGACAATTCGCAGTACTTGGGCGATGCCATATTGGCATGGGTGGAGGGGTGGATTGCGGAGGGAGAAATGTCGATGCGGGTGACGCCGTGGGGTAGTGCATCTCACGAAGCCAAGGGTAATTCATTATAGGTTGAATGAGATACATGAGGGTTGTCGAAGTTCAATTCCGGCATGCTCTTAAGGAGAAGAATAAAGAGGCAGGCTCTTTGGCGACTCGTTAGGAATACTTGACGGACCCTTCATTCTAAGTCTGAACTGTGCAACTTATGTCTCAGCAACATTGCAGTATATTTTTGGCTTTCATGGGCTTTTCCAGACCTTCCCAGCTGGAGGCTATATTCAACCACTTGGCAGAGAATATAGGAGACCATGTTCCTCGCACCTGAGGGCCAAAGAATCAAACATGAGAGCAACAACCCATGGAGCAAACTTCCCTCAGCCAAACAGCGCAATATCAAATCACCCCTTCATAAAACGTGACCTGAAACCTCCCATTATTTGAATTTATGACCGGGTCGATATCACCTTCCAGATAGACATTCCACGGATCCAAGTACTTCGCTTCCCAACTCTTGGTAATCTTGTTTGCATTTGGCCCCACAATCTTATCCAAGCACCAAGATCCTGTATCCTTCCGTGCCCAGGCGCCCTCCGGTGCGCTCGCGAGGAGGTCGACTGCGAACCCTTTCATCTTGTTGATCCCATCGAGGGACTGGATCACCACCGCGCCATCGTTGCCCTGCAGCAGGGATACGTCGCCCCATGCGCTGCCATCCGGGTGCCAGTTCACTTCGGCCCAGGTGCCGAGGTTGTGCGTCCGGCCATCGAGGTTGAGGTAGTTGCCGCGGACAATGCGACCTTCGAAGGTGGGGCAGAGGTTAATATAGGCGTGCGACCATGGTGATAGCTGCCAAGACAATTAGTCAATTTGACTTGGGTTGTTGGAATCAAGGGAGACAGACGATGGTATATTTGTACGGCACATAGTCATGGTCACTTTCATAGAAGAAGTACATTGTCCCATTGATCTTGTCATGCGACCCCGAGTCATAGTTGACGAGGATGACCCCAGGTGCTCCGTAGTCAAGGTCTCCTAGCGTGAAGATCGGTGATTGGGTCTCATTGTGGCAGAAAATCTGCGTACCGTTGTCGTTGCGGTGATAGTGGCGATGGATGGAGATATCTCGAGGTATCTTCTGCGATGACAGGGCTGGGAAGCCGTATGCGAAATACGAAGGGAAGCTCGCCCCTGCAATAGATAGTGCCAGCCTCATGATATGCATTGCTACGACCTAGCAGCCGTTTCAGGGTCGTCGAACATGCGAGGCTGGTGTCGTTTGAATGTTGAATCATGTGGAAGAGGCTTCGTTCGGAAGGCAGCTCTTCAGGTATAAAGCAGCCATCATGCGCCTATTTCTGGCATCACCCAGAGATGGGTTTCGCATATTCCTAAGCTCTGTAGTACCGGTGGTGCAACTTGTGGTCATTCCTTCCCTCGGGCCTCAGTTCACATCTTCCTTTCGTTGTGACTTCCTTCCACAAGAAGCGCACGAGGGACACACAGGAATGATGACACAGTGAGTCCACGTGGGAGTCATTTGTAAAAGGCCCAAACAAGGAGTTTGAGCCGAAACCGGAAGCTCTTTCGGCTTGAGTGATTGGGTCTTGATGTAACATTGTCGCACTGGTACCTCATGGCTTCTTTGACAGCTCGGCTGCGTCACGAAGAAGTGAGACGAATATCAGAGGACGGCATGAGCGAACAAAGCGTAAGACCCAATCCTATAATGTTTGTCTTAATTTGATATCTGATATGAGGAGCTTGGACCTTCAGTTTACAGCTGCCACGTTGTTGCTTACCAGGGGGTACGCGGTCCAGCAGTAGACACCCCCGAGGGAATTATATTGCTTCGCTATAGGCAAGTAAAGCTTGAAAGTTGGAATTCCTCGAGTCAACACTTGGGCAGAAGCAGATGTCCCCATAAAAGTGGATGATCCGAGTGCTCACAGATGTCGAAAATTCTTGAACCGGGCTGTACTTGCAATACGGCGCGGATCGCATGTTCCGCAGGGAACGCAGGTTTTTTCTTTTTTGCCTCAGTTAAAGGTCTCCACGTACGTGGATGGTGGTGTTGAGATCTAAGGCACCCATTGTTTACAAGTCCATGCCCGATGGCCCGATGGCCAGCACCTCAAAGCTCCGCGGCCGTGATCAATGTATTCTCAACGCGCAAGGCAGCTAGGCACATCTCTGCTGATATACAGTCCACGAGGGACAAGGCAATCTTGGTGTTTGTGCTTTCGACGCTGTGTGCTGGAGGTACTTGGATGAGAGATTATTTGTCGACTCAGAGGGCGAGGATAAATCTATTGACTGACACGGAGGGAAATAAGATGGAGCCATTTGTGGAGAGAAGGATCAGAGAGCCAAAGGAAAGTATTATTGTCCATTAGGATCCGATGGAGGCAAATTAGCGTCTAGCTGAAGTGTTATTTGACTACGCAGAGCTTTGGATCTTCCGCAGGTGTTGGTCTTTAATGTGTATTCACCATACTCTTCTCATATTTATGCCATCTTGTAGCAACTTAGGAGCCTATTGTGGCTTATATATCTCGTCGCAGGCCAAACACATATTTAGGGACTTAGTACAGAGCTCAAGATCAGCATCGACAAAGAAGTACAAGCTTCATATGTCTCAATATTTCTCTACAGCGTCTGCCTTATCAGTATCCGAAGGTTCTGGAATCACTAGGTTTCAACATCAATTAGAGACCATATTATATATGCACCTAGTAAAGTCCTACGTTGGTGCTGTAAGCTCTCCTACTCTACCATAATTTTATTTTAGCCCAGTAAAGCGTCAAGAGCCCTGCGGCCCCTGCCTTCTTTGACTTGAGCCATTCGGCATTGCGTTTCACTGAGCTTTCCACCTGGGAGTATGACATGTGCGACTCGCCTCCTGGAAGAAATATCCATTGTCATTCTTGCCAAATGTTTTTCACTTTGTAATATGTCACAGGCAGTCACCAAGACAGCTGCCAATATGGTGCGATTGCAAAGACCAAGAATAAAGTATTCCCTGTGCAGAGATGTTGTATTGTTAAAGTAAAAATCTAAACAGACTACGTAAACAATTCGCTGATAAAGTGAAATCCCGTTAGTGACAGTGTACCGTTCATTTATGAATCGATGCACCAGATCGCAATGCTATCCGTTCCCTTTCCAATGCAGCCGTCCATTCCCTTCCATGTCATGCACCGAAGTCTATCCCATTGTTTGTTGTTCTGTGTATGCCATAATCACCATTGAGTCCCAAAACTCCAGTAGTGATGAGCTGAGCTGAGCCGATGCTGAAAATGCATTTAGCAGCCAACATCGAAAGCAACAGCTTGTCCGTTGGCAGGCAGCTTGGAGGCAGCGACGTTGAAGAGCTTGCACTGAGCCTTGCTGAAGGTGATGGACTGGCAGCCGGAAGTCTTCTTGCACAGCGCCAGGCAGGCGTCCTGGCTGGCGATGTTGGTCTGGGTCTGGATCGGGGTAGGGTTCTGGGTCGCAGGGCCACTGGGGGCAGCGCCGCAGACGTCACGCTTCTGCTGCTTCTGCTTGTTGGTCGTGTCGGCGTTGGCACCAGTCTTGGCACCCGTGTTGGTGTTGGAACCAGCGTTGGAACCAGTGTTGGAACCAGTGTTGGAGCCAGTGTTGGAGCCGACGGTGCCGACGGGGTTGGCAGCAGTAGGAGCCGTGTTAGGGACATTAGTGCAGGCCTTGTCGAAGACGACGAGCTTGGAGTCCTGGGTGGGGATTTGCGAGGCAGCTACCGAGAAGAGCTTGCAGGTAGGGCTGGAGGCACCGGTAGGGAGTCCGAAGACGTAGGACTTGCAGGCACTGTTGGCAGCGCAAGCCTCCTCGCATACCTGGGCGGTGGCCGCGGTGGGAGTAGAAATGGCGGTCGCAGAGCCGGAACTGGCGCTGGGGGCCACGTTGCACATCTGGGCGCGGGCTTCCAGGGGCATGGCGCTGGTGGATGCCATCATGGAGGCGATAAGAGCGATGGTGGAGATGGTGAACTGCATTTTGGCGGTTGGAAGTTGTTTGTTTGTTTGGTGGGAGAGAGAGCGTGTGCTGCTGAGTTCTATTCAAAAAGGATTGTCGAGAATGAAATCGGAAGACGAGAGAGAGAGAGAGAAAGATGAAGAGAAAAGGAAGCAAGAAAGAGACTGTTTGGAATGATGGTAGATGAAGTGATAGTAGTGAGGAAAAAAAGAAGCCTTGGAGGGAGATGAAGATGGACTTATATACTCGGATGAGCACTCGGGTACAACATGCCGTATACTCACCTGGCCCGCGCAAACAACGTCGAACTGCAGCCAAGTGCCATGCTGCGGTCTGGCCGACGCGTCGTTGTTTCGTTTCTTAGCAGGGTTCTCCGCCCAGCCCACGACAGTATTCTCAACACCGGATGGCGCAGGTTTCTAGAACCCCTCGAGAATTCATGCATAGTCACCGTGGACGGCTGGAACTGTTCAACAAAGGGACGAGGGGTGAGCATCAAACACCAATCGCGAGGCTGGGCCCAATCCTTCCCGGTGTCAGGCTCAACCATGGGATGACACCAATGTGGGTATAGTCAGTCAAAGAGCCACATTGCGTGAAGCTGACTGCGGTCCAGATGGAGTTTTGCTAGGCAGTGCGCCTTCGCTTGCGGGGTAAGGTGGAACGCTAGTTACTCTTTTACATGCTTGTTTGACGGCAGTTGGCTTGGGGTTTCCCGTTCTGTCCGCAACGAGACAACTGCCCGGCACTATAATAGGTATAGGACTATAGCCTCCTGGCCAGGAATGGGCAGCGCGTCTGATACGGATGTTGCCGTGCTTTAAAAGTGGAACAGGGTGGTCCAACCCTGGCCACTGGCTTTGACTCGTCCAATGGTTTCAGTCCCTTCTTCTCAATTCGGAAACGAAACATCCCAAAAACCCCTGCCCGTCACAACGCATAGTTCCGACCCACCGGCGTTTGATCTCGACCCCGTGCCCGTTACGCAAGATCGCGTTTGACACTTGGTCCAAAGAAGCATTATCCCGTGGTGGGGTATACTCAATTCGTTGGCTCCGAGTGGATACAAGTCATAAATAACTACAACTCACAGCAAACGGCTGCACCACGCGAATCAAGAGGCGACCTCTGCATGTGAGTTCGGCAGTCGCGAGGCTGAAAAGGGCGGTATCCGGTTTGAGAAGACATCTCGTAACATTCGAGCGAGTAAGCATTCCATTGCAATACTTGCCCAAGGGGGGGTGGCGTCCATGCGGTGTGGCGCATCGTTATAATCCACTATATGCTGGGATGAAAAAAGCTTTGCTCTTTATCACTAGACCAAGCATATGGTCAAAGCTGGAGGCGACACTGGCGCACTCAGGGGTACTCAACGGTTGCAACCTTTGAGTCTAAGCATGCCAACCCGGTCAATACACTCCCGGAGTTTTCTGTTCGGTGTTATGTGTTGTCGGTGGCCGAAGTTCAGTCTGGTGGACGACAGGTACCCGCTCAAGAGTGGATCAAAAATCCAATAGTGATATCTTTTCGTCCCATAAGTTTGTCAACAACACTGAAATGGCTCTTGTCGAGCTTCTAATTTTTACGTAACCACGATGAGTTGAGGCAAAATGAGCGTCCTCGCTTTCGTCATAGCGCTCCCCATAATGCTGTAGTCCACTATGAGACTAATTGACGAAATAGACCTCATGGGACCGTTGTAATTCTTGATTATCCCCATGTATATTCTGTGACTTGTTGCCGCACGATGATTCAGCTGTATAATCCTGCGATGTTTCACCCTCCACGGAGCCAAAGTGTTACAACCTTGGAAGAGGCGAGCATTTCCGTTGCAAACTTTTTGCACACGTATACTACCTGAGGAGGCTGTTTCTTTTAATAATGACTCGCGGGTATGACTTATCCGACGAACAGAATCCAGTCCAAACTAAAGACGCTGTGAACGTGTCAAAGCGAAACGGGGGCGTGAAATGGGTGACCCCTGGCCCTTATCCACTCCACCTTCGCGACCGATTCTGTGAGCCACTTAGCCATACCATATCTCTGAGGCAGAACAGGTACAGTTAGAAGTGGCTAGTCACCGCTTACAGCACCACCCGAACACCCCAACAGACTCCCCCAAACCTTACCAAAAGAACTGCCTCATCCTAACTTGAATGGGGACCATCGATTGTGAGATGGCGTTTCCAGTCAATCTCACTGTAGGCCCCTCCATGCTCGAGCCACACATCCATCTCGGCCCTCAATGTCCCATTCCAGTTTGAGTGCAGAACTAGAACGTCGAAGCGGGCGCACACAATGTATCAGGGGTGACTATTCAAGAAAGCCTCGACGTTGATTTAGATGAGCAACAATTACACAGCGGTGTGACGAATAGTCTTCATAAGTCCATATCGTAATAAGGCAGCTTATTAAGCTCTCCGATATCCATTCAGCGACCCCTTCAGCTGCAAATCTGCACTCGGGCGCAAAAGCGGTCAGAACGCTCCTACTTCTCCAGGATGCGTCGCTGGAGTCTTGATTTCAGCTGCAGAAAATATGGATTCGATTACGTTTAGGAAGGTCATGATCATAACAGTCTTCACAGCACAAGAGAACATGGGGTTTGAGACAGTTGGAACCTTGAATCCACGAAGAGTGTTGTGAATCATCGTATCTGACCATTGTCGTTAGCGTCGGGCCGCACCAGGTTTTCTAGCGTTGATAATTTCTTTCCTTTCCAGCTCTTTATTGCTCGATGGCTGATTTAAATTTCTTAAAACTTGCTCTATTGCAAGCATCCAAGAGGCACCCTTTTCTGTATTTAAGCCCCTTGTGGCCACCTTCAATCCTTTGGAGTTGGGGATATCAGACACATCCAATCAATCCCATGCCTTGTTCTAGGTTACAATAAGTCCGATGGTAAGCCTTAGATATCAGATTCGTGACTGGCCCCCGAAATACACCAGGAAGTCCAATGACGAGGAATTCCAACCCCAAGCAATGGCATAGTGGCACGATCCAAACACATTATCCGAGAACAGCTGTCGAGGGCACGTTGGCTCGACTTATGAACGACTTACAGGTTATTGGGTCAAGACCTGAATGCAAAACATATTCCCCCAGCCATACTCAGTCGCTTCCATCTCTTGAATATAGTGTAGATGCGCTGCTCGTATGTAATCGGAGTATGACGATCTGCCTCCCGTTCTATAAAATATTGAGCTAGCAGATGCTCACCAGCCTCGACGACCGCCATATGTTACAAGAGAAGCATGGTGAGTGAGCTTTGTGTCAAATATTGCTTTGTCGAGGATATCAGCTGGTTCTTAAAAGAAGTTGTCCACAAGAGCAAGTAATCATGGAGCTGCGCGTTTTCTTTCACCTTTTCGAAGTGAATAATACAGCGATCTGCGAAGAGAAGACTAGGAATATTAGTTTGGGATTGAGCATGTTTAGCTTTACCCACCAAAGTACTAGGTTAGTGTCTCTTAACATGCGATATCCACTCTGCAGGCCCTCTTGTAAGCCACCAGTGTCATAATATGTCGTAGTTTGAAAACATTGTCGGTTCCCGATAATCGATATTAAAGTGTCGTGGTGAATTGTAGATGCAGGGTAGCGTCACTCAGGCTTGGAGTACTAAAAGTCACCGTGGCCGGCCTGTATATATTTGTGGGCATTTGTGAAAATCTGATATACAAATTTCTGAGCAACGCCTATGGATATTCTCTGGATATATCCTGATGGTAAGATTTGAAGGGTATTTGCGGCTCGAAAGTTCCTTGGGTACCTCAATATTGAGAAGCCCGAGTGGGAAGGCTTATTGAACTATCCTGGATCAACGGTGAGCCTATTCTGATTACCTTGACAGCTTTCAACTCTGTATTATTATATTGGGCAATTATCATGTCACAAAACTGACTTTGAAAACTACGGCCATTCAGCTGGAGTCTTCAGCTAAATGAGATATAAAATTGCAATGCACTAGCCATCGGACCATGCGCATTTATATCATCTAGTCTCTTTCACTCTACTGCTGTCTAGCAATGCAAACTTGAGTAATTTGAAGCTCCTATACGAGGATTTTATTCCCATTTCTCACTATTACAATACTCTGTTCGTAATATGTGCGCATGATGCCTCCCTTGTATCTTTTATGTCGAGAACGCATATTATATCTAACTAAAAGGACTGATGTCTCGGCTTCGTCTCATATAGAGCCTCTCTGCAACAAGAGGTTTCCGAGGTATGCATGCCAAAAGTTCATTCTTCTATAACCCTATATCATATCTTAAGCTTGAAGCGAAAGTGCAAGGTGGCACATTGATACTATGCAATGTTATCGATCGGTCAAACACCATGCGGGGATTCAAGTCGCCGTGTCAGGCTACACAATAATAGAGCTATTTCAGGTAATGCCGAACGTAACCTACTGAGTAAGACAATGGTGGACGCTACCGAATTAAGCCACGCCTCACGACGACGCCCCGAGTTGGAAATATGCCGCGACAATGTGACAATGAATACAAGTTTCTGCTGAAGGATGACCAGCTAATGAAGATATATCAGTCGGCTGATCGGAACAGGAGAAAGAAAGCGATTTGCAAGCCTCTCTTCCCGTTTTAAGTTTGCATGCGTGAGTATGGAATGGGCGTAGATCGGGGTAGTCATCTACTCGAGAGATCTCCATCATCAAGCACTACCATCGGAGCTTGCGTCATAACACTTGATAAACGTCATACATGGGGCTTTTATCTGTATGTACCACCTGCTTGGCATCTAAAGACGCCTCAACTCCAACGACAACACCCATCGCCTGATCGACATCACTCACAAAGTTGGAAATCGTACAGAACATAAAGTCATACAGTGAACGCCGGCGTAACAGTAAGAACTTGTGATTGATGCCATTTTATGCCACCTGGGAAGAAGTCATTATATGCCATACATGGACGCCGCTTCCTGCCGTCCCGTTCTAGTGTGGCGAAATCCGTTTTCGCCGTCGTCATGTGGTCGACCCAAATGCAACCCGATCTAAGCGACAATCTCCTCGGACTCTTCGAGTACTTCCTCGACTATCTCTTCAATGACCTCGCCCTTACGTTCCTCGCCAGAGACCTCTTCCGCTTCCGGTCCAGGCTTCGCGGGCAATCCGCGGTCGAGACGTTCCTCCTCAATCTCCTCTTCCACGTTTGCTCTCCAGGCGAGCCACTCCTCAAGCATCCGCCGTCTTGCCTCGACCACTTCTCGGTCAGCAGACGCACCACGCTCAGCATCGTCTTGCTCGAATTGTCGGCTGTACTCGCGCAGGTTCTTGCGGATCTGCTTCTGCTCGTCCTTGGTGAGAAGAGTGGCAGGCCGCGGCCTCCACGAAAATTGCTTAAACTTTTCGATAGCATCCTCGCGCAGCGCCTCGCCCTTGAAATCGTAGATGTGGAAGCCGTTTTCCATCTGGTTTGGATTAGTATTTGCATGGAAGTTAAAAAAAGGGTGTACTTGAAATAAATCTTACAGAGTGCTTCCACGCGCTGGCCCAGGAGGCGACAAAGCGGCCCGAGGGATCCCATGCAACGTCAGTTACACCGTAGTGGTCTCCGATGTTCATAAGTTGCAGGTTTGCCGTGAGGTCCTTCTCTGCTTCAGGCTTCTCGCCCTCGAAGTCGAGATCGTAAAACTCGAGGTCAGAGCTCTGCTGGTTGGCAACGGTAGCCACGACAACGAAGCGACCACGCGGCGACCAGTAGATGCTGTTGTGGTTCTTCTTCTCGAGCGTACGGAGATGCTTGAAGTTGCCGACGGCGGGGGCCTTGGCCTTCTCGGGGCAAAAGAATGCTACCGACGTCTTTGGTGGAACGGCTGTGGGGCCTACAGGCTCTGTCGTGGTGATTATGCAGAAGCGGTCGCCTTTGGGCTCCCAAGCAAAGTTGATAACAGTGTCCTTGATGGTGTCCACGATTTCAACCGGGACGCCCTTCTCCCTGATGCGGAAGATCTCGAGGGTGGTGGCGAGGGACTTCTTAGACTTGGAGTGACGATCGACCTTGACAGCCAGGTAAGTGGCCTCGGTCTGCCAATGCAGCTTCACGTCACTAACGCTGAAGAGATTAAGAGACCGGACAATCTCCTTGGAAGGGATAGCCATCAAGCCGACCTTTGCCGGGTTGCTGCCCATCTCTGGGGTCCAATAGCAGAACAACTGTTCATGCACCTTGACCCCTTCTCTTTGTACCGTGGCAGGCGCCCACTCGAAGTCCATGACGCCCTCGATCTTGATGGTGGTCTTGTCAAGCAGCTTCATGCTGGGCAGCTCATACACGGAAATAGACTGGCCGTGGGTGAGTCGGGCAACGTAGTTGTCATCCGCTGACCACTTGAAAGCAGGCCATGGAAATTTGGGCGCCGGCTTGACGGGGCCGTCCGTGCTCTGGGGAGGTAGGTCCAAGTTGGCGAAAGATCGGAGGGGCTTGGCGGTCTCGACATCCCAGATGACATAGTTCTTGCCGTCTTCATCGAGAGAAAGCTGGGGGTGACCCTCCTCGGGGATGGCGATGGGTCGGTTGGACCATGTGACGACATATTTCTCATTGGGGGAAAAGTCGAGCATGTTCACGAAAGGATGCGCGAATCGCTTTTGTCGGGTCCACTGAGGACCACCCCACAGCTGTACACCTTGCGCATGCACAGAGGTCAGGTAGGTGCCCAAAGGCGACCACTGTACAAACATTTCGGTCCAGTGATCGCGATCAACGATGGGATCGGGCGTGTCCCTTTCGTTGTTCCAGCAGACAGCGACAGAGTCACCGCGGTACATGACGAACTGATCACGGCCGCGTCCACTGGGATCGGCCAAGAACCAGCGCAAATGCTCCTTCTCGGTGAACTCCTCCATCTTGGGCGGCTCGTAGGTCTCATCGACTCTTCCTTCTCGGCCGTAGCGGTCGATGTCGGTCATCTTGTTGACACGGAGGGTGTGCTTCTTGTCGAGGGGCACCATATCGAGTTGTCGCACAGCGGCGGCGGCTTCGGCAGGAGAAGCGAATTCGACAAAGGAGAACCTGGCCAGTCAATATACACAAATTACAACAGCGGCTGTAGACGGTATCCTGACCTCATCGACTTGCCATCCTCACCCATGGGCATGTAGACATTCTCCTCCTTCGCCTTCCCCACACTATTCAGCTTCTTGAGCAAGAACTTGACCAGCTTCGGTTTCTGTTCCTCTGTGACCTCGGGCAGTCCATCGATGACGACGAATGAATCGTATCCATGTTCCAGCTGGACTTCGTATTTCTCCTTTAGGTCGGAGATGTCAACCTCATCCTCGTCGTAGTCGTCCTCGTCGAACTCTGCATCGCGCAGATGATCAAATGAAGGCGCCATGCTGGGTGGTAGGCTCGGCGGTTCTTCCCCGTGGGAGCGCTTTACGTTGGGAGATCTTCACTCGAGGGTTGATACTGTCGCTGGCGTTCTTGAAAGGATTGTTCGACTTTTTTTTTGCTGTTGGGTCAAAATGCCCCGCCTTGCGCTGTGACTGGCGGCTGCCGTTTTTGCGTGAACTTTTGGATTTTCCAAGGTCGGCTGCAAATCTGTGGCGGACTGACAGAAATTCCAGCAGCCGAATGCCCCGCGCTTCTCACTGGACCCTTGGTATGATTGGGCGGCTCACCTTGGTGGGGCTGTTTTCGGGCCCCTACCCCAAGTCACTTCAAACTGCCTTTTGGACTTTGTGACTTCCACCTTGGAACATCTGCCCGTCGTTTCATTTTACTTGAATTCATGATCAATTAAATAGTACATGCATCCGGATTGCCTTGTCTTGGATCTCCAATATTGATATAGATGGGCGTCTTGACGCTTTCACAACCTAAAGCAACCACCTAGGTACCTCAAACACCTTTGCGTGTCCTAAAGATAGCTTACTTACCCTTCCTGGCCAAACAGTTTCTGTGAAAACCAGATCAACTCGAGAACTCGTTTCTCACTTGTTTTAATTTGATGGCTTTATTGTAGATAGAGAACATTGGATTGGTGCTTGTGCTTTCAATGTGTACCTACAGTCCTGCGCTTATGTACTCCAGCTTGCAGGGGTTTGACCTTCACCTTGGCTCCCCTTGATTTGTTCCCCTCTTCCGAAGTTCTGCCCGCGAAAAAAAGCTCCTAGGTCGAAGCTGCCCGCCGCCTGGCCCGCCCGCCATCGTAACCTAATCGACATATCGGAGCTCTGAAAGCGGTATACAACAACATTTGACCACTTTCTCTGCCCATATCCAAAATCATCATGGTAAGGACGTTCCTTTCGCAGTTTGGAGCCAAGTGCGCTTGCTGACCCTGCGCCCAGTCGTCCTTCAGTCCCACCCAGATCTTTGAGGATGGAACCACCGAGGAGAAGGGCGAGAACGCTCGTCTTTCGGCCTTCGTAGGTGCCATCGCCGTCGGCGACCTTGTCAAGTCCACTCTTGGCCCCAAGGGGATGGACAAGATCCTCCAGTCAGCCTCGACCGCTGAGATTATGGTGACAAACGACGGTGCCACCATCCTCAAAGCCATCTCGCTCGACAACGCCGCCGCCAAGGTCCTCGTCAACATCTCCAAGGTTCAAGATGACGAAGTGGGCGATGGAACAACATCAGTGGCCGTTTTGGCAGCAGAGCTCCTGCGAGAGGCCGAAAAGTTGGTGGACAAGAAGATACATCCTCAGACCATTATTGAAGGGTATCGGATAGCAAGTCAAGCTGCCCTGAAAGCGTTGGAGCAGTCGGCCGTCGACCACAGCAAGAACCCAGAGGCTTTCAAGAAGGACCTTCTCGCCATTGCACGGACGACCCTCTCCTCCAAAGTTCTCTCCCAGGACCGAGACCTCTTCGCCAAGCTCGCCGTAGATGCCGTTCTCCGTCTCAAAGGTTCCTCCGACCTCTCCCACATTCAGATTATCAAGAAGGCTGGTGGCAAGCTGTCCGACTCATATCTCGACGAGGGTTTTATTCTGGACAAGAAGATTGGAGTCAATCAACCGAAGCGGCTGGAGAAGGCCAAAATCTTGGTGGCCAACACGAGCATGGACACGGACAAGGTCAAGATTTTTGGGGCTCGTGTCAAGGTCACAGGTACATCCAAGCTGGCCGACCTCGAGAAGGCAGAGAAGGACAAGATGAAGGCAAAGGTCGAGAAGATCAAGGCACATGGCATCAACTGCTTCATCAACCGCCAGCTTATCTACAACTGGCCCGAACAGCTGTTCACCGACGCAGGAATCATGTCCATTGAGCACGCCGACTTCGACGGCATCGAACGTCTGGCGCTTGTGACCGGTGGCGAGATCACATCCACTTTTGACCACCCCGAACAAGTCAAGCTGGGACACTGCGATCTGATTGAAGAGGTTCTTATTGGGGAGGACACACTGATCAAGTTCTCTGGAGTCGCGGCAGGGCAGGCTTGCACAATTGTTCTACGCGGTGCGACAGACCAGCTTCTCGACGAAGCCGACCGCTCGCTGCACGATGCCTTGGCGGTCCTTTCGCAGACCGTGATAGAACCCCGCACCACACTGGGAGGCGGATGTGCAGAGATGCTGATGGCGAAGGCCGTTGAGAGTGTAGCTACACGAGTGGAGGGCAAGAAGCAGATCGCAGTGTCGTCATTCGCCGTTGCGTTAAGACAGCTTCCGACCATCTTGGCGGACAACGCTGGTTTGGATTCCAGTGAGCTGATCGCGAGGCTCAGGAAGGCAATCTACGATGGCATGAGCACGTACGGTCTGGATCTGATGACGCCCGGTGGCGGTATTACGGATATGCGGGATCTTGGTGTCATCGAGAGTTACAAACTGAAGAAAGCTGTGGTGTCGAGTGCGAGCGAAGCAGCAGAGGTGAGTTGTTTCCATGCGTGAGCTAAATTGACATATGATGCTAACGGCAGAACCAGCTGTTACTGCGAGTAGACGACATTATTCGTGCGGCACCAAGGAGACGGGAGCGCAACTAAAACATCAACCCCCGAGTTGATATGAGATGGGCTGGCGTTGGAAAAGGGAATGGGGCAATGATACAAAACGCATCGCGCTGCGTCGGGTGTACTATACCATAGACTTTGCCATACCCAGTAATGAGAATGAAACCTGTGCCATGTTGTTAGTTGGGTGAGTCAGTATTGGGTGCACATTCCTATGGCCGGTTCGTGAACCGCTCCCAGTTGCGTTGCTCACTTTCGTCGCAAGTCAGGTGGCTCCACGCCCGCAAAAGACTAGCTGGACAACCTAATGACAGCCTGGACTCTTGATTTCGTCTGCAACAAGCTCCTCTCAATCAGTATCTCAATCAGTACCCAACACTCGAAGTTTGGATACTTCACGGTCACCACTCCAATCTAGGAATCTGCACCGCATGACAACGACCCCTACAAGCTGTTGAGTCCCGTACTGGCAGACCGAGATTGCATGGACCAGTGGGTTAAAAAGGTCACGGAGAGTGTATGGCAAGATCGAACTAGGAAACCCGTGGGATCAAGACACTTTACTATCTCACATACCCCCAGCGAGAAATCAATCCTCGCGTGTTCCAGGCAGTAGCTAATTCTGCTTTTCCGTGTAATCTCGCTGACCACATGATTTAGGTATGCAGAATTGAGACTACAGTTCGTTCTGTTGCCACAGAACTATCATCCTGCAGTTATATTTAGCATCGCATCTGCCTTTGGATGATAGCTGCACTCTTGAACACGGAAACTATTACGTCTGAGACGCAACAGTATTCGTCCATGATAACAGAACTCATATCTTCTGCTAACAAGCGTGACATAAAATTTCAATGACGTCGTATTAGCCGTGGTGATCATGATATCTCTTTATTTGGTCCTCAGGCCCATCCTGTGATTCAGCTGTCCGTGGGTTCTGATTCCTCCACGGTGATACATTGACGAAGCCGTGGATGGATGTTCCTGGCATCACATGGACGTCGTAGGCGAGGTAGTCCTGGAGCGTAAATTCCATTACTGGGATTATCCAGTCAAGACCTTCCAATGAGCAATAGTGGGGATCAGAAAATGCATAACTTGCAACACCTTTTGGGTCTGTCAATGTCGTAAAAGTGCGTAGATTTGACGGCTTGTCTGGCCAGTGTTTCCGAATTTGTTTCACAAGGTATGGGCAATAGTGCCTAGCCATCACCCGTTGACAGAACACATGGCACCCTCCCACCGTGCACCTCCAGAAAGGAATGCCCCACTTTAGACAATACTTGCTCTTTCTCTTCCTCGGCCAAGTCGGTTTAGTACACGACGAAACTCAATTTTCCTACTTCATTCTACGCACTAGGTGTTACTAGGTGCTGTTCGTTCTATGCCCTAGGTGTGGTTACCTCATGTCTTTCATTTGGTGTCTCCACTTCGTCTAAGCGTGGCAGCCTAGGGTCAATCGCTATAATGCAGAGCTGTTGCAATTTGTTTGAAACAAGCCACATTTCTAGCCACAACACCACCTAAGGGATACATAATTGAAGGATCAATTCTGTGCGTAAGACGCATCCGGTTTCCACGATTTGAACACGTCTAGTAGGCAATTCGAATGCCTTCAGTATCAATTATCTGTTGCCAGCGGGTTGGCATGGAACCAAGGTCCTTATTAACTCCCTTCTTACTGAGGGACTAATAGCCTTCTTCAGCCAGAGCTATCAGGTTTGTCGATGTACGATGGGCATATTTCTTTATGTTAGATTTCACCTTTCGTACTGAGCTTTCTATGGGGTTGACGTCAGGGCTGTTGTGGACGTTGATGATGTTCTTGTAGCCGTTGTCCTTGAACTAGCTCTGTGTGCATTTGACAGTATGACTGGGATCCAGTTATCTCCTTCTCTTATGCACGACGTTGTGTTCTATCCATCTATTCATCTGATGGTGTAACGAGCTAGTGCTAGTTATGGTCCTTTGGCTTCCGATATACGAACCCCTTCCTAGCGCTGTGGAATCCGAAGTGTAGTTCATCTATAGAGGCCACCTGCTGGCGCCACTTCTTGTCCCACCAGAGCCCAAGGTTCTTCTCATAAATAGCTCGCTTAACGCGGTGTATCTGGTGGACGGGGAGAGGGTGGCTTTAACTTGCTCTGGATGTGGTGCGGATGACATTTAGACTAGGCAAACTCAATTTGTCTTGGCCTTCGATTTGCCACAACCTTTGATCTCTAAGTAACATACACATATCTAAACTGATTTACGTTCATAATTTAGTGCTGCTTCTCAAAATATAAATGAAATCATCTGCTTACCTACTGCAGGGAAGAATGAGCATATGTTCTCTCCCAACGACTCATAATAATTTATTAATATATAGCCAGGACCATCAACCAACCCTTGCGTATCTCAACGGCTGAGCTTGCAGTCGCCGTTGGAAAAGAACCACTCTACCAGTTAAGATCGTGAAACCTGCCTACGTTCGCTCCAACTCTACGTAGTGACGTCGGTTTTGGTCAAAGATGAAGTAGCAATCCATCTAAGTTGTTATTTTTCGTGCCTCTGTTTGCCTGCGATCAGCTTAGGTCGTGTGTTTCACAGAAGTCCTTCCCTCATAAAATCCTACTCGAGATTCGTCGCGTGAGAATGGGATAATTCCTTGCCACTATCAATTTACCAGGCAACGAATGTGAGCCGGTCAGTGGCAGTACCAGGCATAGTGCAGCACAGCAAGGAAGATGCTGGCCATCTGGCCGACTAGGTAGAGTCCATCTTAGCACGTTATCCTTCAGAACCAAGCTGACACTAGCATGAATTTCCAGGGAAAATCTGGAGATATCGACGCCTTGGCTTCAACCATCACGCTTGCTATGGCGAAATCAAGCATGTCATCATTCGGCACTCTAAGGTATCTCATAGTGCAGATGGCGACACTGGGGATATCATTAAAGTTGATGAGAGGAGCAATATGTGCACATTCTGCAACGAGTGCGTCCCTCGTCTTTTGACGTTCATTTGGCCCAATACAACAGGCATACCAAAACCCAGGACTGGCAAGGTGAACTAGGCGTAACTCGTGAGGCAGAATCGAGCGATACTGTGGATGAAGTTACACCAACTATTCTTTGCCCAGGTCTTCCGTCCCATCAACGAACCCCGATTCCTCCTTCTCCCATAAACAAGGGTACCACCATCATCTAACATGGATACGCGCTATACGTGCGAGAGAAAGACTTCGTCATCAGGCAATACCGGGCCACTAAGCTTCCGAGTGACCAAAAAGAGCCACTTTCCCTACGAAGAACGTGGCCTGACAACAAGTTTCGAAGAAACATCGCCGCAATGAGATTTTGGACGCCACCTTCGTCAGTTCAGGCGGCGTTCAAGGTGTCTGATGCGATACATCCATACTTATCGTGAGAAGCGGCGAGGTTGGCGGCACTGTAGGTGTGGAGGTCGTGAGCGGAAATATGGTCCAGGAACCGACTGTGCAATCAACCGACGTTGTTCCACCCTTGGCTGAAGAGACTGTCGGCAGCCTATATCATTTGTTTAGGGGTATTAAGGCGGCTATCGCCGTCAAGATGAGTGTCTGTGCCGATGCTCGAACGGCAGCAGTGCGGATGCTGCTATGGAAATTGGAATGTCGAACAAATGTGGAGCTGGAGCAATTTTAGGTGGTGAGATATGCAATCTGCCACAATTCGATTGGATATACAGGAGCTGCGGTGGCCAACTACCACTTGCAAATTCCGACTTCCCAGATGGACACTCATAAACACCTTGACGTACTCCACAATGCAAGAAATTAGCAATTCTAAGCCCAGCATGACCGAGAGCATAGAGGATCTACTATATTCGGCAATGCGTCACATCGATCAGATGAAGCAACAGGTCATGGCCGAGTATGCTCAGTTAATGCCGGAATCTGTTGACAATGGCATTGCCAATGATACATCCAAAGACAAACGAGGTCGATCGTTGAAGACTTTCAAGGCGGCCGTGGGCAGGCTCAACCGCCACACCAACGATGCCATCGTCGAGTTGCAAGATCACCTCGGTCTCACGCCCAAGTCATCTGAGGGCGCTCGCATAGTCCCCCTGCCGGCTCTGGACAAGAATCACCCACTCAACCAGAACCTCCAGCTATACGAGCACACGGGCTATTGGCGATACAAGCTGAGTCAACGCGGTCAAATCGATAACACACAATTCAGCAGCCCAGTCATTTGTATCCATGACGGGTCGCCAATCCAATCTGGACCCAACACCTGCTTCCTTCTGTTGCCGACTCTCAAGAACGTCATTATTCTTCAACACGCCTACGCCCGATTTCTGCGACTGAAGCATTGCCTGATTGACGAGTTCCTGAAAACATCACCGAGCACCTCCGTGTACCAACTCTCCAAGAAGAGCAAATACCCCTATGAAAACACGACGCTGGTGAACGTGTCCAAGCGGCACCGGTTCAATGAAATGCTGGACGTGCTCTACGTTGCTACGGGTTCGACAGTGGGCGCGAAGAAAGATTACTGCACCATGTACCTCATCACCACGTCTGCGGACGGAACTGACGCGTACACCGGGGTGATGAACGGGTACCAAGTCCAGAAGTCCACGGTTCAAGAGACCGATATTGCGTTACCTGCAACTGAGGCGACGATACAGGGGCTGTACAAACTGTATATGGAGCTAAAGGCCGCTACTGCGCGTAAGAGTGCTTCTGGGACAGCAGGAACTGATGGAGTGGCTGGTTTGATTCAGATGTCTATGGATATATCGTTGGGGAATAAAGGAAAGGAGACGGTGGGTCGGGTTGTTGAGGTTGCGAATTCGAGGAAAAAGCGCAAAATCACCGAGGATGATTGAGGTTGGAGGTGATAATCGTAAGATCGTTGCGATACGCGTTTTGAAATGGGCTACCTACTTGAAGCCTGGCTTTGGTTTAGTCCTACGGGCAATACCGATGTATACTAGCTTAGACCGAATCCTTCATCTCTTGCGGACAACCATGTGTTTTATGATATGTTGCTTGGCGCTGTATTGTGACGTTGGACTTGTCCCTCCATTGAGTGCAGCTGACCACCCGCAGTCCAGATAGCCAGATTGGGGTGGTAATAGTATTAAAGGTGTCGACGAGCTCCCATTTGAGTGAGTTACAGGTACCCATTTGAGATATTTTATCGTTTCCAAACCCCGGCGGCGATATCCTACTACTTCACAAAGAGCACATGGTTTGAGTTTTCAATCGGGATAGTTAGATTTTGTTCTTTTTCTTCTCTGGGTCATGAGGTGAATGATATAGTTGGACAATATGGGCCCTGTGGGCCATGTGGGTCCTATACTTGCCACTATCGCCACCTAGAACGGCGACCATCCCCACATACCTCTATTACGAGAAATGTGGCGAGGATAGAACATTCCCTACTTATCTATATGCTTCTACAACTTGTCTGAATTAATCAGCAAGTCTACCATTCATTGACTATATAAGAACCCTTTTGTTTCCATACATAGACCCTCGAAGAGAGGACCAGAGTTAGCTACAATACATACAGGTTAGGCATATGTGCCCTCCTTTTGCTCCTTCAACGGGAACATCAAATCCAAGTGATATCCTGGACCGTATTTGGTTGTGTAATGTTTTACTTTGCTGTTAACCTTTCTAACAGGTAGCGCAAAGACTTTATTGTAGAGTTACTTATTTTAGTGCAGGTCTCCACTGCAGATCACAGCACACTGCAGCCTGGCTTGCCGGTCCCTTTACATTCAGGTGCCTGTACAAGAAGCATCTGAAAGCATAGCTAGCATAGGCATATCACATTGCCAGATATGGACTCAAACATATGCCTTAAGCAGTGCTCAACCTCGAATTACCAGTCAACAAAATAATCAATCCCATCCGTCAAGGCCACCGCAGCCACACTGGCATGGTCACTGCCAACATACTCCTTCAAAACCACATCTCTCGACTTATTACTCCCCTTCAGGCTCTCATACAATGCATGGCAGTTATCCGTCATAGAAAACGTAGCATACAAATCCAATCTTGACTGGTACTGCTCATTCGTCTCGGTGCGTCGCTTCACAGGATACTGCTCTAGATCCCCATACGCGAGTCTGAAAGCGGGCTTGGTCACATTTTCCGGCAGTTTGGCCTCGTCCAGCCAATAAGTATGGTTGAGCAAGTACCCATCGTTCCAAAACAGCGCCGGACTAGAGGACAAGAAAGTATCGAAGAGATCAGGCCGGCGCAACAGGGCGTAAATCACGAACAATCCACCGAAGGAGTGGCCGTAGAGCGCATCGCGACCGAAGTTCACCTGCGGGAACTCGGAATGGATGAATGGGCGGAGAGTTCCCTCGATGAAATGAATGAAGTCGTCTGCTCCCTCGCGCACGCCTGGTTCAGCAGGTGGATCTTCGCCTGGCGTCACGGGCTGGAAGTCAATACCGCGCTGGGGGCTGTAGACAGAGTCGGTGATGGGGTAGCCGATGCTGACGACAATGCTATCGGGCTGGGTGGGCTCAACGGGGAGGCGGCGGCGCCAGGCTTCTGTGGCGGTCATGCCGAGGGCGTTGCCGTCTAGTACAAACCTACAAATTGGTGTTAGTCGATGAGATTATATCGTTTGCAGTGAACGGACACATTGTAAGTGCGGTATTCTTGACATCGCGGGATTCCCATGCCAATGGCCACGAAATTTGGATTTGGTAGTTCAAGTCGATGCCATTGGTGACGTTCCAAAATGTAACATTGGGCAAAACGGTTTGTGGGAACGCAGTGACGATGGGGTTAAAAAACCAGGTATAATTTGCAAGGCTCATCATCTTTAGATGAAATTTGACTCGATGCTGAGAGAACAAGAATGATCACTGGTTTGACGATTCTTGTGCGGACCTTTAATAGCCTGGCCATCTAGATGATTCAGCTGGTGGCATGATTGAGAGGGGAAATTCATTTTCCTTGGCAACATGGCTGCTGTGCATTAGCTTTCATTGATGGCCAATGCCGTGGGAGGACCCATCGCGCATATTGCCAGAAACGTTTTTAGAAGGTCTCGCTACCGGATCCTTTTACATTTCTGCACGCAGGCCTCGGATAGACCCCTGTCGAATATATTCAGTTGCGCTAGCTTCAGGGCAAGACGTGCGGTGCCTGGATTCCCGTCCAAATATGAAGTCTTGTTCGCAAATTCCATAAGCACTCCAAAAGCATTGTGTCTAGTCTGCCCATCAAGTGATCCCGTGCCCCTTGATCTCCGACATCGGTATTATCATGGATTTCGGAAGCATGAGTCTCATTTGCACAGAACATCCCCAAATCGCTTTCGGGGACTGTAGCTTGTATGTTTCATCAGAGCATGTGCATAAGACAATCCTTTACCAGCTGATGGGAGGCCAATAATGTCTGGAGGTGGTTCTGAAGGACTACCCGATGGAGAAGTTGGCCACGCAAGTCTCAGCGCAGCGTCGACGGCAGCCCGAATGCGCAGTTTGGACGTAAGGAAGCATATGGCCAGCAAGGCAACATGGGTGGCATAGAGCTCGTTACTCCAAGTACTTCTGGAGGCCGCCCTGTATTTGTTTTGCAGCTTTATATCTTCAGTTCTCATCATGAAGAAGCAACAGCACGAGGAGGAGCAGAAGGAGGAGTATGAACCAATGAATATGGAGGGTTGCTTAGCTCACATCTGGTCCTGAGCTCTGCATACACTACCCCTCCTAATTCTATTTGAGGTAGGAATTTGACTTGATTTGATGGCCCAATCTGCAACCATGTGATATGACATCAAGTGTAAGCGGTGAGCAAGTTGTAGCCAACAGGCGTCACACAACTCGTCCATTACTTTGCTCCTGTTATCATCCCATATAACAGGGGCATCATGTATCAAAGCCCAACACACCATGAATAATAAAATGCGTGTATATGAAAAACAAGCGGCCAGCAAGATGATTTCGGCATCAATGCAACGCTGCGCCTTGTGGGCAGAATCGTGATTTGGGTTTTTTGCTTCGAACTTGCCCACCTGCGGGCTTTACCTCATCCACAGTACTGTTCCACGTATCAGAATCGAATTTATTTAAGCAATTATTCCGGCACTTATCGTTTGTAGTCAGGGGCGTCACGTGATGACGATACCTCTGTCATACTTTGCTGGCTGAGCAAGACGTCCATGATTACCCTTTTCATTTCACCTTGAAACTTGGCTGGCGATTTTTGAGCATGGAAGACGAAACTTTTGATCAAGGCTTGTCAATCGGCGACTCATAGCGTAACCGCTAGCATCTCTCATTCTGACAACTGCCAACAGACCGATATCCTCTGACCAAGTATCTTTCACCCTAAATCCAACCTTGCACCGCCATTCAGCAGCAGCCATCGTAATATAACATCGGTTGCCTTGGTTCTTGAATGGTGTTTCATCTGGCGGTTTTCCTTCATCAAAGGCTCACCCCCAAAGCCATACATGATGGACTAGTCTCAAAATCCAGGCCAACCATATCCATCGTTATATCCTCCCTTTTACCCTTGTCATATATATTTCGCTCCACATCTTGCAATGCCATGGTCATGTCGGCCAGGGAGGTAAGTCCAGTTCCGGCATAGGAAGCGGCAGAACCATCATCGTCCCTGTTCTCGCCCTCCAAGGGTTTTCCAGATGCGACCTTGTCCGAGTCATTTCCTTCCAGGTAAACCATGATCGAGTCCATAGGATTGATGACCCAAGGCTTGATAACGCAATCGCTTGTAGTTTGACCGTCACCAGCCGCCTCCTCGCGATCAGCATTCACCCTCTTAACAGCGACAGCAGCCTCATACACCTCCCTTAGAGCATCTTTCAAGGCCATCACACGCTGTGAGTTCACCAGCGGCTGATTCCAAAACCACGAAATACTCCTGGTGACTTCCTCCTAGAAACAGTCCCATACACATCCCTTGGTCTGGATCAGGTCTCGCTTGCCGTTGACGGTGGCTAGCATCTCGAACAGGCGCTGGTCCACTGCCCTCGCTGCCTCGGTGGCATTCTGTAACGCTTTGCAGAAACTTTTTTTCTCTTTGTCGATCTGGAGGGCTAGAGTGGCTAACTTTACGAGGCGTGGCCCGGTCAGGTTCTTCTTATTCTTCCTTTTCTTGGTACCTGGGTGAGTCAGAGCCATGGTTGAGATCCTGTTGTGGTATTAGCAGGATGGCGTAGTGTGGGAGAAAAGAGCCTGCTGGGGGTGCTGTCACCTTCTTTCGTGATAGCCAAGATGGGACGCGTTAAATCACGGCAGAGCCAATGCAGAGAGAAAGGTCACTAGCTGTGTGGTGAAGCTCAGATTGGCTAACGTGGAGCAAGCAAATTAGTTGTGAATGGATGGGGCAGGGTGTCTCGCATTGTCGTTTGAGAGAAAGAACGGTCAAATAGGTCGCGTGCCGAACGTTGCGCTTCCGTCGCCGAAAGCATGAGTGGTTACCAAAGTTGCCGTACGCGTGGCTGCTAGATTTGTTCGAGCCAGACACTATGCAAAGCTCCTAAGCACAGGTACCTCGCAGAGATTGGGGGCCTACGAGTGCATATGGAGTGACACGTCAACGTCGTACCCTCGACCCCGTTGTCGAATTTGTTGCAAATTTCAGCGATGGATGATATACCTTTATCGACCTGACGACACAAAAGTCGACCTCGGCTCGTCCGATAGTTGAGTCGGGCTTGGTCACGTCCTGCCACAGTAGTTTCGTAGCACTCGGGTACTTGTATATTGAACCCAAGAAGGGCTCGGCTAATTATGTGTAACATGAACTTGCCGCCTTATCATGCGCAATTTCATACAGCTATCAGCTACCTATGTCCACTTTCTAATAATTTCGAGCGATGCTCTAGGTCTTGCCTAGAAGGGCTAATTATAGGCAATTGACCCGGGCGTTGCACCTGGCACACGTCAGATGTGCCTGGGGCATGCAACGACATCCAATTCACGACTAGGGCTTTCATTGAGGAAAGGTGTCCCAAGCGCGCCAGCCTTGAACTGCCAAGCGATTTTCACATCGACATATATTTCACTAACATCATCAACGGCTTGGCCAATGCCGTATCAGTAGACCTGGCGAAAAAGCGAAGCAGCCCAGACCCGGCGAGCCTGTCGCTCATCAGCCGCATTGAGATTTTCTTCTGATTCGTTCATGACGTGTCCCTACGTGGACTGGCTGTGCTCTACAGCAGACCGTCGTGAGGTTGTGAGCTTCTTCGCGGAATGGAACAGGAGGCAGCGACAGGAGTCATTGCGTCCCTTGTATAACACCATGGACTGTATGGAGATGAGCGTCAGTCAGGAGTTCTGCCCAGACATGTTGAAAGTGGGAACCGTGTCGTTGATGCTTTTCAAGGGCAATTATTCCACCGCTGTCAAGTATCAACTGAAGAGTTGCGGAATATGGGTGGGTTTCTGTTTCCCCAATCCGGGCCAACAGTAAAGCACTGTCACATGAAGCCGGCTTCGAGCATCCTTAGGCCATATTTGTTGTCAGTATGGATGGAGAAGAAGTTGAAGGGGTGGCTCACTGGAGTGAGTGCCTCGATCCAGTGACCCTGGCAGATGACATACGACGCTGTCGAGAGATGCGAGCAAGAGGCGGCGGCATAAAGCAGAAGGTCATTGGCATGGCGACCTGTTCTCAATTAGAATGATTACCATGGCATGTATTGGTTGACGGAGTAGATAAGCCAGTTTCGCTGCGGTTCTTGGCTTTTCCTTGTCCGGGGAGCGGGCCTCTGATAAGTGTTGGACCTTTGAGCGATTACAACCGAATTGCCAGTTTGTGAGACCATATGACAACCACCCACCGTATCACACAATTTCGGCCTGTAGGGCAGGCGTCGTTCATTTCTACGCGGAAGGTTCTGATGGCCATAGTGCGCTCTTTTGAAGAAGAGGATCTACACAGATCTACACACTTTCAATGCAGTATAGTTCGCATCGTTGTTCGCATAACAAGGAGATAGAACGAAGATAGAACGAAGGCATCGCTACTAACACGACCGATGATGGCTGTGGATACAATTGACGTTGCCGTTGAAATCCTGGTCAATGCCTTGTTCCAGTGGTGGTGTTCTCGTGGCAACTCTGTCTAAGCTAGCCCCCCCCTCATGCGAGATAGCATGCATAAGCATTCAAGCCAATACTCCTTGGAAGAGGTTGACCGTCAGTCCGCTCATTCCCCAGAGGCCAAGGCTGTGGGCGGCGATGGTGAAACTTGGACGACTCTTGGTGGTGGGCAGGAATGCTTCCATTTTTGGCTAGTGACGCTAGGGTTCTCGATGTTGGCGGCCAAGTCGATATGGTAGACATAGCTCCTTGCTACCGAAGAGCAAAAATGCGTGCGTGCACTGCGTTAAGTAAGGACTCGCAGTCGTCACCAATGTTTTCATCGCCTCACGGTGAGCAAAAAAAGCTCCCCAGCGTTGCTTCGGAGCTGCGAAAAAAGTTCGAAAATTCAAAGGGCGTGTCCGCGGTCGCACCGGGATTGAGTAAGATGCTGCGAACCCAATCTAGCCAATTTCCGAAGCTTGTTTATCCTACGGCGCGGCACCGGCGTCCATTGGCCAGAATAGACGCTGCAGGGGATGGAATTTTGGCAAAGGAAATTTCGACATGGTTGCTTGGATTGTCTGGACCCTTCTATGTTTCCAGACCATGCCCAGCTTGCTTACAGCCTGGCTCCTTGCAAGGTAAAAAGTCAAGTTGATTGTGTGCGAGGGTTGTGAGGATTCGTCTTTCGGACTTCAAGTCTGCAACTGAGTCCGAATGATGAAGTGGATTTGCCAACGTTATGATCACGGAGGGTGATTGCGATGTTATGCACGATGGGGCCATTTGGTGTGGAGTTTCCCCAATTGCCATCGAAACACTTGCAGCATTCCAACTTGTACATTGATATGCATTCATGACGACGTGGTCCTGCAACCGACGGCGGAGGGTATGACGTGACACAGGGCGTCCAATGAGGCCGCTGCGAAGAATGCCTTTCGGATTGTGATGTAGGATTGGGAAGCTTTTTGGCGTGAGAACTATCGTTTGGGGCTCCCTTGGCGCTACTGGAGCAGCTGTCGTACAGTCTGCCGCTCCCCGGGTCGTCCAACGCTTGGATCTGGAGGATTTGGGGATTCGGGATCCCAAAGTCCATGTTGCATTACAGCAGAGAGATGCAACTTGATCAGACAGACAACAATGGCAAGTACCCATTCTCAACGGTCGACTGCAACAGGGAGGCTCCATGGAGAGAGGCCTGCTGGGCAACTACCGGGGCTCCCAAGGTCTCGATCCTGTTGTCCTGCACAAATCCGGGCCTTGCTTGTCTCAAAATGATCTTGAAGACACGGACCCAGCAATTTGAGATGTTTTGCATTATGAATGGCCAGCCAAGTCACTAAGTTGCATATTGCACACCCTCTTTTTTCCACGGTGAGCTACTCATCCGCGCACCCCCTTGAATCCACGGGATGCCCCACCAATATCTCGATGGACCCTTCGCTTGCTTTGATTAGGGGCTAGCTTCATGTGCCCAGCACAGCGACGGACAGTTGGGGAACGCGTGGGCTAGCTAACCTTCATCTCTTGCATGCAGCACCAATTTTAGGATTGCATCTCTCGGATTTCTCCCCAAAAACCAACATCATCCAGTCCCGCTAGTTATCGCCCCGGGACTTTGGGGTGCGCTATTATTCTTTTTCGTTCGTTGCAGCAGCAGCAGCAGCAGCCCTTGGTTCTCACTCTCATTGAATTCTCGTTCCTCGCCCTCGTTCTTCCCTCACCTGCCGTACTTACTTACTTCGTACCCCCTTTCGTAATCACCGTCTCCCACGATCAAGTCCTCGAGACGACCAACTCCAGCAACTGACAAAACGATACCAGCACATGCAGGGCATTCTTACACCCCGAAATCTTAATCTTTTTGACCCAATTGAACGGACATCCATCCTTTGCTACCCCTAAGAAACCATCCCAACTTTATTATTCAGACGACTCTGAAACAAGCCATTTCCAAGCTATTGCCAAACGTCCTCACATAGTAGCTTCGACACACAGCCGCATTGCCCTGACGGCATCCGCAAATAGGGTAAGATCCTGATCCTTGGCAACCTCATTTGGCCTACGGCAAACAACAAGCACAACGACGATCTACTTTGCTGCAGTAATCGTCTCAAATATCTACCACATTCATTTACACCGGTTGCACAAGGATATTGTCACCAACCCCGGCTATTTTAAGCTTCTTTGTCTGACCACACCATCCAATTGCCTTCATCACTCACCTCGGCCAACACCGTTGCCAGGGGTAATCCTGCCAGGATCGTGAGACACATAGCAATTGACGACCGATTCGGCCATCAGAAGCCCGGCTACCTCACCAACATTTATCGCACGTAGACCATTGGAAACCGTTGATACGGTGTCGATCGTTGCGATTTATCCAGAGCCATCACATAGCCTCGAAGCATTCAGCATTGCGTGTTCCGGACCAACAGGTTCATCCCACGCAACTTCAGACGTCTACCCACGCCGATAAGGGTCCTTCTTTCCGTGTTGCTCGCGCTTCTCTGTATCGTCGACCTACCGCGTGTCTCACGAAGAGACCAGTAATATAGCCGTTCGGCTGTGGTGATCAGCAATTCCGACCCGGTGTCCCATCTCCGCACCCCTTGACGACCAGACGTTCTCTCGACTGCCCTTGCCACGGCAAAATCAGTCCAAACTACATCACAGACGACCCACTGGTTGGCAACGCCGTCCGAACTCCAATTCGTCCCCGACATTCTGGAACATCATTGACCTGGGCGGATTGGAAGGGGGGGAAAACAAAGTACGCAAAACAACCCGAGCGATTGGTGGTGGGCGATGCGATCATGACCTACGACGGGGCCAGTTTTTGCGCGGTTGATTTGCACACAGCAGTGCCCAGCCCTGGATCACCGCCCGGCATGAGTTCCTCCAAATCCTCCAAGACGTCTTCGCTACAGTCTTTCGGCTCAGATGACGACAACAGCGTCCTGGCAGATGTTGGCCACTTTGAAGAGATTGGCTTGGACGACGACACGGTGACGATAGACTCGGCACACCAACGCGACACCAGCCAGGTCAAATCCAACCCGAACCCATACAGTTCCTCCTACTCTTCCGACCTCCGCGCTCAATCCACCAAGCATGTCGGTCCCAAAATACATCCTACGCAACCTTCCAGCACCCGTGAGTTGGCGCGCCCACAGTTGCAGCGCAGTATTACAGGCTCTTCGACCAAGGTCAAGCCCAAGTTCCCAAGCTTGACGACGCAGTTTAGAGACACAAGTACGGCCAACCTGAACAGCATTGGCCCGCAACCGGCTGCCAGCACCCAACCTATCCGTGGCCTTTCCGCCCGGTCCGCCTCGACCATGAGCCAGAACCGACGACGCCGTAGCCCCAGCCCGAGCAACTCGGCCTGCTCATTGAGCCCGCGAGATCCCCACATGGGCCCGAATCTACGGCGACGAAGCTGGCAATCTTCGCGAGAAAAGAAAAGCGTGGGAGACCTAGAGAGGGAGGCCGAGGACGACGAGGACGATGACATTCCCGACGGCATGATACTGGACAATGTCCCCATTTCGCCTCGCCCAGCGCGGGAGCGCACTGCCAGTCGGCCTGTCTCGGCATCTACCTCACCGGAGCGTACCACCAAGGAACGAGTTCGCAGCGTTGGCAACGGCACACCGGCCGTCGCTGCCGCTCAAGGCTGCCTCCGTTCGCCTTCGTGGAAATCCGAGGAATCTTCCGCTGCATCCGCAAGGTCGTCTAGCACCGGCCCTTCACCCGTGAATGGGCGCGCCAAGTCATGGACAGCCGCACATTCATACCTGAGCGCCGAGGCAAAGGCTCTCACCGAGAAACTCGAGGAGTACGCGGATGTGGAGGAGAAGAGCGCCAATGGTCGTCCAGTGCCCAAGCCTCGTGTTAAATCCGCCCTGGCCGAGCTTCCGCCGCTCCGGCGGACCAACATTATGATTGACCCGCTGCCCGTTTCCAAGGAGAAGGAAGCTGTCCTCAGCCGGACGCGGCCCAGTTGGCTGCCACCCAAGAATCCCGCCGAGGAGAAGAGGCATTTGAAAGAGTATCAGAAACTCGTGGCGAGCTCAGTCGAGGCTGACAAGCGCCGCGAGCAAGCCCGGCTCCAGAAAGAGTTGACCAAGGAGAACAGAATGAGTCAACTGGCACGCGTATGGGAAGAGGACATTCTGAAACGCTGGGATGATGCCATTAGGGAAAGGAAAACCCGAGAGTCGTGGTGGAAAGGTGTGGCTCCCCGCTGCCGTGGGGCTGTTTGGGCCAAGGCAATCGGTAACGAACTCGGCCTTACGCCTACGTCATTTAAAGCGGCTCTCAAAAGAGCCCGTGAAGTCGAAACTAGAGTGGCCGAAGGTCAAGCCAGCATCGAGGACGAGCGAAAGGCCGGTTGGTTCAAGATGATTCGCCGCGACGTCGAGGAGCGAACTTGGGTCGATCTCAAGATCTTCGACAAGGCGGCTCCACTGCACCAGTCGCTTTTGGATGTCCTGTCGGCTTGGGCGATGTACAGGAGCGATATTGGGTACATCCCTGGTTGCAACGTAAGTACTGCTTCCCCCGCGGCTTCTTCGCACTGTTGCACGGCTGGGGATTTTACCGTCGGCCATACCTGCGGTTTGGACCGGACTGGGAGATGTCTTGATGCTAACAACTTCGCAGACCATCGCAGCTCTGATCCTCCTCAACCTGCACTCGGCCGCAGACAGCTTTATTGTGCTAGCCAACATTCTCAACCGCCCGCTGCCTCTTTCATTCTACGTCAACGATCAGGGGGCCAAGTCGACCACCTACAACTTGCTTCTTCAAACGTTAGCCAAGAAAGCGGGCAACCTGCACTACCACTTGACGCGCCTCGCAGACCCCGAGGTATACTTGGCGGAATTATTCACGAGTCTTTTTACGCAGCATCGCAGTCTGGACGAAGCCTCCCGCCTGTGGGACGTCTACGTGTTCGAGGGAGATTCGGTGCTGGTCCGAGCCGGTTTAGCTCTGCTCATGGAAAAGGAGGGCAGTCTACTTGCGGCCAAGACCGTTGACGACGTATGCAAGGTCCTCGCCGAAAATCAGCGGCTGCAGAGCCAAGAAGGACGCGAGGACGAGTGGGTGAAGGCTGTCCGTGAAGCAGGCAAGGCATAATCAAGCTGGTGCTTTTATGGAACTGCGATGCAGGCAAGAGGCTCAGTGTGTGGTCATGTTACTTTGATCAGACGATATCATGGGCCCAGGCCACTCCACGCCACGCAAACAGGCAGGGCAATATATAAGAACAGGTTTTGTCTAATTATTGTATACACTTAATTCTTATGCTGGGCTGTCCGGGCCAACAGGCTGGAAGCAGCGCTGCATACAGCAAAGGTTTGGAGCGAGGTGACCGGCGGCTTGGAGAAAGAAAAACCAGTGAGACGGCAAGGCGCAATCTAGTGCAGATGCGGCCTACGATTCTTGGATGAGATAGATATATATTGGTGGTAGTTAATGTTTAACTACTTGTCTCAACCCGTTGGTTTTTTGTTTGACGTTCTTCCTCCTGACGTGACTGGCCTGACTCACATTGATCATACACTTATTTCACCACTGCCACCACTTCTACCTCGCGTTGGATGTATTGTCTAATTGGTAAACTACTACACCAACCATGTCATGATCCACCGGGCTCATGCTGTTGGCTTTCGAAGTCGTGTCGGCCAACGGCTTGGCTAAACCTTTTTCCTATGGGTTTGCCAAAGGGTTGTAAGAAGCATTCAGCATCTGCTCCAAGGTATAGAGCGTGGCACGGTCTGCGGCTCATTGCCATGCTCAAAGAACCAGAATCGTCAATATGATAATATTCAGCTCAGTAACTGGACTCTATGTGAAGATTGTCTCGAGCCCTATATCCTATACCCGTGCTTCGAAGGTTAAGCTATAACACGAAGTACCTTCATTGTCAAGCTACACCTTACCTCAGGCGAATTTCTTCAATATCCCCGCTACTATCTCATCACCACGACCCACTACAACCCGATAGCCAGCCCCCTCCTTATCCCACTCAAACCAACTCACACTCCGAAAACAAGGATATTCGCCCCGATGATCAGTACTAGCCAGCTCCCTAACCCAGTCCATCTTATGCTCGGCGTTGCTGTCCGAGGTACTCGTCTCCCCCAGTGCCATGGACTTGCCATGCTGAGCAGCTATTATTGACCATATATATAAAGGTGATACTATCCACACTGACTATATGTCCTTGACAGGCTGCCACTTGGCTTTCTTTTAATTTTATTGAGGGCAACAGGAGGTGCAAGCACAAGAAGAAGTGAAGTTAGCAGACGCTACGAGTGCAGACTCATTGGATCAATCGACTTTTTTACTCGTACCATGCGACCAGGTTTCTAAAGCAGTGGAACTTTACACAGTCTTGTGAGAATTACTAGATGCATGTGATAGAGTATTCTAGTACGAGGTTAGACAGACACAACCTGGGAACTTGGGCCCCAGACTTGTAATCACCCGCTTTCGATATTTTAGTCATGTTCACAACTGTATAATGTAGCTGAAGAATTCAATGGCCAAGGGCGTCTCCCGTCCAAGGGGAGACTTATATGCACCAATAAAGCAATCTACGAGCAGTCTTCATCTGTTTTCTCATTCAAACTGTCAGTTGGCCAGTGCATGCCTGAGGCCACGCTACTGTATTAGCCCTGCCTTCCACTGCAGCTTGGTTGCTGTCTCTCTTCATCAACACCACCACCAATACATGCTGTTCTGCCGGTGCAAGAAGACAGCCTAGAAAAGCAGGGACCAAAAAACAAGCAATTTCAAAGCTATTTCAGCAGATATATTCAAAGCGGAAATGAATGATAGCAATACGGGCTAACTAGACATCAAGCCGCCCACAGGAAGGATGTAGGTAGTTAGCCATGACCATTTCCGCTACAGTTCACAATAACGGTCTTAATTGCAGCTGCTGACTATATTTGAAGATACTGTAATGTCTTAGGTAGTGAAACTCTCGTGACAGGCAGTTTTCAGCCCATTTTGCCCCCTTTTCTGACACTGCGCCTACGGAATTTCGCAGCCTAAGTAGGCTTCTATTTGCCGACTTCTGATTAAGAGACATCATCAGTCTATATCGCTTTGAATGCGTGACTTTGGGCCGATTTCGCTTTGCGTAAGTGCCAATGCTCACCAAGGACGTGGGCTTGTAAGTTCCATGCTACCCAACAAGGAGAAACCTGTACATATGACATACTGTGGCACTCGAGGCGTACCGCCACAGGTACCTCAAGGTTTCCAAGATGGATCCTCCACCATCTGTCCGTCAACGAAGCTCTGTCTGAATTGGGTTTGGTCCCTGGAGCTTCGAGTCTGCTGTGTGTGCTGTGAATTGCGAGCCCGAACACCACAACACATGACAGAGGCACAGTCAATCATATTGAAATATTGGCTACAGATTCCCCGAGCACGTAATCACTGATTCTATATAAAATAGTGGGTTCTATTCCTATCCATGGATGCCATCCATCGTCCCGATAGCGAGTCGACACTCGCCTTGAGCCAGGGCAGATGTGTGGGCCCACCCAAGATGTCAACAACTTACGTCTCTGAACCTTTCGGAGAAAAGCCGTCACGTCACGGCGTAAATATGGAGGACAAATGGGAGCTTCGGCATCGTTTCAAATCCTTCTCAATCTTTCCAAATTACACATTCATACAAAAACAGTCGGCCAACCACCCCAGAGGCACCACTCGAACTGTCCCAAGACAACCATTCTGAGGCCCTCATGCAACCGAGTCCTCCTCGATCAATTATTCCTAGTCCCCGATTGCCTTCAACGAGCAGTCTCATAGGCGCTCACGATGGCTTCGGACCACGAATCTCGAAGTGGCGCTGAATCCGCGACCGAGAAGAACTCGGCCACAACAGGTACCATCACCTCCAACAACGGCGAGAACCATTTGAAACGCCACCTCGGCAATCGGCAGATCCAGCTTATGGCCATGGGCGCTAGTATTGGCACCTCCCTCTTTGTCGGCATCGGAACGGGCTTGACAGCCGGCGGTCCTGGAAGCTTGCTCCTTGCCTTTGCCGTGTACTCTTGCATCCTGGCGCCCATCAACAACTGCGCCGCCGAGATGATCGTGTACATGCCGGTTCCCGGATCGTTCATGCGCATGGCGGGCAAATGGGTCGATCCAGCTCTGGGATTCATGGCCGGATGGAACTTCTTCCTCTACGAGAGCATCCTGATTCCCTTCGAAGTGTCGGCCCTGAGTGCCGTGCTGACGACCTGGAACGAGAATATTCCCGTATGGGCGCCATGCCTTGTCTGCATGGTTGCCTGGGGTTTTCTCAACCTCGTCGCCGTGGAGCACTTTGGAAATGCCGAGTTTGTCCTCTCAGGGTTTAAAATCCTCCTCATTCTGGTTGTTTTCGTATTTACCTTTGTTGTCATGGTCGGCGGCAACCCCAAACACGACGCATTCGGTTTTCGCTATTGGGATGACCCCGGTGCTTTCGCGCCACATATTACCGAGGGCACCTTGGGCCAATTCTACGGGTTTATTCACTGCCTCCGCCTGGCCAGTCTTACTATCGTGGGATCCGAGTACATTTCTATCCTCGCGCCTGAAGCTGAGAGGCCGCGCACATACCTGAAGACGGCCTTTAAGACCATCTACTGGCGTTTCCTACTGTTATTCATGGGCTGCGCCCTCTCAATCGGCATCCTCATCCCCTGGAATGACGCAATTATGAACTCATCCGCCGCGTCCCCTTTCGTACTCGCCATGAACAACCTCAAGATTGACGTACTGCCGCATTTGATCAACGCTCTCATGGCCGCCGCCATTTTCTCCGCCGGTAATGGATACGTGTTCTGCTCCAGCCGCTCCCTGCACTGCCTGGCGCTCGAGGGCCACGCGCCCAAATTCTTGTCCAAGTGCAACAAGCAGGGCATCCCTTACTATGCATTTGGCGTCACCATGCTCTTCCCTATGCTCTCCCTGCTGCAGGTCGTCAAGTCGCAGAACGCGGGCAAACTGGTCGTGATGCTTGGAGACGTCACCGCCACGGCCCAGCTCATCAACTACTTTGTTATGAGCACCACATACATCTGCTTCTACCGCGCTATGAAGAGGCAAGGCATCGATCGTAGCACACTGCCATACGTGGGTTGGATGCAGCCGTTCTGTGGGTATGTTGGAGCTGTGAGCATGGTGCTTATTGCTATCATGTACGGATACACCCTGTTCATCCCTGGTCAGTTCCGAGTAATGGATTTCTTCATTTGCTATACTGTGCCCATTCTGGGCGTTCTGATTTTCACCGCGTACAAGTTCAAGATTGTAAGCAGCAAGTCGTCGTGGATTGGCCTCACCGTCAAGAAGAGAACCCATATGGTTTCTGCCGACGAGGCGGATCTGGTGTGGGAGAAGCCCGCCATCGACGCGTATGAAGACTCCCTCGTGACTCCGCCATCGAGGCTTGCGGATGAGTTGATGGCGTTAGTGGGGAGAAGGATGCGGAGGAACTCGAGCGTGGAGCACATCTTCGGTTCGAGGGGGGGTTCGGCTTCGACAGGCACAAAATCTCCGGTTGAGAGTTCCAGGACTTCCATGTCGGGGGAATCTTCGATCCGAGTGCCTACTCCAGCCGTAGTGCGTTCTTCTCTGAATAACCATCCTTCTCATCCTCAATCCCAATAGATGGTGGTGGTGGGGTAGATAAAATTAGAACAAATTAGATTGTATAGATTGTCTGCCACGTATTATCAAGTTCGTTGTTCTTGACCATTGTCTATGTTATTGCTGTTTGAATCGTCACACCCAGTGTGGTATGATCGGAAGTATCCTCAAGGCGGATGGTAGATAATACAGATAATGGATGATGTACGTGCATTATGATACAACCAATTATACCAGTTTAATAGGAAATGAATGGAACGAATTAAATGCACTGCACTGTAAAACAGCCTCCTGCTTATCTATACCAACCGCGAATAAACTCCTATGAAAGAACCTCTAGTATATACAGAGCTATTATATAAAAAAAATAATAATATTAAATACGCCGTAGGTGTTAACCCTCGGTACCTCTACAAGTACTCCCTTAAGGGGCTATAGATGATATAGCGGGCCCTTAAGCCGCGTCGGGCGGTTATACAGGTAAACTTGTAGCCAAACGACTACTAAACCTCCTGTCCCTCCCTAAGTCTGTGCTACAACCCCTGCCTGAACTACCGATAAGTGTGGTAATGTGGCACTTAAATTCGTCCTCAGGGGTGGGATGCTGCTGATGTGCAGAAGATGCTCGACTATTTTTTTTGTCGCGACAAGTCGTAGTATCTGCTAATTGGGGTTCTCGTCGAGCGTATACATCTCAACCATACGCTCAAGTGGATAGACCGTAACGTGGTCTAGACGCTCGCAAGAATCGCGGCGAGAGGGGGTCCGATAAGGGGTCGGATTAACGATTCGAATTCTGGACCGGCTGTCGAGTTATATTCCGCCGACGTAGTGCTTGACGGTCGACTGGCTAGGATGCTCGTAATCCTAAACTGCACCAATCTCCCTATTATCGCTAGGTAGGCGAAGTCAACAAGGTGGGCAGCGCGCCGTAAGGGTTGACTAAACCCCCTTGTGTGTCAGCTGCGGGATTCGAACCCGCGACTCGTCACCGACCCAAGTGGGCGAGGCTCAAATCGGGACTTATCTACCAGCGCTCAAATCGGGACTTATCTACCAGCGAAGTGACCAACTACACCAGCCGACAGCTATTATATAAGAGATGAAGTAATAGAGGAAGCCGTAGAAGAGGAAATAAGAGTGCTAGCAAACGTAAGCGCTAGGATTCTAACCTAGAGGTAGCTAATAGCACCAGGTATCGGGTCTATCTATAATTATATTACGAACTGAAGGACTGCTTCTACGTCTTTAAGTATTAAGTACTATAAGGATATAAGCTTAACACAGGTATCCTAGAGCTAATTCTTGATCGACTGAGAAACTATATAGCCCTAGAGTAAGAGACCAAGAGGATACTAAAGGGAATAGATAAGGACAGCTGATCACGACGCGTTGCCATCTGATCAACCGACATGGGGGAACCAGAAGCAGCCGCCGGGGGGAATAATAAGTGACCAGGCTCCAACATTATTAGGGAGGGGAACTTGCAATAGCCATGTCAACCTGGAGCTGCAGAAGGTGACGGGTCGATGTGATTTCGGCGACCAAGATGCGGTTGGTTTCCGATGGTGGTGCCATCATAGCGGAGTCGTCGAACGCAAGAGGTTTGCGTACGGCGAAACCGACCTCCTTAAGGCACACTAACAATCGGGAGTATTTACCGCGCTATAGCGGGGAGTGCAGTTCACAACTTAGTTAGCTTCCACCTAGGAGGATTGCTATTACTGAAGTTAGTAGGCAGCCTGACCATATTGCTGGGTTTTCAGACGAATTATGTAAGCATATTCTTGACGGTATTTAAGGATCTGTGTAGATAGTCACTCTCTTGACGAAAATATCAAGCGGCCCAAGTCTGTAGTTAATTGACTCTTTTCGCCTGTTGAGGCTATTATTCCTCTGTTAACCTGCTGAGGTGATGCAGTCCTAGGACCTGTTGAGGTACTTTTGTTTCGATCGGAGCAAGAAGGCTCTCGATTTGTTATTCTTTCCACCTCCCGGATAGTAAGGTCTTATTGAGGATCTTGTTGTCTATTGCCATCATCATCACACCTTGAACCTTCGGGCATTGATGCGAGTGCATATGGGGTGTGAATTGTTGTATTGGGAAAGGATGGCCAGGTCAGCTATTCTGGCCTAGCAGAGCTCTTTTATAGCTCTTATCTTATCTTATCTATCTTATCTATCGCTGTAGGGTAACCCCCCATGGCGTGACATCATTCAGACAGAATTAAGACGGACCGGGCGCGGCTAACAAGAGGAGCGATTAGTACAATCACTGCGAAGAGGGGGGCAATTATGGCAATCTGTCGCAATTCTTCTAAAAGTTATAGAAGACGTCGTAAACAGCGTCGTAAACAGCGTTTACGACGTTTCGGCGACTGGACTACGAGTTATACAATGTCGGCCGGAGCGGGACCAGCGGTGGGGTATGCGCATCGCCGTTAAGAGAAAGTTAGCCGGGCTGAACCACCAAAGATTCTCCACAGGTTATACTATTGGGGACCAGTAGCTTCAGGAGGGGAAGCAATTGTGAGGTCAAGGAACAGTGGGGCTGTGGCCAAAACGACCACCACGATCCTGGAAGAAAGCTCGTTGTGTATACTAATCAACCTTCCCATCCACTCTGAGGAGAATATCATACTTTTGTATTGCTTCGAGATCGAGTCCGTGATAACGGGTGAGGCGTTGACAAACACGACACTGGCTTTGACAAACGCACGCGAAGCCTTGAGCATGAGCGCGAATCTGGCCATATGCTGGTCCCTACTGATGTACGTATTAGTTGGCGAGTGCCCGCGCCTGTTGGACTCCAACCATACCAAATCTCGTTTCGTTCAGAACAAACCTAACTCCCAAAGAATGGGACAATCATTCTTCGAGTGAATCATACCACTCCGGAACCTCTTTAATGAGACTCCACATGCACTTCTCCAGCTTGACCGCGCACTTGGTGTATACCGTTGTTGCGTCAATATACTGCAGACCATTACTGAAAATCAACTTGAGATCGCCGACAAAACCTTTCGGAGCAGTACAAAAAATCATGCTCCAACCTATCTTCCGCAGTCTACAGGTCCATTGGTGATACAATAACATTGTAATAATCAGGCACTTCGTCTTTGTTCCCCGGGTTGAGGAAGGGCCATGAGATGCGCTCCATACCCTTTCACTTGCTGATCACATGAAACCGCGCAAAAAACGATTTCAGCAAACTTGCGGTCTCGGAATTCTCGGAATGATATTCCGCCAATGACCTCCAGCGGCGTTTTGACGATGGCGATAGACAAATGAGCGCGATCGTAGACGAGACGTGCGATGTAGTCTTTGGGCCTTTTCGGAAGTTACTTTTGAGACAGGCATTTGGGTTATAGCTGGAGGTTGAACAACCGTTTCTGTCAACTCATCATGAAATCTTTTGATTCTACCAAGGTGAAGAAGGGAAGTACATAATATATCACTAGCTTCGATAACTTCTGCTAGGTTCAGTCAGCCTACTAATCGACGTCTAGCTTCTTTTACGGCATTGAAAAACGCCTACCTCATCTTCGACCTTCTTTTTCACTCTCTCTACCTTCTGTAACGGATAAAGCTCCACCAAATTGAAGGAAGGTAACAGTTCTTCGTAGCGCGCCGTTATTATTATATACGTTTAGCGTACTTAGTACGGCTAAGATCGCGCTTAATCTATACGAGTTCGGTCACGTTAAAGAGCGAACTTTTAACGAAGTGACTAAGCCGATTAGTATGATCTGGACTGATACTAAGCTCTAGATCAGTAATATAATAGGTGATCTTACTAGCTATCATATTGAATTAACGGAGAGTAGTAGGCGTACCTTTGTATAATAAGGATAGAGGTAGTGGTAGCAGTGAAGGTGTTTCTAGTATACGTTCCTCGATTTCTGTCAGATATTCACGTATCTTGCGATGTGACTTTATTGTGGCCTTTATCTTACGGTAATCTGACCGTTCAGTGTGATGGATTGATTTTTGTGTGTTATCTGTGTCTTCTGCTCTGCTCTGCAGAGGGATTTCTGGCCAAGTCCCAGTGGCTGGTAAACACGTAACTCTTGATCTGTCACGTGACCCCTTGTATCTGACATCATGCAACCTGGGGCGATGGGTGATTCTAAGGATGGTACGCAGGGTGACGGGAATCGTGGTAAGACGAACATCAACATATGCGGTACTAACCCTCGGTAGGAGGCTTTTCTACTTCTATGCACTTGATATGCCGATGGCCATAAGCATACATAAATCCTACAATACCAATGTGTGCGTTTTTATTCCAGGCGAAAGCTGTTGCTTTGTAGCACCAAACTCCCAGAAACTCAAGTGATAATCACGAAGTATGAGGAGACTCGACTCCAACCTTGTCAACGAACTACCCTGCTATCACAATATGTACTACCTGCTTATAGCATGTGCACTAGTCTTTCCAAATATTTCCGATCAGTCCAAAGTCCAACACATCGACGGCCAGTTGCGTCAAGAGGAACGGCAACCTTCTTTGATGGGAAGGGGTTTTAGGTATCTCATCTTCACTAGAATGAATGCGAAGATAACAACTCAACCAGGAGAATATGACAGTACTAACAACGTAGATGGCTAGTATTGATGATCCTCAATCGGCACAAATAGCAGCCTGTTCACTGAACATGGCCATGCCTTGGATTGCTGTGGTCACGGCTCCTTACTTGGAACCCTCACTATACGAGGAAAGCTGCCCAGACTAAGGATATAGAGATATTATGGAACCCCCTAGCCGGCTTGAGGAGAATGGCTGAGTGCGATGCGCACTGGGTGGTAGCACTGTTATTCTGTATTGGGCCTGAGAGCGCAGCAAACACACTTCTTGCTTGTTCTGGTAGCATACTCGGAGATTTATATGAAGGCCAAAAAATGATTTTCTTTTCTTCTTCTATGATGGTTACTTCTGGATTGAGGCGGGGTTCTGTAGCCCTGTACTTGGCCGTACCTTCCCATCTCTCGGTACAAGAAAGGAGGGCTCGTGTATCAGTCCACTCCAGTCTTCGGCGTTCAGGTGTTTAGAACACTCGAGGCAGACAGCTTCTCGAACCATATGTGAAAGCTCGCCTCCGCTTGTCTGTCTGTTGCGCAACAATAAAGCTGGGCTAGTGCGACGGAAGGGCTGGCGCGTCCATACCATCGAAAAGACAAGTAACCTGCAGGACTTGACGGGATACAACCAATGACAAGAAGCCGGTACACTTGGGAGCATCAGGGGCTACAGTTGGCGCCCTCACACTCAATCAATCATCGCAGTACGGGCATAATGCGGTGGAAGGACATGACAAAATGGTTATTTGGAGGACGAGTGGGGCATGTTAACACCAACCTCATTGAAACGTTGCCGGACAATAATACCTTACCTGTCCTCTACTCGGCATGTCCGCACTCCTACAACGTGTGGCCACTCACTCGAACATGAATGAACAAAGCATGGTGAGACTCCCAACTACTTCAATTCCTTTCTAGCTCTGTCCCCGCACTGCCGTTCTACGTAACTGCGGTGCGACAAATTGTACCAGCAGGGCATAACAGCACTCATCAACTACTCTCGGTAATCCCGATTCGGCAGTTCGAGCTGGAATACTTGCCAATGCTAGAAAGTGCGTACTTCCAACATCTCTAGCCTCGGAGGTTGCGCGCAATACAGCGCGAGGAATCCCAACTCCAACAAGCTCTGATCCCAAACTATTGCAAATGAGCTCCTGTCATCCATTGCTTCCATCTCCATAACTTCAACTGTCAACCCACCGTTCTTCATCATCAGTCTTGCAGAACCAGTCTATTGACATGTGTCAGCCGGCTATACGCAACACTCCCTAGCCGCTGTATCCTCCCCCACGTCACTTCGCATCCTCTCATCCCTCCAGCCAGCAATCCATCCATCCCAAGAACCCAGGTATACACCATCAACCCCCAAACCTCGACCCCTACACCCTGCGGTTGAACGGACAAGGGTGAGGCGTCCAAACCTCTCTAGTTAACTAGGCACGAAATCGGTTGCAAGCCAAACTCTAAATCGACGTCAGCTATATCGCGACTGGTGCGTGGGGATTGCAGTGAAGTATAAGCTCCTCCCGCGGTGGCATGAGTCGGGGCACGCGTTCGAGTCACGTTGTAGCCAGTAATGTGGCCACGAGCGAAGTCGGAGGTGCAGGGCGCCGCTGTGATGGTTGACGGATAACTTGTATCGGGGTTCAAACGATTTTCCAGACTATTGATGTATGACGTACGTATGCAAGGTGAAAGCGGAATCAATGGAAGAACGTCCATATTGTCGTCGTGATCGTACGTCGTGTTCCTCAGATTCCCACCCTTTAGCAGCACAGCCCGATTTTGGCCACGACGAAGCCAGTGTGGATTTAGCCATCACATTCAACGAATTTGTCCTGCCATCAGGCAGTGAGTCCATCACGTGAACACCGGGAAAGCATATCACTGTAATCAAAGTCACATTGACGTCGCAAATCAAAAACGCCTAAGTACATGCAGAGAGGCTGCAGTTCAGCCACTCAGTAATGCATATGTGCCAGTTGACCGGTACCAATGCCAAATGCCGCCGCGGCGGCCAATTCAAATCCTTTCAAACGCCTAGGGCCAAGCCGAACCCTAATGTCCAGCAGTCCGTGGGGCTGTGGTATTCCTGATGCTGGTAATGGTAGTAATAAATCGGTATGGGGATATAAGTTGCCTCGCTCCTTTTTCAACACCGGTTCTCGTTTCGTACGCCGTGCCATGGTTCTTGTGCGTGTATATAGTAAAACAGTAAAAAATTGCCACTGGTAAATCCTACTGGGACTTGGGTGATGTATCGTAATCAGGGTTTCCCTTCTGCCTCTTATTGGTTGGAGTCGCCACTAGTGAGGCGCATACGGTTGCTGAAGCAAAGCTGCACGATGCTATGTTAGCCGAGGATGTGTAATGACCGGTGGGCGAGTAGTCGAGTAGTTGCCAATAAGGGTGGTGGGTGAAATGAGGCGGGCGTCGCATAGGCCGTATCTTGCTAGGCAACCCACCAGAAAATAGTGTGGTAAACGCGAGATGTTCTGTATCGCATCGAACTCGTAGGGGCCAACGTGGTGTCAATAGTCGACACGCCCATCGCATGACTCGCCATCACTTCCGGCCACGGCTCGCAGTAGCCGTGATTTTGCTCGTGCTCATAAGGTCGCCAATGTACTTCTGCAGGAACTTGTTGTTGTTGTCCAGTTTGTCGTGCTCTTCTTTGACAGCCTCTATGCGGTTGAAGATCAGGAGCAGGGACTCTTGCAGCGCGCGAGCATGTCTGTTAACATGATTGAATCAGTCTATTGCTCAGTCGCGCTCATGCGAATCCGTGACTTACCTGTGGAGCTCCTCGCGCGCCTGGCGCCCCATGTTCTCGAGGTCCTCGCTCGTTCTCCGTGGACTCATTGCCCTCGCATCGTCGGGTTGGAGATGTTGTGGTACTGGTCCGATCTGGGCAGAGCCGCTTGGCACAATAAGGGTACCACTGCTTTTACGGCTAGGCAGCGCAGGTCTCTTGGGCACCGGTGCGTGAATCTCGTGGTCGTCAATCGAAGACGCGGACGACGAGGCGGGCGATTGGTCGTCGCGCGTGGGCGTGGGTTCGTCGCTCATAGTGGATGTGATGTGTAGAGGTGGTTGTGGGTTGCTAGTCGAATTGAGGGTCGAGGCGGTCGATTATGAATTATGGGATAGGGTTCTGACGAAAAATACCCCAAGGGATAGAGTTCTCAATTAAAATGAGCAGGTTGAAGTTATCGACGTCACTCGTACTCGTGGTAACAATTCACCGAGACTTGCCACGATTGGGAGTCGCGAGTGGCGTGGGCGGTCTTTGCCGTTGACCAAAAAATCGAACGAAGGAGAAGATGGTAAGAGTGAGGTGACTGTTTTACGTAGTAGCCGCAAAAGCAGGGGGAGAAGATGCGGGTGGCTGCGTTGGCTAGCAATCGCCGTTCTGCATCAACGTGGTGAATTTGGTCACTGCATCTGCTGCACTGCACTATACTCCACTTGACGGCGTCGTGGGTAAGATGTGGTTTGGTAAAAAGCGGAAACGAACTAGCGGTGCGATGAGAGAGGATGGGAGGCCTTTAGTTTAATGAAAAGGGAGGCGCCGAGGGGGGTGGAAGAAAAAGAGGTGAAAGAAGTGCTCATGGATTTTGACGGGGATGCCAGGGTAAGCGTTTTGGAAAGCAAAAATTGGGGCGACCGGAGTTCCTGCCAAAGTTGGACGTAAGGACTGACCCGGACTGGCACAGAGCAACTGTATTGATCGTCAGTCAAGCTGATGGGCGACTTGGGGGGGGCTATTTGTTTTGGGGGGTGTGGTTGGGTCGTCGTTGATCAGCACAAAAAACGGCAAGAGCCCACTGCGACGACGCGCGACGACGTCGTTGTAGCCAATCCATCAAGCAACAGGGACTTCACCTTTCAGGGTTTCATCCCAGCACCCGACTCTGAAAAATGATGCAGTAAGGGACAAGGGCCCAAATTATAGGTTGAGCCTTGGAAACGAGTCAAGCACTTATTAAGGTTCCAGCTTTTGATACTTAATAAGCATGGATAATATCCCTACTAAGGCACATTCGGGAAGCGCTGATTTGGGAATGCACTCCCATTATCAGCAGATTTCAAGCGGCAGCAGCCAGCTTATGAGGCATTTCGGAGGCAAAGAAACGGGGCATCGTCAGAACCAGAACGTGGTCGCGGAGGCAGCACACAGTGTAGCGCACGCCACACTCAATCACCCTACTCAGACAGATTGCAGATCTCTGCTTGTGCCGCTACCGGTCGCTCGTCATTGGCAACAGGCGGCAGCATGTATGAGCCTAGGCCAGTGTGCTGAATGTCCTGTTGTTGGTCCTGATATGGGGAAAATCAATGGGATTTCTGAAGGATCCCAGCAGGGCTTGGCCAGGTGTCCTATCCACTGCTGTCCCATCCATCATGATATCTGTCTATCATTGTCATTCCAGAAGCAAGTAGTAGGTGTTGTGCATGTACGATGGCAACGAACTGCCAGACTGGAAGTGCCGGCAGCAGTGCAGAATGTGGCCTGTCCAACGGCGGGAACAGTGCTTCTGCTAATGCCGCCATCACAAGAAGCGCTGCATACAGATTGGCGGATGGACATTGTTTCGTGCTTTAGGTTCTGTCTGCAACCACCACAAGCCTCAGCCGTAACCCAGGCGTCACCATTTCCTACCCAACCCCCCACATGCCACGCCATGCCATGCACGCAGGACCCTGAAGCATCTGAAATCTTGCAGACTTCAAGCAACAGAAGCAAGATATATTTAAGCATCCGCCGTCTCAGCGTCCGCCGTCTCGGCATCCGACCATGGCCAAACACAATCACTTCAAACCGCACAACAGATGAAAATCACATGATGCTGCGATGCGATGGATTCGTGAATTTGGTGTGCAAATATTCTTCGAGGGGTTCCAACCTGACACACCAATTGGGACCCCACGCATTTTCACTGGCGGCACGAGAAAAGCGATGATGTCATGATCAACTCAGCCCGGTACCGTGGATGTGCTGGACAGTGCCTGTCTGAGTGCCAGCCAACTGCCTCGTCTCATACATCCACCTGATTTTACACTTTGTTTTCTCGTTTTTCTTCCTTTTCCCGCTGCCCCTTCCAGAACGCACTGTACCCATCAAAGAGTGGGCCGACTTTGGTCATCAGTGCAAAATCGCCATTCACCATTTCCTGAGACATTTTTTTTCTCTCTCATCAAATCATTACCGCCACAGGAAAGTACGCGAGCAATCCTCATTACAACGGAAATACTCATCTACTCTTCCGCCAGAGCTCATTCAGGGTTAGGGTCATCAAGCCATCCTTGGCATCCATGGGTCCGATTGCCGCTTTCAACCTCTGTCAATTCCGTTGGCTCTCCAATCCTTCGAGACCACGGTATCCCGTCACCCTTGACGGACCCTTGACAGACCCTTGACCTGAGCCCGCCTTCTCAACACCCGAAACTTTTGACCGATTCGGTCCAGCGGTTCACATGACGACATGGGCGACCGTACCTCACTGCGCACTTTCCGACTGGCACGGCTGGGCTGTTGCGTGACGTGAGCAGCTGCTTCGCACATGACCAAGACCTCTCGAGTGCGTATGAGTTATGCGTCTAGTCTAGGGAGTAGATGGCGGTGGGCGGCTGTCGTGCAACCCTCGATGACATCACCCGTGACTGCACACTCAATCTGTTGTCGCCTAGGTTCCCCACAATGCCACACAGCTGCCTGTGTCTGAAACGATGGACGGACCTCTGTCACTTCATCTAGAACAACCTCCCAACTCTTCATCCTCTGTTGACTGTAAACGCAAACTCTCCGGAGCAATTGATGGCACTTCACCATACAAGGTCCCACGCTTGGCATGTTTGCGCCAAGGGCGAGTGATTCTCTTCGACTGGATCAGACCGCCTGGTGAATTGCAGGAACTGCAGCGATCGTCGATTTTCCAAAACATCCATTCGTCGCTTCTCAAAATGGCAAACCTACTGCTATGCTGATCTCTACTGTTGTTCCTGCCCGCAGTAGCACCAATGGGAATGAGAAACTTGTGGGCATTCGTTGGTTTGTCGTGCTGACGAATAGGACAAATAGACCGACGTTGCATATTGCACGCACTTCGGTTACAAAACTGCCACCTAAGTTCGAAGACATTATGCCAATTCGTTTTGAAATGGTGTAGTGGGACAGCTCTGCCGTGTTCCGGCGGGGTTATATTGTTTTGGTCCATGGTCTGCGAGCGTGTTGGTATGCGCGTACAGTACGAAGTAGATATACTGTTATTCTCGGTCAATGGTCTTGGCAATGCTTCACTCTCATCTTAACCACGCAGCCGGGACGTCCCCTTACTGCGAGGAAGACAGGTTGCACCTAATAAGGTGCAGGGTGGAGGGGAGCCCCTGAGATAGCGGCCCAATGCCCCAGCAGAGATTCGCGATTGGGAGCTTACTATGTAGTACGGAGTCATTATAGCCAGCTTGGAACATGACTCAATCTATGACTACGGATCATGAGATGTCCGTCTTCAATGCTACTGACGTTGGACGGCGACGACACTGCAACTGCGCGTCTTCAAACTTCGCCCGAGGCATCGCCGTCGCATCCCACGTAGCACACTAATAATACTACTACAGCCGCTCCCGCAGACCCACGAGCACCGACTCCCTTGGTAATGCACGCATTGCCAGCCACGCCTTAATTCTGGCCACCAAATCTGGTTGGTCTAACATCGTCGATAATTGCCTGATTAATCACCCAGAAATTGAGTAAGTTTGGATCCCTCACGCGGCCGCATCGTCAGATTGTGTGCGCGAAGTTGTACTTCGTATCTGAAAACCTGCCAGTTATGGGTCACATGTCCCCTTCATACTCCAAGGGCTCGGTGGGTCTACGTGCCGATCTATTACCCCTTTCACCACCGCCAATTGGATATGATTCCTATAGCGAGCCCTCTCATAACGTGCTGACTCCTCTCCCCAGGTCCGCGCCGGAGCCGAAGCAGGATTTTATTGGCGAGATATCAGGTTTAAATACTGGGTCTTCGGGGGCGGGGGTGCATTCGGGGCAAGAACCCGGTTGAGGGAGTCTACGGGATGCCTGCCTTAATCAACATGGGTTGGCGTTGTTTGCGGACGACGATGTAGATGTTCCGAAGGGTCGATTGGACAGCACCTCTCTCGGGTGGATGCTGCTTGGAGATGCGGTTCATCAATGTTGACTCGGCCGGTCGGTCATTATTGGCCAGCGGGAGTATATCGCCTCGGATCCGGAAGGTTAAAGGGCCAAGGCCGGTTGACAACCCAAGAAAATCCCATCTTGAGAGAGCAGGAATCCCACCCCGTCGAGCCGGGCGCGTTATTTGTGCATGCTGGAGAAAGGTTGCCGAATGCTCTACCACTGAAGGGCTAGGAAGAAACTGATGGATGGCAGCTGATGTGAAAACCGCCTAGTGAAGCCGACCTGCATGGTCCCCACGGAATGGCACACAGCCACGATCCTTAACATCGTCAATGGGCTTATCATTGGGCAGTTTTGTGGGCTTTTGACAGTCTGCCTTGACCGTGATTTCACTATATCCGTGTCATGAATCGAAACGACTGACTGTCACGCAGTCGCCAAACACGGCCACTAGAGTCTCAGAACTGCATTCTATCCTCACACACTTCACCAAGCATGCAGGATTTGAAAGACGGCGTAGACAGGATACTCGGTCAAACCGAATCTAGTTTTGTGGAACGAGACGGCAATGCGGCAACATCTCTAGAAACTGTCAAGGTTATGGTTTTGGAGTCAAACCTTTGCAATTGCCTGAAATGCCCACTAGTTGTTAGGGTTTGTTGAAAGTCTTGTTGGACAGGCTGTCTGCTTACACCTTAATGATTTGGTCTTCAAAGCTATATTTTACAGGTTATTCAACCATTGGTAACCCTCTTCTTCGCAGAATGAATAAAACGCATAATGAATAAAAGGCAAGAAGTTATTGTTTCTTGTTTACAAGCAAGAACTAGCTATCGCCTCCCACCTTCTCCTGGATGCCACGCAATTGTTCGCTGCTCCATTCCGCAGCTGAACCTCGTGATGG